CGTCGAGTTGCTTTAGCACCTCGCCGATGATCTGACCAACACTTTGTAGTGCCTTGATGTTATCCTCGGAGACATCAAACTCTCTTTGAAGATCCTTGATACCCAAACGAAGGGATTTCAATTTGGCTTCCCATTCCCGTAGCTCGAGCAAGCTCTTTTTATAGTCCTCGAGCGCCTGGCTGCGCTCCGGGTCGCTCATGATGAAGGACGGATAGATTCACCGAGTGTGGACGAGTGCGGATGAAAGCCAAAGAGGAACTGTAATTCAGATGTGAATTCAGGGTTTCGTGTAAGGTCGTAGATGCGAAATGGATGGATATCGTGATTGAAAAGGGCGACAGCACCTTGCCTGGGGAGCTTCCAGCTTCCAGCGCGGCGTCCATGAGAGACGATCACATGACCCAGAGCTGCCTTATGTCATTATCTTGGTCATCAGCGGACACCTGAGGCAGAATATTATGAACAGTATGCAACACAGGACCATGAGATGAATTGAATGGTTCCATGCTACCTTTGTACAAGATAGAAGACGACAAAATTGCTGAAATTATTGTAATACGGTTCACTTCCCAAGTTCAGTCTATATTTGAGCTCTTCACTTTGGTTGCTTTGCGCCTTTCTTTCTCCATTCGCTCTGTATTTATACCCTACTTACAGCGTTTCATCTTATTTATAGTCATGGACCTCTTGATAGTAATTGAGATGCTCAAGTCAAAGTTAATGAGTTAGTTAAGTGTACACAGTGTAAATTTAGGCTAAGGCGGTTGATGCAAGTTCCCATGTTCTGTCAACAACGGGTTTTAGAGCATTAGGAGAGAAAGTATAGTGTTGCCCAGTTGGGACAGTGGTCATGGTGCATTACCATTATTTACTCTCAAGATCATGATCAGGGAACGGGCTTTTCTTTCTGTTTCTTTTTGCTTCAATGAAACAGTCCGGAGAGGAAGATTATCCGAGCACGTTCCGAGAATTGTTGGCCTCAACAACAAGGCACCAACAGCTGTCTTCGTCCGAATTAGAACGGAAGAATGCTACATAAGGCGAGCACTGTTTGATTGCTTTGAATCATATCTCTCTGGTAGCATTGGCCTGTATAGAAAGGGGTTCTACAGCTCAAATGAAATGCGTATGTTGTAATGGAGGGGTAGAATGCCGTACGATGTGCACAGTCCTGTAACAGGGGCATACGTACATTCGGAGCAGGGTATGCTATCATAGTCTAATATCTTCCGAGGAACGGAAGATCTCGTAGCTAGAGAGGCCGCATATGGTCGGATCAACCAGCAAGCGCTGGAGAATGACCGTGGAGCCCCACTGTTGCATTGGAAAGAATCGGAGCAGCAATGAGCTTTCCCGGGGTTCTCTGGGGAGAAAGTATTTAAGTAGTCGGGTGTCTCCGTAAAGTTTTGTTCCTAACAAGCCCTTCCTTTATTATACCAGGTAAGTTGAATATAGCATCATGACATAACCCCCAATCCCCCCCACCAACACCTACCCCTCCATACATATACATTCCTACTACACACACCCACCAGTCTTCTGGAAAGGAATCGAAACCAAAGACCTACCGGTGATCGTAGTAGGAAGTCCCCCGTTGAGCTACTCCAAGCAAATCATATCCTTACCCTTTCCCGCCCACTCTTTTTGGGCCATCGGTGAACCTCCCCCCGCCGTTAGTCACCTGCAGCTTTTGCCATATATCAGCCCAGATCCTCTTTTTCTTTCTTTCAACTGACTGAAACTATAATCAGCCTGTCCAATTTCAATATGCCTATTTCTAAGATCCACGCTCGCTCCGTGTACGACTCGCGCGGCAACCCCACCGTTGAGGTGGATGTTGTCACCGAGACCGGCCTTCACCGCGCCATTGTGCCCTCCGGTGCTTCCACTGGTTTGTCAACCATCAGACCATTGAAGATAGGACTAGATTACTAACCTCAACTCTTAGGCCAGCACGAGGCTGTTGAGCTCCGTGATGGTGACAAGACCAAGTGGGGTGGCAAGGGTAAGTGATGATACCAATGAATCCGCTTGACACTCCAGTGATCAGAAACTAATATTTTGATCTCAAATAGGTGTCCTCAATGCCGTCAAGAACGTCAACGATGTCATTGGCCCCGCTCTGATCAAGGAGAACATCGATGTTAAGGACCAGGCCAAGGTTGATGAGTTCCTGAACAAGCTCGATGGAACTGCCAACAAGGGCAAGCTCGGTGCCAACGCCATCCTCGGTGTCTCTCTGGCCATTGCCAAGGCTGCCGCCGCTGAGAAGGGTGTTCCCCTCTACGCTCACATCTCCGACCTTGCCGGAACCAAGAAGCCCTTCGTCCTCCCCGTTCCCTTCCAGAACGTCCTGAACGGTGGCTCCCACGCCGGTGGCCGTCTCGCCTTCCAGGAGTTCATGATTGTGCCTGAGTAGGTCTCCTAGCCTCAAACTTCTTGCAACCTTCCAAACTGACGAAACACAGCACTGCCCCCACTTTCTCCGAGGCCCTCCGCCAGGGTTCTGAGGTCTACCAGAAGCTTAAGTCTCTCGCCAAGCAGAGATACGGCCAGTCCGCTGGTAACGTCGGTGACGAGGGTGGTGTCGCTCCTGATATTCAGACCGCCGAGGAGGCTCTTGACCTCATCACCGATGCCATTGAGCAGGCTGGTTACACTGGCCAGATCAAGATTGCCATGGATGTTGCCTCCAGCGAGTTCTACAAGGAGGATGCCAAGAAGTACGATCTTGACTTCAAGAACCCCGAGAGCGACCCCACCAAGTGGCTCACCTACGAGCAGCTTGCCGACCTCTACAAGTCCCTCGCTGCCAAGTACCCCATTGTCTCCATTGAGGATCCCTTCGCCGAGGACGACTGGGAGGCCTGGAGCTACTTCTACAAGACCTCTGACTTCCAGATTGTTGGTGATGACTTGACTGTCACCAACCCTCTGCGCATCAAGAAGGCCATTGAGCTCAAGTCCTGCAATGCCCTTCTCCTGAAGGTCAACCAGATCGGTACCTTGACCGAGTCTATCCAGGCTGCCAAGGACTCCTACGCCGACGGCTGGGGTGTCATGGTCTCCCACCGCTCCGGTGAGACTGAGGATGTCACCATTGCTGACATCGCCGTTGGCCTCCGCGCCGGTCAGATCAAGACCGGTGCCCCTGCCCGTTCCGAGCGTCTTGCCAAGCTTAACCAGATCCTCCGTATTGAGGAGGAGCTTGGTGCCAACGCTGTCTACGCTGGCGAGAAGTTCCGCACTGCTGTCACCTTGTAAATGCAGCCTTTCGGCAGCATAGATCGGGCCTGATGAAGGGCCCATCAAAAACGATGGTTTGATGATCTACGGAGCCATCGCCCATGATGATTATGAATTTAATAGGATCTTTTTCAATGAAACAAACTTCCACCACTTGACAAGTTCCCATGTTCGAAAATCAGTAAATCAGTATATCAGTATATCAATAAATAATGAAATGTAGAAACAAAGATCACGCTCATCGGGCATCCAATGCCCGAGATCACGTGCACATCCCACCTGGGGACGATAAGTGTGTCCCACATAAAATTTGCCCTCGCCCCTCCAATCCTTTGCTGGGTCTATTGTTGGCTTGTTCCTTTTGGTCTTGCGTATAGCGCATTACAGTCTTTCATTTCTTTTTATCAAAGCTTTTAGATTTCCAAAAAAATGCCGCCTTCCAAGTGGGGTATGTTGTTATCCTTGTATTATCGCCTTCTATAGTGATTGCCACCATTACTTAGCTCGTGCTCTAATCTCTATTGCTGTTGCTGATCCTTTGATTTCCTACAGACGAAGAAGAAGAGGAGAGCCCCGTGCCTCCTGTTGTCGCGCCCCGTCGCCGTTTCGATGATGAAGAGGACGAAGATGTAAGGCAATGCAACCTCAATTCTGTCTAGCACGACTTTCACTCTCGCCAAGTCCAACAAACTAACAACACCCGGAATGATAGGTTCTTGACTCATGGGATGCCGCAGAAGACTCCGAGGTAGAGCGCGAGAAGGCCAAGAAGGCCGCCGAAGCCGAGGCCAAGGCTAAGGCCGCCGCTGCCGCCAACAAGAAGACCAAAGCCCAGCGGATAGAGGAACTCCGACAGCAGCGCCTCCGTGAGGAAGCCGACGGTGAATCCGAGAGCGAGGACGAGGCAGACCGCCGTGCTCGTCTCCGCAAGACCGAGCAGGAAGCCGATCTTGCCCACGCCGAGGATCTTTTCGGCTCCGTTGATGTCAAGCCCAACAAGGGCGCCCCCAAGGCCATCGTTGTCAGCGACTCGAATGACCCTACTAAGGCCATCGATCTGTCCGCCATGCCCCTGTTCAAGCCCGTCACCAAGGACCAGTTCACCCGTCTGACTGAGACCCTTGTGCCGCTCCTCACCCCGCACTCCAAGAAGGCCCACTACTCTCTCTGGGCGCAGGACTTCACTCGTAAGCTTGTGAAGGACCTTCCTAGTGCTGAGATCAAGAAGATTGCTAGTGCTCTCACTACTGCTTCTAATGAGAAGATGCGCGAGGAGCGTGCGAATGACAAGGGCAACAAAAAGACCAAGGCGGCAAAGACCAAGATCTCGCTGAACGCCAGCCGCGATATCCAGCGCGATAGCACCAACTACGACGGTGGTGATGATGATCTTGGGGATGATGACTTTATGTGAATGTGAATACGGACGACTAGTCTCCATTTGAATTACCCAGGTGTTTCGCTGTTGCTTTCCCCTGGATCTGATCCTCGAAAATAAGCATCTTAAAAGAAGGTCTCCATCTTCTATTCCTGCCTCACCTATATGCAGGTTTCTACTCCAATGTTACCCCCTTTCATTTTGTTTTTCAAATCTCGCCCTGTACATCCCCCCTTCTATCTGAAGACGCTTGGGCACAAGTAACCCATAGAAAGACCCAAATTCATTCCAATCATCTGACTCTTATATGACCCCACACACATTAACCATCAATTCTACCTTCCACGGCTAATCACCACCACATCACAATTAAAAATCAATCACCAAACCCACTACTCCTGACCGCGGACCTAGTCCCCCGGCTTCTATCAAGCATCCCAAGCTGCCTCGCCTCCTGCTCGATATCCACAATACTCCGGACAAGACTAATATAACCCTCATCATCCAAGGCAAAAAGCGCCTCCTGGACCCACACGCGGCAACAAAGACCCTCTCGGAAGCGAGCCGAGAACAACGCCAGCGGGACAAGTGCCAGACGTGTCCCCAGTGCGGCATGCAGGACGGGTCCGATTGCGCCAATCTTCAACGCTAACACTACCCGCGTGTCGCTTGCTATGCTATAAACGACCTCGGTTTTGTATTGCCAGGCGATTGGGCCTGTGTCGTTGGTTATATAGAAGGTTCGGCCCGTTGTGGGTGTTGAGGCGAGATATAGTTTCCATTCAAAGGGACAGCTACCGCCTAGGTCAATGAGGAGAACGTAGAGGGCATTTGGTTCGAGGGAGAGGGGTGGGATTGACATTATTTGAGGCTTGGGTTAATTGCATTAGATTGGATTGTGCTTTCGTTCTTTTCGCGGATAAAAGATCAAGATGGAGGTTTGGTGGCCTCTATGACCATTAAGATTACTTACCTTCAAAAAAGTATATTGACTATACGTATTGCTTTCCCCCTGTATTCTGTTTTGGATTTTTCCTGATAGCATGGAGTTGGGAATTGCGTGAGGCAATTTAGAAGAGCTTACCAGACGAGACTTTAATAATGCATTTGCCTGATGTCGACTTGTAGGATACGGTTCTGTATAATGAATGAGATGTAGCCACACATACTACATATGTATAGCACTCTCTCTGATTCGCTGGCTTGGTCATGTGGCAGTGATTGAGATGCATTTCTTACATCTAGGAGCTGGCCAGGAAAACCTGGGATATGTACATCGGAATACTTCGCTTCGTTTGCATGCCAAAAAGGAGTACATATGCTCCTTTCAAGAGATAGATCCTTCTAACCATGTTAAATATGATTGAAAGTATCTGCCATCGTTCTGAGATTCAGACGTCTCATAGTTTGAGAATAGGCCCTAGGAGAGATCGACAACATGAACTCACATTTATCCCAGCTGTTGCCATTGATTAAACAACCAAAAAGGACTTTTAAGAGCCCTAATATGAGGCACTGGGACCAACACAAGTCAAAATCACTGTCCGGCGAAATTCAAATATCATCAACTGACCCTACAACTATCGAATTGCTTGACACGCGGCAATCCCAGCCATAGACTCCTTCATTGATTCGACAACGAATGCAGACATTATGCATCCCGGCTTACTTCTTCCCACCACCCCGTCTCGTATCAATATATTTGTTCTCTATCCGTCATGATCTCTAGAATAATAGTACAGCTTGCTGAACGAGTCGGAATAGAAGGGAGTAGATCCCAGCGCATGAGTGAAATGAGTGCGACAGTATCAAACGACCCGTTAGGGGTCGAAACTATGGTATAATGAACGGATCGCAGAACGAAGTCGCTCGGCAAACGTGTATAACCTACACTCGAACGAAATCCAATCAGACTACGACACTCACCTGACTCGCCCTACTCACAAAACCTACTGCAATACGTTGTCAGAGGACACTCACAGACATCATCGAACAATCACCAATCGCAGCACGACAGACCACCTCATCAACCTTCCCTCAGCTCACTACCGCTTCGTCCTCGTGGTGTCCCCCGCCATCCGATCACCAACCCGGGATTGCATCATTCCTTGCGTACACCATCTGCTCAGTTGTCATATTCTCGCAAGTGCCCGGACCCCCTCCGTGGCGTTGGAAACGCGTAGTCTCGATTGGTTGTTCTTCGGGTGTGGACGTGTATTTCGGTTGAGTTCGATTTTCGCTTCAAGGGTGGAAGATAGCCTGTTAGTGATGTTAGAGCCTTGTGTTCGGTGATCTTATTGTCCGGCAGTTGGCTCTGACGAATCGTTAGCGAAATGTTAGTCCCCGGCTCTGTATCTTCAGCGCTTAATACGATGTTGTCTGCTGTGGCATCTTTTTGTTGTTGCTTGGAATCGTCGGACATGTTGGTGTCTTTGGACGTCAATCGTGTCCTCGTATGTTCCTAGCGGTGAAACCTAGATGTGTGCTATCTGATGGTGGCAGCTAGCTCTAAGTAGGTATGGCATCACTGAGAGAAGGCAGTGTAATTTGGTCAACTACGAGGATTGAAGTGTCTATGGTCGTTTGAATACCTCTTGTGTTATTCGGCTAGATGTGTGAAGATATTTGGAATAATAAGCAAGCGAGTCCGTGCAGAGGACTAACTACATACTCTTGTATCGACTCGTACTCCATACAGAGTACGTACTTCGGTCGTGAATACTGGTAAAAGGGGAATCATTGGCTACGCTAGCAACCCATCAAAGGGTGCATCTCGAGTAAAGAAGCTCGGAGTGGAAATGGAAAATAAACACATTGAAACGTGCTGGAGTGGGAATAGAGACAATAAAAGAGAGAGAAATTTCCACTCAGCCCCTTTTCTGCTCGCGTCAACCGAATATCAAACTCCGCCGGCCGACCCACACGGTACCGAAGACGTGCAAGATATCTGCCGGTCCAACCCAGCGCTGCAGTGAAAACAAAGAAGCGACTTGCATAACCACGTCCAGGAATAAATGCGAACGCCCACCCTACCAAACGGCATACGGCTCGTCGCGACCCCTATGTTGCTCCTTTAAGCTTCAGTCTCGGTGGGCTTAGCCTCATCGTGCTTCTCCTCGGCGGGAGCAGCGGCCTCGGTGGCAGCGGCGGCAGGAGCAGCAGTCTCTTCCTCGGACTTCTCCTCCTTGGCGACACTCTCGCCCTCATTGCCCTCAGATGAAGTCCAGAGGGTCAGGTTATCGCGCAAAAGCTGCATGATCAAGGTGCTGTCACGGTAGCTTTCCTCGGAGAGCGAGTCGAGCTCTGCAATGGCATCATCGAATGCCTGCTTGGCAAGGTGGCAAGCACGATCGGGGGAGTTGAGGATCTCGTAGTAGAAAACGGAGAAATTCAGGGCAAGACCCAGGCGAATAGGGTGAGTGGGGGTGAGTTCGGTCTGGGCAACGTCGGTGGCGTTCTGCGACTCAATTAACAGCTGTTTATTGAAAATAGAGGGGAGGCTTAGAATCACAAGCCGAAAGAAGGGCTATTTACCTTGTAGGCCTCGTGGGCAGCGGTGGCAGCGCCCTTGCGCTTGGGGCCGGAAGCGAACTCGGCGAGATAGCGGTGGTAATCACCCTTCCTGTTTACCAAGTCAGCATAAAGTCACAAATCTAGGGGTCTTCAAACTTGAGTTGTTGGAGTGTAACCCACATCTTGTAGTAGAAGACCTTGGACTCTCCAGTCTCGGCCTTAGGGATGAGAGCCTCATCAAGAACATCAAGCACATCCTGGCAAACCTGCTCCAGCTCGGTTTCGATCTTCTGGCGGTAGTCGCGGATGATTCCAACGTGCTCCTCGGAGCCCTTATTTTCCTCCTTCTGCTCGATGGAGGAAATGATGCGCCAGGAGGCACGACGGGTGCCAACGACGTTCTTGTAGGCGACGGAAAGCAGGTTACGCTCATCGACAGTGAGCTCGCCACCAATCTAGATATGTGTCAATCGCGAATACCCATAAGGTGATGGGAAAATGATGGTGTCATACGTTGGCGACTTCCTGTTCGGCGATTAGCATGGATACCCGGTAAACAACACGAGAGGGCACGACTAACCTTCATGTAGGTGACCATCTCTAGAAAGTAGAAAGGAAAACGTCAACGTCCATGTCCAACCAGATTATCGTAAGTCAACTTACCATCGTAGCGCTCGGCCTGCTCGCAGAGCCGCGCGAGGAACGTCTTGCTGGTGAGGGGGTCAGTCACGCCGGGTCATGGGGTTTCAGGGATAGGGGCGACAATGGGCATACTTCTCACGCTGCATGGTTACGATATTTGTTAGCCTAGTTCTTATCGACAAAAATTCCAGATGGGGGTGAGCTCAGATGAGGATGGAAATGTGGGATTGCGATGGCGGTGACAGCTCAAGAGAGCGCTCGACGGAGGGGACAGCGACATACCTCAGAACCCATGATGAAATTGAATCGAGACGGGTGGTTGAAACTTGAGATTTAAAAATTAAAGGGATAGGAAGCACAAGATGCAGAAGAGGAAGATGGGTAGAGACAACCAAGTGGGGGAGGGAGATGGAGTGAGGTGAGTTGGGGGGATTTGAATCATAACAATAATACACTGTTGTCATGTACCCAGTACTTAGCTCCCCCCTATTGTGGCACCGCTCTCTGCAAGTACCAGAGTACTTGGGCCGCAGCCCAGTATTCATTTTACCGTCGATCCCCCTAATAAGTAATTAATTTGGGCGGGGCGAGGTATATCTGACCGTATGGGTTACCAAGTCCAGATGTCGCTCTCCTTTTAGGACAGGATCAAGCATCAAAGGGCATTTGGGCTGGATTTCTATAGATTGTACATAGACTTCCCCTGCGTGTGCCTATGGGGTCAGAGTATCTTGTTCTAGAGATCCCGACCGGTACCGTCACCTCTGAGCTGAAAACAGCAATACTTTCTGAAAGTAACTCTTTGACGCACTTTTCGCACATCAGCCTCTTTATTGTGTCTCTACTCTAGAGAAAGCACAGGAAAATGATATAAAAGTCTGGGGATGATGATGATGATGTAAATTTCCTTGGAATCTTCTAGACATCTAGGCCGGTTATGATGTAGTTAATCAGCCGCACAATCAAATTAGGTCTCCGAGTATCACAGGCTTGAAGTTTTTTGACCAAGTTCTTCCAACTAATAATAGGCCACTCGGCTTCGCCCATCACATTCTACATAAAGAGTAATAGGATCGAACTTATAACAACGGACCTAAAGGGCGGAAGGGTAAATTTTATCATCGGACTTGGTAAACACATACGGACATTTTGACTGTCTTCTGGAACTGTGCCAGTCATTGAGCATTTCTAAAGTATTGATATACCAATTCGCAATTGTCTACTTAATGCTTGGTTTCGTATTCACAGGTCGCTTTTGTAGCACTTCAAAGTTGCACATATCAAAATTGTGATGCTTCAGGTATAAATGTTGTCAATTCTGCATCAGTTGACCATTTTGACTCCTGTGTCTTCTAAAGGATAAGACCTTTTACACGAAACAGTGACACGTCAGTTATATAGTTGAAACTTGTTGTTTTACATCTCTCCATCTCACTCAACGTGCTCTTCCTCAATGTATAGGGGGATATCGCCATTGTTGAAGCAATTATCTTCTGGATTCCGCGACTAGTGTTCTCATCTAGCAATCCCATACCCATTTCCACCTCCGCTGGGGGCAGCTGACGTAGAGGGATATGGCTTGGGCCGATGCCCACCGGACCTTGTTAAATAGCGCAACTTGGTGAAAGGCAACATTCGAAAAGGAGACATTTCGACTCATCAAGACGCTAGGATGAGGCCTTTAGGTAATTGAGGGGACTCACGAGACGATGAAAACGCGCAAGCTTATACACTTCAGTCTAGAAATGTCTGGGTGCATCCTTGGTCTCTCCTAGATGCGTGATAAATGATGACACAGACAGAGATTGTGTAAGGGTAGACTGGAATAGACTCGCTCGAGCTTTTGCATTGGCCTCACTAAAGACTATTCGTCGCGGACGGTGTGCTGCAAGATTGCCAAGCTGGCGTTGTCCGAAGGATGAACGGCATCGGAGCAATCTGTAACAATGGGGTTCCCAGCGCAAGGTCGATCGGCAGGGACATAATCTGACATACGCTCGTCCGGTATATCATAGCATTCAATCCCATTTGTATGACGAAAGCACTGCCTGATAGAGGTTAGTCCTGCCATTAATGTGGGTGACTCGTGTTCGCAACCGCGGATGTACCTGAGCGGTCTTGTTCGGTTCCAGGCCTTGTGTAGCATACCGAGGTCTACTGTTTCCCGCAAAATTGTACGCAAACTAGGCCGTGAGTTAGTTGCTTGCGGGCACTAGAGTGAAAGGTTGAATGCTGGATCGCCAAACAGTAATATATGTCCTCGGCCTCCTCTTCTAGGGCGATTGACTGCTCGTTGAGGTACCCCGAAGGCACTGCAATGAAGAGCACAATGTATCTTCTGTCTTCTCCACCGTAGTGCCCAGATGAGCGTACGCGAAGAAATGCGCGATGGTGACATGAGAACATGTTGTCGTGCGATCCTCACCAATATCATGGCGGTTAGCGAGCCACCTCCACGACAGAAGAAATTGTCTTCTGCGCTCAGGTTTCCCTTACGATAGAGAAGGAATTTGGCAGGGTCGCTGCACAGCACAGATCCCATTTCATCCCTTAGCTTTTGTTGGATGGTCGCCGCTCGAGCATCACTCGCCTACTGCTCATATAGCCATGCGCTGGTAATTCGTCGCAGCTGGCCACAGTCAAATTTGCCACTTCATGATCGAGGAGTAGGAGCGAATGAAAGTCGGATGGTAGGTTCCATGTTACTTCGAAGGGTTCTAACCACACCGACTCCCATTCTGGCCACTATTTGGTACATTTTCGTTCATTAGGGGTGTAGCAAATTGAGCTCGAGGCTGTCACCCAGGGGTGAAGGAAAGGCGAGAATCTAGCTACCCTTCCTAGGTTGCCTAGTGGGGAAATGCAGCGGAAGTCTTTGACTTGCTTTCATTCAGCTCAAATGACTGGCCGTGTAGTTCGGCTTTGGTCGCCTTAAGTCAATTTTGTAGCAGAAAGCGGCCTAGGGCATACTAGACAAGGGTCCTCTGTCCTGGAGAGAGCCGTTTAGTTGCGACCAATATACGCTTTTGGATACTGCTATCTGTGAAGAACATTCAAGCCTACCAGTGGATCCACAGTTTGGAGAAGGTCAGATTAGCCGAGGGTCACAATTGTCCATATCGCGCTTGAAGGGAGGCAAACATGGCACATAAGAGGAATGATAGTCGCTCAAAGAGCTGTTTAAGAAGGTCAAGGGATGGCCAGACAAGAGTACGCATGCCATGAGCGTAGTATGTACCCGGTCGATTTGACATTTTTAAAAGGATCGGGTTATTTTGTGAACGTGCCAGTGAACGTGCCAATCGAATCGCTTCAAAATATGCGGGCCCGTCCTGAGTCTAGATTTGGTGGATACAGCGGTAAGCGAAACGAAGGGAGCCTGCCGCCACTACTCCGTAATCCCTAGGCAATATAATAATAAGTAACAATCCATGAGACCATTTACTAATTATGTCTCTGGCTGCGCAAATTGTTTTGGGTCCTCTCGATTGCGTCCTATATCGGGTTCCTCATAGTATAGGATATTCTGTTCTAGGACATGAGGTGAGCTACGCATGGCCCAATTCCCTTAGCGCGGGAATTGGGCCGCATGAGTTGAATGCAAAAACTAGTTTAACACAAAATGTACCTTTTCTAAGGGATACATGTATAAGGGAATTTCGATTTATAAATATAGCCTAGTTATGTGTTGTAGTATTATATAAATCAAATGAAAATAAAATAGTGGTTCTTAAGAAAAAGCTAACAGAAGAATTCGTATATATTACACTACTGATGGCAATTCTTCATTCATCTACTCTCGGATAAAAATAGAAGAATGTAGAGATCAGGGCTAAATTTTCAAAGTTCAGTAAGTAGGTACGCTCTTAATGTCGTGATCGACATGGTAATGAGCTCCGTGATTGCATGTCGTTAGGTGATCCTGTGACCGTGCTACACTTCGGGAAACTTTTATGCTAAGGTATCTAAAAGGAGGCCATTCTGAAAGGATAGAAAAGCACCTCCATTGGATTAGAAGTTTTTGTCGTGGATAGGCGTTAAACCGTCTGAATGGGTGCCTCTTAAGTATGCGTACGTTAGACCAGCAACTTCCCATCTAAACCACATATCAGTTTGCCATTCTAGTAGATCATCTGGCTGAGGTTCCTTCGAGAAATTGATCAACAGCTCTTTCATTTCCTGGCCACGATCTAGAGTCAAATCGCAGGTTTGGTAAGAATTAAAGGGGCTTGATGGGGAGTGAGGCTTATTACATTTCTTTGTCGCAATGCTAGTTGTTTCCAACCATTAACCAAAAAAGCAATTGAAAATCCCTTCTGACTATAATTAATGGCTGTCAGTCTTTCTTCCGAAGCAAGTAATTACCAGGTCAGACTCGATATTGACTTCTAATAGACATTTTCTTTTTCATTTTGTAGACTACTCCGTTGTGAGATCTAGTTGGTGCTAGAGGTTATGAAATCTAGGAAAGGAAGCGTGAAAGAAGAGATCTGTGATAAGCACTGATTGGTATATATCACCTTTTTTATTATTCATCTGAAATTTGTATCAGTAGGTATTGCCCATTATAGTCAATGGGGTTGAACTCTTGACAGATTGAATGCTGGGTGGGGGCTGCTCAACTCTTTGTTTGCTCTTTATGAGGACCCTTTTTTGTGGAGTCGGATTCCTATTTTATCCCCAAGACCATAAAAGTCTTGATATTCCCCAATCTTGAAGGGCGTAACACTCCTTCATCATGCTTAAACGGCAGGAAATGTACAATGGGCGTTCGCCGGCCAAGCCGGCCATGAATCCGCGCCAAATCTTGAATATAATCCTTGGTTTTGCATTCTTGGCCTTTTTGTATAGAATATTTGTGACATGCGATGAAATAACGCAGCTGAGCTCATACGGTACGTCTCCTGAGTGGTGACAATCTGGATCTGGCTGACCATCTTGTTTGGTAGAATCCGAAAAGACAGAAACCAACCCATCATCACCATTGCAGGAAGCAGCATCACATAGTAAGCCCTTCGTCCTATACCGCCACAGACGAAACTAATAAGCTGAGTTGAACAGAGCCAACAGAGCCAACAGAGCCAACAAAACCGATTTCACATATGGCCTTGCACGAAGCCAGCAAGGACGTCGCTCTCGTCGTCTCAAAAGCACGATATGAAGATGTTACATGGGTCACCAGTTTCTGCCAAAAATTGTAGAGATCCCCTTCCCTCCCCCCATCCCCCAACGTGGTAGTAAAGCTGACCTAGCGACAACTAGTAAATGCACGCCATATATCTATACGATGGACGATGAGCCTGAAGAAGGCTTTCTTATTCCCCATACAAATGTAGGCCACGAAGCAGGTGCCTACCTCTCCTACATCGTCGACCACTATTACGACCTTCATCCATTCACAATCTTCCTCCACGGCCGAGAAGAGCACTGGCACAATGATATAGCTGGTTCAAAGACATTAGATGGACTTCCAAATTTACGCTTCGAAGCCGTGAGTCGAAAGGGTTATGCGAACCTGCGCTGCTTATCTATACCTGGCTGCCCAGATGGTCTGTACCCGTCGATCATTCAACAATCTGATATTGATAATCAGAATTTGGTCGACAACTTCCCAGAAATATGGGGTGAGATCTTTGGGCCGGACACCCCTGTGCCGCTTCAGATTGGATTCCGTTGTTGCGCGCAGTTTGCAGTTACCAAAGAAAGAATCCGAGAAAGAGGATGGACCGATTATAACCGATTCCTCCAGTGGTTACCCAAAGGGCTCGAGTACTCTGACACCTACGGGGTAGGCTGGCTCATGGAGAAGTTATGGCATATTATTTTTGGAATGCCTGCTATCGAGTATGTCTTTTGTCCTCTCCTATCCAACATGCTGGGATTATCAAGGCTAATTCCTTTTTCTTTTCTCTAGCTGCGCCGATCCTGTCCAGTGTCGCTGCGACCTCTATGGGTGGTGTGGCCCGCACCCAGGAACCGATGGCAAAATTCTGACACCTATCACATAGGTCAAATTTGTTGTCCAATATTACTCAACATATAATCAATTTTAGCGTTTGCAAACCATTATATTAGAAGGAGCGATACTGTCATAAATCCACAAGTGCATCAATTCCATCGTACCTCTAATCTCAGCGAGTCTTTTATGATAAACGATCTAGCATGTTCTTTTGGTTTCATTTTTGCTAGATTAGTTGGCCATCCTCACCATAGAAATTCCTCCCGGGGATTGCTGAAGCCAGTAAATGAGACATTTCAAGTCTAAAGACACTACCTAGGTACCTAGGTAAGCTTCCAGTGGAGCGAAAGGGGCCAATAAGATCACACCTTAACCTAGTTTATATTGAAATTTATTTGAGAGGTTAAATTAGCCAATACCATCTGCCCTGTATGAACAGCCAAAGTCACCCAGTCAAAATTTGACATGGACTCCATAGTCTTGGATTTTTTACAGTTTCCAATGCTGTCTAATGTTTTGGCAGTGCCATATCACAAATTATAAGGGCGTACAACTTACCACTCATAACGGCTAATTGTTTTGAGCACAAGTAGCGTGAGCCCTGTAAGACCGCTACGTTTGGCGAAGATTGGGACATAGTGTAAAGCTCACTGCATCCTTGAAGATTGCCCAGGTGAAGAAGCTGGCTTACTCATCCTACAACCTTCTATCCCGCGACTCATTGAGAGGCACGATCAGTAAAAGCCCAGCCAAGAGTTATTGTGGGCCGACGACAAATGGCCATAGAGAAGATATAAATATCTCGATATGCTTGTCAGTCGACACAAGAAGTTGTGGTAGATTGACGTTGTATTTGTTAATTGAGGTCGACTCAATCATCATTATCTATAGACCGCCTGATGAATCTCGCAGTAGGCTACCTGGGTAACTTGGATATGATAGCGCCTTAGATTCAATACAAACTCGGGATGTTTAGTAGCAAAGTTATCAAGTTGTACGAAGAGAAAGAGTTCGGTACGATGCCTCCTATGTCCGATCTTTTCTTAAATTTCATCATTGATTTCATTTTATTCTTGTTTTCGAAATACGAATCAACGCGACTACTATTATTGAATCTCTACTTATGTGGTGGAATTTTTACAGTCATTTTAGGATACTTTGTGGTTCTTGAATGGCTTTCGGATCACTTGGAAGATTGGCCAGAATAAATAAATTGCGATATGCCTTTGGAAAGCAATAGGAAGCCGAGGGAATGCCTCGCATTATTCCAATTAGGCGCAGAATTTCTGTGTCTTACTGGTAAAAACACCTGTGATAAAAGTGAGCGACGGTGTACATCATGCTCCCGGAAAAAGCCCACAGCTATAGTGTGCCAATTGTGGGGACTGAGAATACAGGTGCAATGATACCAGAAAACACTGGAAACGTAGACGCGTCACACTAATTGGGGATAGTTTAGGAGCGGATATCATCTAGGGTTGTATGAGTCTGGAACGATTGCTACTTTTCTCCCCAATGGACACCTGACTACAACATATGTAAACATAGTACCCTTTCCCCATCCAAGGGTCATCAATGATCAAGTGGTAACTTGCGGTCAAGCTATGTCTCGCTGGAGCTAGAACATGAATCAAGAGTCGAATATGCAAAGTCCCGCTCTACGGCTGGAGCATTGCTTATTCTGGTGGATGAATCATATCGCCCAACAATTGAACTCTTGGCTTGATCGGCGAGCGGCAAATCCTAAGAGATCCATTTTCCTCTTATCTTGACCAAAAGTGGCTTGGAATGGACATTTCGCCAACTTAGGGCCAAGGTAAGCAATTTAAGTGACATATGCATCACGCGATTGGATATTGAAATTTGGGTTACGCACTGCGGAAGTACTAGGGATCGATTAAATAATCCGTACGGAGTAGGTAAGCGATGCAAATGAACTTTTGTTCTACCGTCAGCCCTATGGGCAAGGATAGGTTAGCGTGCTTGTGGAGATGCCACGCTTGATGCATTCTACAGGGACTGTGCTTTGGCCTTGGAAGACCTCAACCATCCACAAGTAAGCTGAGGAGTATCGAGTAGTTTTACCGGCAGATGACCTAAAGTATAGCTCAAACGTAGTGAATGAACACGTCAAGGGTTGTACCATGACATAAAGTCCAGAAGACCATCGTATCGCAGGAGTCAGGTTGATTTAAAAGGTTGGATACCCACTTTAGGCTAGTGTATGCAGAGGATCAAGTTGCCAAGACTATCTGATAGGCAAAAAAACGATGCAGCCTAGAGATGCCCCATAAGTGATTCCAAGGCAATGAATTGGCGTTGACGTTGCAGCCCTACGAGAGGCTCTTTGCAGGTCTCCATCTCACTCCGAGAGGAGAAATTGATATAGTAAGAGGTTTAATAGGCTCGATCTAGTCAAACATCAAGTATTTGAATCATTAGATGCCTAATAGAAGACAAAATAAAGAAGGAAAAAATTATAGCGGAGAATTGCAGACCCGCCTTCAGCCCTGTAGACTCCCCAGTTCCACTCCAGGCCCGTGCTTACTCAGCCCCTGGAATCAAATGGATGAGAACACGTTGACTTCCCCCACTGGAGGTTCTTCAATTCGGGCTTTGATCTTCATTTGCTCTGGATCCTCTTTTTTAATATCACCTGGTCCCTCGCTTTGGGCTTTACTTTTCTTCCTCTGTGACAGGGCATGTATCTTTATTAACAACACTTTCTTCATTGTTTACCCCAACTATCATTCCTCACCTCTGCGGTTATTGCAATTGATCCTGCCTATTGCCGTTGAGGGTGTCCGCGATCATGGAGAACGCCTTTCTCCGTACTCCAGCCGAGGCGCTGGAGCACTTCAAGGTGACCGAGCAGACCGGTTTGTCGCAAAGCGCGGTTATGAAATCCAGACAACAATATGGACCGAACGGTTAGTACACATTCCGCAGAATGACGCCTCAGAACTGACATCTGCGGTCTATTTAGCTCTTGCGGAAGAACCTCCGACTCCCATGTGGGAGCTGATTTTGGAACAATTCAAAGACCAATTGGTTCTTATCTTACTTGGCTCGGCTGCCGTGTCCTTTGTGCTAGCTCTCTTTGAAGAAGGTGACGATTGGACTGCATTTGTTGACCCCGCTGTTGTAAGTGCCTGGATATTGTTCGTTTCATCATGTGTGGAATCTTGCTGACAACGGTGTGCTTTTTGCATAGATCCTTACTATCCTCATCCTCAATGCCGTGGTCGGAGTGACCCAAGAAAGCAGCGCAGAAAAGGCGATCTCAGCTCTCCAGGAATATTCAGCCAATGAGGCCAAGGTTGTCCGTGATGGAATGACGCGAAAGGTCAAAGCTGAAGATTTGGTTCCCGGTGACGTGATTCAGATTGCTGTTGGTGACCGTGTTCCCGCCGACTGTCGATTGATCGCCATTCACAGCAACAGCTTCCGTGTCGACCAGGCTATTTTGACTGGTGAGAGTGAAAGTGTTGCAAAGGAGATTCGGGCTATCAAGGATGAACAGGCCGTCAAGCAGGATCAGCTCAACATGATCTTCTCTGGTACCACCGTTGTCAACGGTCACGCTACAGCTCTCGTTGTGTTGACCGGCGGCTCGACTGCCATTGGAGATATCCACGAGAGTATCACTTCCCAGATCTCCCAGCCGACCCCCTTGAAGCAGAAGCTGAACGACTTCGGTGACACGCTCGCCAAGGTTATTACCGTCATTTGTGTCCTGGTTTGGGTTATCAACTATGAGAACTTCAACGACCCCGCGTTCGGTGGCTGGACTAAGGGTGCTATCTACTATCTGAAAATTGCTGTCTCTCTTGGTGTGGCGGCTATTCCGGAGGGTTTGGCAGTGGTCATTACCTCCTGCCTGGCCCTGGGTACCCGCAAGATGGCCCAGAAGAACGCAGTTGTCCGGTCTCTTCCCTCCGTCGAGACCTTGGGCAGCTGCAGTGTGATTTGCTCTGACAAGACTGGAACCTTGACCACCAACCAGATGAGTGTTGAGAAAATTGTTTACCTGGCAAGTTCTGGCACTGGCCTCGAGGAAATCGACGTCGAAGGCACTACTTTCACTCCTAAGGGCAAGCTCATTCAGAATGGCAAGGTCGTCGAGAACTTGGCCGTTTCTTCATCGACGATCGCACAGTTGGCCGAGGTCACTGCCCTTTGCAACGCCGCTACTCTTTCCTACGATCCCAAGAGCGGAGTCTTTTCTAGCATCGGTGAGCCCACCGAGGGAGCTCTGCGTACCCTGGTTGAGAAGATTGGAACCACCGACAGCGCCTTCAACCAGAAGCTTTATCGTCTCTCTGCATCCGAAAGATTGCATACCGCCAGCGCTCATTACGAGTCCCGCCTTCCCCTCAAGGCCACCTATGAGTTCTCTCGTGACCGCAAGAGTATGTCTGTTCTCGTTGGCGAGGGCAAGGAACAAAAGTTGCTCGTCAAGGGTGCCCCTGAAAGCATCCTGGACCGTTGCTCGCACGTTATTCAAGGCGCCAATGGATCTCGCGTTCCTGTGACCAAGAACCACTTGAAGCTTCTCTCCGAGGAAGTTGTTGAGTATGGTAACCGTGGTCTTCGTGTCATGGCCATCGCAAGTGTTGATGACGTTTCTGGGAACCCGCTCTTGAAGAACGCTACCTCCACCGAAGACTACACCAGGTTGGAACAGAACATGACTCTCATTGGCCTTGTCGCAATGTTGGACCCCCCTCGTCCTGAGGTTTCCGATGCTATCAAGAAGTGCCACGCCGCCGGAATCCGTGTTATTGTCATCACCGGTGATAACCGCAATACTGCCGAGTCTATCTGTCGCTCAATTGGTGTGTTCGGTGCTGACGAGGACCTCGCCGGCAAGAGTTACACGGGTCGTGAATTCGATGCTCTTAGTGAAAGTGGACAGGTGAAGGCTGTTCAGACCGCTTCCCTTTTCTCGCGCACTGAGCCTAGCCACAAGTCCAAGCTTGTTGATCTCCTCCAGTCTTTGAACCACGTCGTCGCTATGACCGGTGACGGTGTCAATGACGCTCCCGCGCTCAAGAAGTCTGACATTGGAGTGGCCATGGGTACTGGAACCGACGTGGCCAAGATGGCCGCCGATATGGTCTTGGCTGATGACAACTTCGCTACCATTGCCGTCGCCGTCGAGGAAGGTCGTTCCATCTACAGTAACACTCAACAGTTCATCCGCTACCTGATCTCTTCCAACATTGGAGAGGTCGTCTCTATCTTCCTGACTGCTGCACTTGGCATGCCCGAGGCTCTGATTCCCGTTCAGCTATTATGGGTCAACCTTGTGACTGACGGTCTGCCTGCCACTGCTCTGTCCTTCAACCCTCCCGACCACGATGTGATGAAGCGTCCTCCCCGCCGTCGCGACGAGGCCCTTGTCGGCGGTTGGTTGTTCTTCCGCTACATGGTTGTCGGTATCTACGTTGGTGTTGCCACCGTCTTTGGTTACGTCTGGTGGTTTGTCTACAACCCGGATGGACCTGGCATTTCTTTCTGGCAATTGGTAAGTTTGTTTGAGATGTCTCCAAGTGTTCATTATTTGCTAACATGTCCCATTCAGTCCCACTACCACAAGTGTGCCTCTCAGTTCCCCGAGATTGGCTGCGAAATGTTCAGCAACGATATGAGCAAGTCCGCCTCCACCGTGTCTCTTTCCATTCTCGTGGTAATTGAGATGTTCAACGCCATGAACGCGCTGTCCTCCAGCGAGTCCCTCCTGACTTTCTTCCTGGGCAACAACCCCATGCTGATCTACGCCATCACTCTATCCATGCTCCTTCACTTTGCCATCCTCTACATCCCCTTCCTCCAGAATCTGTTCTCGATTCTGCCTATGGACTGGAATGAATGGCAGGCAGTATTAGTGATCAGTGCACCAGTGATGTAAGTGCTTTGATACTGATTCATTATGAGAAACATCTTACTAATGCATACTCTCAGTTTGATCGACGAGGTTCTCAAGTTTGCCGAGCGTCTTCTCTACAACACGAAAGCCGTCAACCCGGTGGCCCAGAAGGGTGTCGGCAAGCCCAAGCGGGCTTAACGGGTAGGACTATTTTGGCGAGAGCCCAAATACGACCTTAACCTTCCCGGATCTCTGCCCGAACAAGGGCTAGCCGGTGTGTAATAGAGATAGATTGTACTTGATTGGCTTGACATTTTGTCGCGCATTGAATACGAGATAGCGTGGACTGACTATGCTATCATGGATGCCTATAGATCCCTGAATGAATGATTTCTTTGCACTTGACAGTCGAACAATTATCCGTACAGCCAAGAGACTAGTTTTGAGTCGGTCTTGGCGCCTGATGTGTAGCTTGGAAGGCCATGATTCTCGGAAGAATGAATGATGTGATCTAGTTGTCATTAGTGTACCTGTAATGGATCCGGCTAGTCAAGTAGAAATAGCTTTCAGGAACCAGATATATCCTGAGGTATGGGCTTCTCGGGTTAACATTCCACCAGACACGGGAGAGAATAGCCCGCTGAAACCACCGGAATCTCATCCCGCATCTAGAGTGTTCCCCCATGCAACCCTGACCACTTGACGCCACCTTGCCAGGGGTCTAAAGCGGGGGAAATCAGACCAGATCGTTACCTTCAGGCCGCGGTGCAACTGGCATGCGCTTTGATTGGATGTCGATCGTCTTTCCCCAGGGATCATCTAGGGCTTTTCCCCGGACTGGAAAAGTGTGGAGTTTGCGGAGAAAAGGGTGTCTTGTTTCTTTGTGTAGTTCAAATACCCCCTAGAGTCCCTAGAATCCCCTTTTCTTCATGTTCTCTGTATTTCAATATGGGAGTAAAGCAATTCCTGAAAAGCCGGTCAGGCTTGCGTGTTGATAATCGTACCACTACGTCGGCCGCTACGCTCACTCTACGACAGAGTCTGTGGCCATTGACGCTAGTTACGATCTTATTTTTCTTATGGGTATCTTCCCCTTTGTCCATGTACAATCCATCTACTAATAACTTCAATTAGGGCTTTGCGTATGGATTGCTGGATACCCTCAACTCGCACTTCCAGAAAACCCTACATATCGACCGAGGTCGATCAGCTGGTCTCCAAGCTGCCTACTTTGGGTATTGAGATCTCCACTCAATTTCATACAGAAAACCTCTAACAAAACCTCAGTGCATACCCCCTAGCCTCTCTCGGCTATGCAAACTGGATCCTCCGCAACTACGGCTACAAGACCGTCTTCATCTTCGGTCTATGTCTATACGGCGTCGGAGCTCTATGCATGTGGCCCGCAGGACTCAACCAATCCTTCGGCGGCTTCTGCGGTGCTACCTTCGTCATCGGATCGGGGCTGGGATCTCTCGAGACAGCAGCTAATCCTTATCTGACTGGTAAGAAAATCAACATTCCCCAACGACTCCCGCATATATATATTGATCTCTCCTTACATCTATCCAGTCTGCGGTCCACCCCGCTACTCAGAAATCAGAATCAACTTCGCCCAGGCCTTCAATGCAATCGGCACAGTCGTCGGCCCGGTCTTGGGTTCTTATGTGTTCTTCACAAACACGGAAGATGATGTAACAGCCCTGCAGCGCGTCCAATGGGTCTACCTCGCCATCGGCATCTTTGTCTTCCTCCTCGCTTGTGTATTCTTCGTATCTAATATCCCAGAAGTCACGGATGAGGACATGGCATTCCAGGTTGCGCAAACGCATGTCGATGAGCAGGATCAACCTTTCTGGAAACAGTATAAACTATTCCATGCGACTCTGGCACAGTTCACCTATACAGGCGCACAAGGTAGATTTCCGTCCCCACTTCTCATTCTATTACCCCCGTCCCAAACTAACCCTTCCAGTCGCTATCGCCGGTTACTTCATTAACTACGTCAAAGATACATGGCCGGGTACAACGAGCGCCACCGCAGCGAAGTATCTCGCCGGCGCGCAAGGCGCATTTGCAGTCGGTCGATTCCTCGGTGCGGGAATCATGAAGTTCGTGCGTGCGCGCTGGGTATTCCTGGTTTATCTATCGTGCACGGTTGCGTTCCTTGCTGCATCAGTGACGCAGACGAAACAGGTTGGTGTGGCCATGTTATTCCTGACGCTCTTTTTCGAGTCGGTTTGTTTCCCGACTATCATGGCACTGGGTATTCGTGGTCTTGGACGTCATTATAAGCGCGGCTCGGGGTTTATCGTTGGTGGTGTGTGCGGTGGTGCCGTTGTGCCGCCGATTCTTGGTCATGTTGCTGATATGCGGGATAATACTGGATTCGCGTTTATTGTTCCGGCTATGGTATGTTGTATCTGCTGGAGTTGATTTTGTTTGGGTTGGTTGCTGATGAGTACAGTTTATGGTTGTTGCTTGGACGTATGCCGTTGCTGTGAACTTCGTTCCGGCTTATACTAATACTGTGGATAAGATCGGTGAAAGTGATGTCGGTCTTCAGAGTCCGACTAAAGATGAGGAGACTGTTATGGGCTCGTATGGTCTTGATGAGACTATTGATGAGAAGCATCCGACTGTTCATGTGGAAGGGTAGATTATTGTCGTTTGATCTGCTTTCAGTATCTCCGGGTAATGGTTAATGGTTGAATGGGTGTTGGTATTTCTTTTTATGCTTTGCTCAGGATTATTCTCTTAATAGAGTGATGGGTGATGATCAACTGAATGCAATGATGCTTGATTGCCAGAATGACTGATACTTTTTGAATTACAAGTTGGAATTCGTATTCAACGGAATGCTAAACAGTCATAGCGAGCAGGTTTGTATCACAGTTAAATCGTTGGGTTAATACTTGACATCGTGGCGACTCAAGTACAACGCGAACAATTTCAACCAAATCAAGGGCTTCGAATCATGGTTGAGTCCAGATATATATATTTACAAGCACTGCCTCTCTGATGTCCTACTGATCTATCCTTTTTGCAACTTTTTGCCCAGTACGAGCAGTCATTTCTCTGAAACCCAATTGAATATAATGATTAACTTGAATGAACGATTTAACCCCATTCGAAAATTACATTAATCGGGGTACAAAGATGTGGAGGAACTCGGTTGGACCAGACAAGCTTGTTGCGGATTGTTCGTCAAGACAAAAGACAGGCAGACAGTGCCATATCTTGAGTGCTGTGTGCTCATCACTTCAATTGTGTCCGTGACACGGGACATGAGAATGAGCCACAACCCTCTGCTAGCTCCACAGCCGATAGAAAGCAACGGTATTAGTTGCCCCACAGCCTTGTCCCTCACACTCAAAGTACGAAAGATAATTCTTGAGTGGGCTAAGATACCGAGTTCGTCACATAGACATGTATGAGCTGGATAAGGGGCTTGATCTCGGCAGTCGTCCCGTTCGACGCTCCAGGAAGTTTGAAGAGTTCAGTACGGAAAGAAGGGGATAGACAAACGCGAGTCCCTGATAGGACTTCGTGGTCATTGTTTCGGGATGCTCTATAGTTTCCCCGTGAAAACATGGACGGGAGGGCAATCGCATCTTCGATGGCATCTCCGCGCCACGGAGTCTCACTGGTAGTTTTGCATGAAGCCGAGAAGCTTCGTGGGGACCATGCCAACGAACATATGCCGGATCCATTGCTGGAACGTATCAGTTCTCTATACTGGGACTCGATGATATCCAAGAATGGCTGTTTGTGCGTCGATCAGATGTACGCTTGCCATTGAGTATCACAGGACCACTGAGCTAGCGTGGACGAAGGACCCTCCTCGAATGTGGTATAGTCAACTCGTCATCGTGAGATGGACAAATGGGTTGATGATCTGATGGTGTCTGGGCATCATATTGATAATCTTCTGCATGGGACTCACTTGACACGTTAGAAGACAAGTCATTACATGGTTTCGATGGCTCTAGAACAGACGCCAGCATTTTCTCGGTATTTTCTTCTTCCGTCGATTTCTTTCCCCAGCATTTTGCTTTAAGTTCTTTCTTCACCTCGGGTTTTCGACTATACTCGCGAACCTCCGCGCCGAATGGCTTCGTCAATGTATATAACCCAATATTAAAATAGCGATAACGGCGAGAGGTCTGCCCATGTATAGGCATTATAAAGTGAGAGAGGGTTGGTGAGGCCGATGTGCTGATTTCACAGTTCAGCAGCAGATAGCCACCATCTTGGTGGCTCCCTGTTCAATGACCAGAAGATGTGAGGATGAGATTTCTCAAAAGTGAAGATAAAGTGAGGTCGGTTCCCTTCCATGGCAGGTGAAGACGCGTCTGTCGGGTGTATCTTGAGCGTATGTCATCATACGTAGTGCCCTTGAAACACACCTTTACTTGATATCTGATAAATAATAGTGCATTTCATATAAAAGCGGGATGCCATATATGAGCTTGCTTTGGCCTATGGGAGTGTTGACAAGTGAGGAGAAAAGAGGAGAGAAAGAGATTTGCGATCCTCTACAAACAAAGAGTATTTATTAATAGCCCATGAAACCTGTCAAACAAGGCGTAAAAGAGTCAAATTCGTCCAATGCTAATGGCTAAGAGGGTTGAGATCTTATAAGCTCCGTGGGAAACATGAGTCCATACCTACATGGGGTGCCAAAAGTCCGTTGACACTCCCTATTTCTATAGATATTTTTGTTCAACCACCTACCTACTTTCAACCCGTTGATACTCCAATGATAATTGAATTGCTTATTAACCATACATAATTCAAGATAGGATCAATTTTTTGTGTACCAGCCCTTTGCTTTCTTCACCTGAATCCTGCTTGGCATAGATCGGATAAAAGCGTCTGACCTGGATCAAGAGCTTTCCATGCAACCTGAATTGCAGTACGGAATCTCTTCTGATCCATCTCAGATTTACCCTGCATACAGGGTTCTGGATAGTGTTCAAACGGCTTTTTTTTTTTTTTTTTCAAGAGAAACCAAACATTCTCAATAGGGGGTTTAGATCGGGTGAATGGGGGGGGCCATTCCATAACCTAGATACCATGCTCTTCAAACCACAATTGCATAAGTTAGCTTCATCGTTGATCCCTTTTCCCATAGAAAAAAAAACAGATCTCACACCACGACCGGGGTGGAGCCAGACTCAGGCAGAGCTTGTATCTCTTCCTGGGAAATTGATTCCACCAAATTTTCGGTTATCTTCCCCGGCTCCGTGATGTGTGACTTTGAGAACTGAGAGTAAGGTATGTGCAGTGATGGGCCAAGGTGCAGGCCCTGCGGGCCGCATATCTTACCGTCTGTCTCCGTTGGATCTGCTCCTCGCACTGAGCCCACGCAGCCCCATCTTCATCTTCTTTGGCTGGGATGTGGCTCATCTTGTCGTGGATAATACTCAGACACCCATCACCGCACCGGATCAGACGCTCGATCAAGGTTGGTGGGAGCATATAGGCATGGTCAACTCGTCATCGTGTAACGGGAAGACCCAAGCTCTATCGACGTTCCAGATGGAGGAAGAAGCTTGGGAAAGAAGCTTGGGAAAGAAGCTTGGGAAAGGGAATAGTAGGAAGTATGCGGTATGGAGGAAGTAAAGAAAGAAACATAAGATATAAATGGAGTGGAGGAAAGCAAAGGAAGTGTGAAAGTTGGGAAGTGTGATGAGTAGATAGTAAGGGAGTCTATAACTGAGCCTTCAATCCAGTGTTCGCCGCTTAATCCGCAGCTATTGGTTCAACGGTCTCTTAGAAGTGACCAAGAAAGAAGGGAGAAGTGAGGCGGATTAGTCTCTCTTATGGCAAGTAAATGTTTGTCAAGAAGGATGAAGGCTAGATTGTATCCACGTACTGCAAATCGAAGAGTACTATGTAGTTGCTATCATATCGAGGTTCCAGTTATCTAAAACAACAAGTGATGCAGAGTTCCAATTTATCCATCTTAGCAGGTTCCGTATCTTTTGCATCGGTATGATGATTTTTGCGTTGAAAAACGTGACGGGTCTGGGGAGCCATCAATAATTTGATTTCGCTGGCCAGTTCGAAAGAGGAGAATGTAGAGCAACAAATGAAATGGGCGAGATAGTTAGGGTAGGGGATATCGAAGTGGGTATTGTCCTATGCAATTTCATTATGCAAGTATTGTGTTGCTGATCCAGCGAGATGATATGGCACAGAGTTATATACGAGGCAGGGGAATTCCAGGCAAAAGCCACTAAATTCAAGCGAAGGTCAAATCATCATGGGGAATAAGGGAAATATAGGCGGGAAAAGAGCCTCAAGAAGTTAAGACAGTGTGAAGGGAAAAGGTGGAAGAGAGGGAAAGTGAAAGGCATAGGTCCAAGAATCGATCAAATTATGCCGAAAAAGAAACAGTCAAAGGAAATGAAAAACGAGAACACGCTGGGTAAGTGGGGGTATAAAAGATCTATCGTCTAACCAAACATAGGAATATGGGATCGGGGGATGGACAAAGAAGTGCGCGAATATAGTGCACATGGGAAACTGTAAGGGAGCTGTCGGGTTGATGATGGTATCATTTAGCGATGCCGACTTTGTCTGTGGCATCGGACGGCGAGCGCAAAGAGGAGGAGCGAGGAGGCGGAAGGGGACTGGTTTCAAGGTTTGAAATAGGAGCGAATGGCGTTCTGGTGCTTGTAGGAGTTTCAGGCTCGTCTCCTAGACGATCATCGGTGATGACAACATCACCTGGTGTACCAGGTTCGTCGAACTCATCGACTTCTTCAATCTCTTCCTCGATCCCTTCGACGTCTTCCTCTTCTTCGATAATCTGGCTCTTGCGTGCAGCAGGCCGCTCTGCCACAGCATCAAGACCGCTGGCATTCAGTGGCTGACCGGGAACAGGGGAGTTAGCTACCCCACCAGACATTATCAAGTTAGTGGTATGGATCATAGGACCCTTGAAAAGAGATCTCTTTCGCCTAGCAAACACCAGGCTTGAAGAAGGCGAGTAGAGTAATGGTCCCGGTACCACCTCATTGAATGATGACATCTGACCTGAGTGGTCCGCAATCTCTCGAGGTGCTCCGCCTGTCCCTCTTACTAATCGAATATTGCTTGGAAAGCGGGATGAGGCACCTGGAGTAGTGGGGAGCACTTTGATAGATGAGTGAGGCGATCTGGAGGCTCTGGCAGTGGGTGTCGAAATAGTGTCTACACTGTTGGAGGAAATCGAAGAAGCCTTGGAGTGAGCACGGGTGTGATGAATGCTGCGGATCGATGATACAGAGGAGGACGTGGATTTGCGTCCTCGTAGTCCGGCCGAAGAACGTCGATAGGATCCACGTGGTGTGATAGGTGAGGGTGAGAGTGAGTTTCGATGACTATTATGACCAGTGTTCAATGGCCGCGGCTGGCGAGGGTAAGAGTGGCGATTTTGGCGGTACGAGGCACTGCTGGGGGCGAGGCTACTAGCATTAGAGATTCGTTTAATCTGGGTGGGCGTCACAACATCCTCCCCTCCAATCTCGCTTGCCGAGGATGGCAAGGTCGCAGTTTTCTTTCCAGTATCTTGACCCTTCGCCGGGCTCAGCTTATCGGAAAGAAATTTGCGTGAGCCCGTCGATTTGGCATGGGGAGACCGCGCTCTCTTCGCCGACTCTACAAACCAGTGCTTTAGAGACGCTAGCTGGCTGAGTATCGGATACTGGTGACGACGACTAGTGCGACGCCGGAAGATACCCTGATGCTGTGTCAACTCCGGTTGTGATGCGCTAACATGCAGCATGCTCGGCCGTGATCGCCGTCTGTCTTTTGGTGGGGGAATTGGGCGACGTAGTGTCGAGCTGTGAGACCGTATGGAATCTTTGTCCAGCGGCAACGGTGGCGTGGTGACCTCAATTGGGAATACTGGAAGTGGTTCAGGAAGCGCAGGAAGATCCGGCACTGCCAACTGAGAGGGCAAGCTTCTTCTATCCCGTCTCCCACGAGCTCGCAACTCTGAGCCTTCTTCCTCTACCTCCATTAAAGCGGATGATCGCTTCTCTAGACGACTGCTCGCAGCGCTCAGACGACGGAGAGTCTTTGCCTCAACGTCCCGCTCGCGACGCTTGCGCTCTCTCTTGATTTCCTTCCGTTGCTCTTTTTCAATCAGCAGGGCCCACCAGCCAGCTAGTGGGTCGCACCGCTGAGCCAGGACATTTTCAATGACCTCGTCAATATTGACCCCAGCGCTTTTCATCCGCTGCAACGTAGTCTTCTCCAGTGGCGTAGTAAATGGCGACGGTCTTGGAATTTTCAAGATTGCAAGCTGTTCAGGAGCATTTTCGGCAAGGAAAGGATGGGCTAGGATGTCATCTAGGCTGGGCCGAATCAAAGGCCGCTTAGACAACAAAAGGTTGATTAAAGCCTTAGCATCGTCCGTGAACTTTTCGTTGAAGGTCGGCGCGTCTGACAATATTCGCTTTTTGGTGATTTGATCGTCATCGTCGTCGTATGGCAGCTCGCCTGCCAACAGCGCATAGAGAATGATTCCCAAACTCCATACGTCCACTTTTTCACCTGCGTATTTTTCTCCTTTAAGCATCTCGGGCGCACTATAGCATATTGTCCCACAGAATGTCTGAAGGTAGCTAGCTTTTCCTTCATATTCACGCGTAAACCCAAAATCGCATAGCTTGACGTTTTCCTGTTTATCCAGCAATATGTTTTCCAGTTTCAAGTCGCGATGCACACATGATTTACTGTGGACGTAGGCGACCGCTCCCACCAATTGTGTAAATATCCGCTTCACCTTCTCTACCGGTAGTGGGCCGTGTCGGAGGAGGTAGTTGTAGAGTTCGTCGCCTAGGACAAACTTTGGTCAGTATGTTTCTCCGAGGATCTTCTGCCATGCGCAGCCAACATACCAGGACAATACTCCAACACAAGCCAAACAAGACTCTCGGTCACCACCACTTCGTAGAGCCGCGCGATATGCGGATGTAGGAATTGGCGATGATGATGGATCTCGCGCACGAGATTGGTGTCCTCCTTGCTGGACGATTTAAGAACCACCTGCCGACTAGTCAGCATTGCCTCCACAACTCGGTTCCCCGTATGACATGACCTACCTTGGAGCCATTGGTGAGCTTATGCGAGGCGAGATAGACCTTGCCGAAGGAACCTTTGCCAATCAACCTCCCCAATGTATAATTCCCTACCGTCCGAAGGTCCTTGGAGGAGAACTCCCTGCGGACACGCACCACGTTAGCGCAACTGGCTATCTAGACCGGAGCCGAAGAGGTCGCTTACTCGAGAAGTTCATTATAGGAGTTGGCAAGCTGTCGAGAAATTTCGAGTTAGCCATATTTCCACGGAGTCTGCGCAAGGCTCGAATAAGGGAAATCGGGGCTCCCTATGCCCCCTGATGACGCACCTTCTCCTTTTGTTTCTGGCTTTGAACCCCCGCTCTTGTTCGGGGCGGCATATGTTATGATTGCCAAGTTTCGCGGTCTCGAGAGTCTCTGCGCGTCAAGGGGTGGAAATGGTTGTGCCGGGGTGCCATTCAACGGGATCGAGATACGCGGAGAAGCGGTATCCGGAGAGTTCGAGAAATCTCAGAAAGGGGTAAGGCTCGGAAAGATGGCCGGATAAAATGCAAAAGATGAAAGGAGGGAAATTGCATACGCAAAGGCCTTGGGAGATTCCCAGACGTCAACGGGAACGTGGACCGTGTGGAGAACTCGGGACTTGAACGGCTCTCCTTTTTTTGGGGGGCTTCTGCTATTATTATCTCTATGTACAACATACAATCTCCCGTTATATATTTCAGGCAAATTATGAATTCCGGACTCCGTTCCTGTCTAGGACTCTGGGCATGACGCTGTTTATAGTCAGCAATTCCTCAGACCTCAATTGGCTACAATGCCACAGGCGTCGACTGTTCGCCCTGAAACAATGGCCAAACTGATCATGATCGTCATAAATTCAGGAGAATATGCACTTGTTTACTGCCTTACTCCCTAAATTCAACATGATCCCTTACTTGTGTATTGTACATGTACAACGTACGACACCGGCGCCCGATTAATCTAGTCGGCTGCACCTATTGGCTGGGGCATGCTGACATGAGCCAATTGGAGAAATGGCTGAACAACCGTCGTCATATTATATGCACTGGTATTATATGCTTCATGATCGCCACCAAGGCAGCGATTCAAGATGTCGGACTGTGCGTTCACTGGCACCCATCGTGGGATCGACGGGGCTGAGTCCCGGCTCACCCTGGAAAGCCAGAGACACCATGCCAAAGTATGAGTGAAGAAGGTCTATTGCGGTAAATCAGCAACACGCTCTTGATATCAGTATGCTATCAGCTTACCAGGAGGATCCCCGGGACCCTTCCCAAACCCGCCGACAAGATGTTGGGTCTTTTCGAGCAAGTATTGACGATTGCGAACTTCATCGACCACGGAATACTGATCCAGCATCTGACCTCCCCGTTAGTAGACAATCACTATCAACCAAAGAGTCACTTACCATCAGTGTCGCACCGTTCCAGAATGAATAGCACGTGTCAGCATATTTATTGCATCGACCGTTGAACCCGGCGCATGATATTGTGTCAGCCTTGATGGGTTGAACATTGGGTAACCCGCGGACTCTATCGTCGACAGATCCCGTCTCTACCAGCTCGCTCTGTTCATCATCTTCATCATCTTGGGGTTCCTCTATCTGGGCTGTCTGTCTCGAGGCCAGCCATGTAATCAAAGCCTCGAATTGATTGGAACCTGCCGATAGTAGGGCCACTGGTTTTAGATCTTTAGAGGTCCGACGCAAAAAGTCCATAGAGCTAATCGCGCAATATGTGTGTCCACCTAGAAGTTGTCAGATAAATTCAGGCGGCAGAAAGGGAGACACAAACTATGCGATTCACAGAAAGGAGACTCAGCCATGCCACCGTCGTACGTCTGTTTCGTCAGACTGTCAGTATTTCAATCGCAGACGGAACATCAAGCTCCCCACGTACCTGGCACGCCTGGATAAAAGAAACAAAACTCAACACATCAATATCCGGTACACCCTCAAGCCCTGTCTCATTCCGCCCGCGCAGAATATACCGTATACCGGCAGCACAGCAGCAGTATCGCAAATCACGAGCTCCCCCTACGTGGCCCTCAGGACCGACAAGTTCACCGAAGCTTCCATCAGCACGTTGGACTTTGGGAAGCCACTCAAGACACTCCCGTCGCTTGACACGCGATAAGTCATCCCCGAGGATGAGTAAGTTGACTAGCGCAAAGAACGTTGCGGGGACATTAGCTGGATCCCAAGCTTCATTATCCTTATTTCGCTTTTCTTGTCCAAAGTCCGTGCCTGGGAAGCCGCGGAATCCACCTGAGGGCACCTGGCAGTGGTAGAGCCAGTTGATGTATCCTTGTCTTTCTTCCGGTGTTGTTTTGCTCTGAAGAACGCCGAGCACGTCTAATCCTGAGAGGGTCAGGTAGGCGAGGAGCATGCGATTAGAGTCATTGGAAGTGTAGGCGGACGGGAGGAAGGTCTTCAGGCATCGGAGGTAATATTTGACATGGCGCTCTGTGTTGAAGATTGGGGTTGGGTCGTTCATTGTAGAGGTTAGACCACTATGTATTATGACAAGAATCGGTCACTATTCCAGTAGCAGTTATTTCATTTAATCCAACCAGCGTGCATCAAGTCGTAAATCAAATCCAATCAATCAGCACAATGTCATGTTAGTGGGGGAATCTCGACCGGAGCTGCTTTTTCCCCACATGTGTCGCGGCCAAAAAAAACACTCGGACCAACTGTCTCTGTTATTTCCGTGCCTGGTTGGAACTTCTCTTGTCAACAAAATCGTGCCATTGTGACTCGCTCATCATGGTTTTCATTTCATCCAAGACTCTTATCCAGGCACATGCCGTGTTTCTGGTTGTCATCGCGGGTTACTTGATCAAGAGCCCGGAGGTGATCACTGACTGCGATCTGGTGTTTATGATGGGAGAAGCCTTGAAGATTGTACGACACCAACATCCCCAATCCACAAATTCATCCCAGTCATATTGACAATGGATATGCCTAATCGAATTGACTGCTAACACATATGATACAGGACTTTCCATCCCTGTCAAGCCCGCAACAGTCCCCCTACACCTTCTGTGCCATACTCATTTTCGTTGAGGCCCTTTCCGACCTCGTGCTGCTGTCCAACATCCCCTTCCACGAAGCTCTTGATGAAGCTCTTCCCTATATCCGACCTCTGCGAAATGGTAACCTCCCTGCCGAGGATCTGCAGGTTCTAGAGCGTTTGCCCGAATATATCACCAAGTCCTTGACCGTTTACTGGAGCGTCTGGATCGCAGTTGCTGCATCCCGCTTTGCTGTGTATGCTGGAATTGCATTCTTTATCTACCAGGGCAGAGGTGATCACCTTGTCTCATCTTACACAAGCGCTGCGGGTATTGGAGGCCTGGACCGCCTGAAGAATCGTGTGGTTTTCAGCTTTGCTTTCTTTGAAATGATGTTTTGGTTCTGGGTAAGTGGAATGCGCCTTCTCCAGGAAGGCTTGGTCCTGTCGGCTTTCTGTTCTATGCTAATGTGTTACTCTATAGAATTTCGCAACTCTCCGCGAGGAACGCCAGGAACGCTTGACCAAGCTTCTGGAGGATACCCGTGAAATGTGAACATTTCCACAGGCCCCTTCTACTTCTTTCTATAAGTGTATTATTACTATGAAATATCCCATCGCTGTTGAAAAGCGACGGCACTTACACACCGTGTACCAGATCAATTAAAACTGCATCGTGAATAGAATAAGACACAGTTGCATCTTCAGCCAGTTCTCGTGTTTCAATCCATTCCATCGTCATCACGACATTTCAATGCTGCTAAACATACTATCTCCCCTGCAATCAACCGGCGCGCTTCATTCTAGATCAGAATGGCGAACGCAGCCGCAGCACCAGCAGCAGCCACGAGCGAAGAATCCTTATGCGTCAGCGCAGCTACGCCAGTGCTAGCCGCTGCGGTAGAGGCGGACGAGGCAGTGGAAGCACTGTTCGAGGTCTCGGTAGAAGTGTGGGTGCCCGTCAGACTAGTCGAATCCTCGGTCTTAGTCGCAGCCGAGGCCTCGGTGCTAGACTTGGTTCCAGTCTCTGTGGAGTTGGAACTCGTGCTGGTGCTGGTGCTGGACTTGCTGCTTGAGCAGACAACCTCGGTGGGTATATTGGTCACACCACCCCGGGCACAGATTGACTTGGCGACCTTGAGGGTTTCTATGATAAAGAATAACATATCAGCCCACTGTACATGCTCCACTATCCATTTTGCGTAGCCAATTGGGATAATCTTGCACTTGCAGACTCAATTGAAGGTAGAAGAAAAGAGGGAGTGGAACTTACTATCCTGGTCCTCCTGAGAACATTTATCAGCGACGCAGCAGGCGACATCGCTTAGGAAGGTCTTGGACTCGCAGATGCACTTGAAATCAATGCCGCAGCTCTCGGGGATTGAGCCTGTGGCACATGTTTTCTATAGAATGGGTTGTTTAGTGGGCGGCACATTTGGCACATTTGGTAGTTGCATGTTGCCTGGAAACACATACCGAGCAGTCGGGTAGATCACCCAAGCCTTGACCAGCGGCTGTGGTCAGCAGAGCTGCCAGGGCGAAAGTTATGGTAAACTTCATCTTGGCAGATATGGGGATGCTGGATGAAGTGAGCTATGAGTAGAAGAGAAAAAGTGAGAGATTTTGTTCTCCAAGTTAGGTCCCCAGGTCGTGGTAATACACCAATAGATAGGTCAAAAATACAATACGCAGATCAATCATGGTCACAGTATGTACTTCCCCGCACAACCTTCCAGGGTTGGGTTTCTCCACAAGATTCAGTCTGTATCGAGGTAATTTTGAATGATTGGACATTAAATATCAGAACTCCGGGGTATTTTACATAGGTATTTAACTGCTCCACTCCACGTCTATCTCTCCCTCTTTCTATGTCAGGTAGTCGAGATACATACCAGTGCAGGTAAACATTATAGAAAGCAAAGATGTCCCCACTTCTCAGACTTTGAAATCAATTGCGTCGGTGATCTCCAGAGCATGCAGCCGATATTGAAACTAGCTGCAATGTCCCTCACCGACCTCCTTCACATCACGCTAGTATGACTCGCCGCTTGCACCGTTGTGAGACTGGCCAACTATGGGCGGATAACCGTAGGCAGAGGCGTCTTGCTCAGACGGATCAAGATTGAGATTCGACATTGCGTTTGCACCTTCCGCATTGGTGAATCCCGCTGGACGAGCTAGTCCAGCTCCATTTCCGCCCTGGCCAACGACCGGTCCTCCAGCTCCATAACCAGCACTTGGAGGTCTCTGATTGTCGCCGCGGGCCGACTGGGTTTCACGGTACTTGGATAGATAGATCTTGAGTGCTTCAGCGTAATTCTCGAAGCCAAGCGAAGTCATGGCAAAGAGAATATCTTCACCATTGACTGTTTTGCGCTTCTCCTGTTGACATTTCTCCGATGCTTCACTTGTGATAAATGAGATGTACTCGCTCACACATTCCTGCATGCATTCCTTGGCTTCTTTTGCGATCTTTGCATTGTCTGGAAGGGCAAGCTTCATGATCCGAGCCACATTGGCAATGGGAAGCCACCGATCCTGTTCCTTCACCTCAAACTCGCCTTGGTGTCCATGCGCATCGTGATGATCCTTGTCTAAGTGGTCTTGCTCCTCTCCTGATTGCGCCCCCGGGTCAACATCGGGTTCCTTTGAAGGCGAGGTTGATGACATGATTCAAATCGGGCTGGATAGGTGATGTGGATCTTGGCTTATGCGTCAATGCTTATGCTTCGCGTGCGCGCTGCGCCGTAGTCTCAAGCGAGAAGACTATCAGCTTAGTGGCGGGGATTTGACAATGAGTCCAGCTGTAGCTCTTCAGGAATGACGGTTGAATCCGATGTTGAATGCGATCACGTTGTAGCTGCTGTGAAAACCGTGCGCCTGGTAACTCGGAGTCTAGCTCTGGAGGCCATTGATGGTGATGTGACACTGATGGTCACATGACAAATCACATGTTTGTATAAGGTCACGTGTCGCCAGAGATGGCACGGATTAGAACCCAGTTCCTTCTCTAGATCCCTTTTTTATATCGATAGATTTTGTGAATGGCGATGCTCGCTTTTTAAGAGCGAGCCTACAGTATTGGGGCCTCGACCAGGGGCCGTTGTAGACTCAATTGATACAGGTTCAAAACCGCGCACCATCTTGTATTGGTATTTCCTATAATTACCTAGCGGGCCCCAGCGTAGCTGTGGATATTGCTGATTGGCACTGTGGCATTTGTCTGCCAACTATATTCCCAGTACAGACCTCCATCACCTTGATTCCAACACTTTTCCACTTCCACATCGTCTTTTTCTATAATATGGCGGTCATTCGGGTTGTACGGCTTACACTCTATACCAATCACGAGGTTCGTATGCGAAATCTGCAAGCCTCCGGTCAGCATTATCGATTCTATTCCCTCCACAGTGGGCCAGTCCCTGATCTCAACACCAGGCTTGTTTGAGCCTGTGTTTGAAAGAAACCCGTCTTCGAGCTATTTCAATCATGCAGAGATCTCCCTGCACCGTGATCGACGATTTAATGCTTATGTTGTAATGAATGTGATGCCTCGGTCTAAGTGAAGCGCCGATCCTAGCTTTCCCCCAAATCGACTTCGTCAGTGGCTCAGCTTTCCCCGCGTTCTGGGCGTATCGTATATACTGCATCTCTACTAAATTATAAGGGCTATGTGGTTGGCTTAGATGTTGTCTTGAATGGAGTCCGAAATGGGGCCTTCGATGGGGTGTATTGTACAAGAATTTGAAATTTGCCTCTATCACATTCAATACAATGACACTGCATGCAGGTTCACATTCGGGTCTTAACATATCGACCGAGCTGCTTATCTTTCCCAAGATTAGTTATTTTTTAGGACTATAATATAGTCCTAAAATTTGAATACATCATTATTTATATCAACTATTCATTCCTATTGGCGATCATTTCCACGTAGTTTTCTTCGGATGGTCGAGACTTGATCTGAGTTGGCATAGTCCGTACCCCTCCTGACTTTGTTTTACTTTTCTATTCAGACCGCTGCATACAAGCGCATCAACCTCCAAGCGTCGCGTCGATAGCTTCCTGCAATCATGGGTCTTGGAGTACTGGAAGATACAAAGCTCGCGCATGTCCCAGGTAAGATTCCCTAGCCTTTTTCTCCTAGACGCAATCAAATCTAGCGTGGCTCATCACGTCTTCAAAAACTACAGGCACCTCCGATATCTACGAACAAAACAGCGATGCGAGCGAACATACTCCAGGCGCCCCAGGCCTCAAATATGACTTATCAGGCAAACAGCCGATTATCCTCGTCCCGCAACCGAGCGATGACCCAAACGACCCATTGGTATGCTCCAGAGAGAATTGCGCCCCAAGACTTGGTTCCACAAGCACACAGAAGCTGACTCAAGTGAACCCATTAGAACTGGCCATTATGGCGACGCGATATGATCCTTGCCATCCTCTCCTTCGTAACCGTCCTTTGCACAACCCTAAGCTCCATCCTAGCGGCCAATACCGTCACCATCGCAGATTATGAGGAAATCACGTTCACAGCAGCGGCCTTGTTGACTGGATATCACCTGTGTGGTGTCGGTGTGGCGGGAATACTCATTGTGCCAACGGCCCGAGTCTGGGGAAAACGTCATTTGTTCCTAATTGGGCATGTCTTGATGATCATCAGCTGTATCTGGGCTGGGGTCAGTGGAAAGAACGAGAACAGTCTCATATGGGCACGGGTATTCCAGGGTGTCGCATTGGCGCCGTTTGAGGCGTTGGTTAATGCCTGTGTTGGAGATCTTTATTTCGTCCATGTGAGTTGGGCCATACTTTCCATACTTTCCCCAACATTTGAAATGTGAGGAAATTAATATAAATGATACAGGAACGAGGAAAGCGAATGGCTGTATCCAATGTCGCGCTCTTTGGAGCCGCCTTTTTGACACCCGTTGTGGTGGGCAAGATCACCAAGTCCATGGGATGGCAGTGGTCATTCTACTTTGTGGCAATCTTCCTCGGCGCCTCATTACCGCTGATGTTCTTTTTCGTGCCTGAGACTGCTTACAGGCGCTCTGATTACTTGAACACCGACTTTAAACGATCCGGCGGACAGGGCGAGTCCATGGAGTCTCATGCTTCGCTCAGTGAAGTCTCCAATGATGACACCAAGGAGCTTCGACCGGACTCTGCCGGTGTGAACGGAATTTCAAGGACTGAGGCCGCGACAACAATCCCCGAGAAAGATTCGTTCACTAGATCGCTCAGGCTTTTCAATGGACGAAAAACAGATGAGAGTTTCTTCAAACTGCTTCTTCGTCCATTCCCGTTGTTCTTCCATCCGGGAATCTTCTGGGTAAGCAATGCACTTCGCATTTGAATTCACATACTGATGAAAGTTTAGGCTTGTCTGATTCAAGGCGTGGTCATCGGATGGGCGGTTTTCGTCGGTGTAGTCCTAGCAATTGTGTTTCTTGGACCTCCCATGTGGTTCGAAGAAGACAAGACTGGATATCTCTATACGGGTGCCTTCATCGGTTCCGTTGTAGGTCTCGTCCTGTCTGGTCTGCTTTCTGATTCCATCAACAAGTTGATGATCCGGCTCAACCACGGCAAATACGAGCCCGAATTCCGGATCCTTTTGGTGATCCCCCAGCTCATTTTCTGTGGCATCGGGCTCTATGGGTTCGGATGGACCGCAAACAATGTGATGCACTATGGCTGGCTACTACCAGATGTCTTCTTCGCATTTTTGATCGTCGGCATGGTGATGGGGGCTGTTGCTGCTTCACTCTATATCGTTGATGCCCATCGTATGTGCACCATGAGGCCTTGTATGGAGATAACTGCTGACAATACTAGGCGAGATGGCCATTGAGGCATTCACCTGCATGCTGGTTTTCAAAAACATGTTTAGCTTCGTGCTGACCTTTTTCGCCTACAAATGGTTTGCCCATGGAGGCATTAAGCACACCATGATTATCATTGGCAGTATCCAAGTGGGCATCTGCCTGTTGAGTATACCCATGTGTAAGTTTTACACAACATGCAGTGTTGATCAATGTTCCCTATCTGACCAATGTTGTGCCCGGTATAGATGTCTTTGGGAAACGGAATCGGTCCTTCTTTGCGCGTCATGACATCCTCGAGATGCTTCATCTTCGGTAATATGCTGGCAATACCGGAAGTCTGTAGAAAAGAAGGGAGAAGGTATCCATGATTTTACCCGATATGAACGATAGACCAAGCATATGCTACGAGACTTTGCATATGTTTACACAATTCAATATCACAATTGTCTAAATCACAAATATCATATTTGCACTCGAACTTACTAGGTGATAATTAATGAGCTGACAAAAAATGGACACTTTCACAACAAGGAAGATTAATGACACCATGGAATTCCTTTTTTTTTCAGTATTACATGATATGGTATAATGTCGAGTGTTTTCGCACGAGAAATATCAAGATGCAGCTGGGTGTCCAAGTCCTATGTAGGTCGTAAGGTAGCACGCCTGGAGATTCCGTAATTCCTCCTAGACCTTGGGTCACGCGAAATCGAACTCTTGAGGCTGGACTTTTCAACATCTGTATGTGGTTCCTTTCCGACAAGGATAATATCACATATTAAATCTTTCGTGTCTCGCAGAAAAGCGCTCAGGTTGAATTCTAGCATGAAAGAGAAGATGCCTAATATGGTGATTGGGACTGTGCAAACGAAGAAAATCCAGATCTTCGGATGGGTCTTCCAATGTAACTGTTGCGTTTTCTCGTCATTGTCGAGATTGAAGAAATTCATTCCGAAAAATCCCTAGAATGATCAGTTTTGCTCAAAAGTGCATGCTGATTTGGCCTACCGAGATGAAAGTGCCCGGTAAAAATAGTAATGTTAGGGCAGACACGGTGTCGGACAATATTCTTCCTTCGTTTCGAGTTTGTTTGAGAATGCCTTTCGAGATGTTACTATCTCCGACGGCTACAAAGTTGGAGGCCTGTTGACTTCAGCATAAATCTCACTCTTTTTTTGAGGCTGGCATCACTCACGCATTTGATTTCATTATCCATCCGAGCTACAAATGCTTTGGCTCGGAAATTCAAATTGGAAATCAGGTTTTGACGAAGCAGGAGGGCTTTCGAGAGTCGCTTTGTTGCTGCAGAAGGATCGATTGACTGACTCCACATATCGTGGTCTCGCACAATTGCGCCAAGGTTGTTCGAAACCGCGTCCATCGTCTCGGAGATATGGATTACATGTCGTGATAGTTCGTGAAGCTGGTTGTATCGTTCCATGAGGACCCTAAATGCTTCATCGTCGTCGTCGGAGCCAATTTCTTTGACTGGTTCTTGACGGCGCCGCTATGATTTGTTAGTACCCGCAACTTATATCATTGATCAGGGCAATTACCTCCTCTATATCCCGCACTGGCTTCTGGAAGCTCCACAGATCTTCCTCGCACTGGTCTACCACAATACGTAGAGCAAAGTCTAGCATCAGAAATGGGTCTTCGTTCCATGTTTTGAGGTCCGCGCTATGCAACAAGCGTCTTAGCCGAAGGACAAGCTCGTCATCGAGATCAAAACAAAGAAGTAGATTGGTGTCGTTAGATCCGTCCGTTTTGACTCGGCCTGTCCCTGTCTTTGAACCGAGACAAGACCTCCACAAGGTACAAAAAGCCATATAATGCCAAGCATAGGTATACTCTGGGATAGAGGGGGAGCGTAGATCTGTGTTCTGCACACCCGGTATCCTTGCATGATCTTCCTGGTTCTTCGGCTTCACTTTCTTAGAAAGAAAACGTGAGAATGTTCCTTTACATTTCAGGTTAGTGAATGATCAAAATTGTTGCCGTTGCCTCGTACCATAGCTTGCTTCCTCATCATTCTCTTCCATATTTTCAGTGCTACCAAACATTCCATTTGCGTTCCAGCCCAGGTCTCGAAAGAAGAATTCTGGAAGGAAGAATTTCTTGGCTAATTTTCTGCACAACTCTTCACTCCCCTGGATCGCTATCATATCTTTCACTTTAGGCATGATACTGATCTTAGCATTAGCAAGTTTCAAAGATTTATGGACTGGTCCCATTCACATAACATGAACACCGGGCGTTCTATAGAACTATATTGCACCTATCAGCACATGCGCGCCAAAAAGCTTCGATTCAGTTGCCCAACATTTTTGGCCAACAACTCATCTTGGCTTAATTCTGTGGGCTCTGGCAGATCTCCATTCTCTGGTATCGATTGTTGAGGGCTAAGTGCAGGTGCGGGCAATAATCGAGTCTGGCTTAAACCCTCGGGCTCGGGCTCGGGCTCAGTCACATTTTCAGCCTCCGGCATCGATGTTTGAGGGCTCGGTGCAGATGCGGTATACCGCCAGTAATTAATGCTCACTGGGCGATTTGCCGTCATTGTCGAGGGACTGCAGAAAATGCTGCTAGAAGTTGTCTAAGGAAATGAGAGAGAAAAAAAACGTTTCCCAGAGCCAATTCAGGTCAGCCTGACATTTTATATTCAGGGGAAGGCAGATAATCCTTCCCTTGAAAGGCAATACCAGACACACGCACCGTACAGATTGCATGAGGCAATCTCCGATCTGGTTGGCTGTGAGGCTGAGCTGCACTCTTTAGTGTGTATTTTGCTTTTTCAAATGGCCCCCAAAACGCGTGTCCATAGCGGGGGCTGAGGAAGAGTCAAGATTTTTTTGCAACATTATATTTTATATGGAAGCTCAGAATTTCGAAGTCATCTCTTTTGACTGAATATGGAGATGTTACTCCCGGGTGGTAGAGTAGGGTCAAAGGGACAACCGGGTGCCCACAAACAAACGCGTTCATTCGTCCAAGTTGCTCTTAGCGTCAAGTCGGTAAGATGGCTATAAGTTACCGAGTCTTCAACCGGCAAATCATATTCAATGCGACATCCCTTTGTCACCTGCACTGTCCCTCCGTTGTCTCAACCAGACAAAATGGCCGTAAGAATTGACCATGAATCTCTTGAGGTTGACAAACACCTGATGCACGAAACTCTTGGGGCATACATTGATGGAAAAATCCATCCCCTATTAAGAAAGCGTGTCTGGCCGCGCATTCTGGTCCGTGGTCACTATGCCCGAAGTGCTCCCAATGTAAATATCTCATCTACCGAAAAACGGGAAAAACGATTTAACTGGCATCGACCAACAGCGTTCATCGTCAACCACTTGATGCTGGAGATCAGGTGTTTCCCTGGACGAGACTACGTGCAGCATTATGCTCTCCTCATCGCATATTACCTTAGACTGAATTCGATCAAGGCGACCGCATCAGCGGTAGAATATATTCTCCCTTCTTCAAAAGCTTGTATGGATATTCTGTTGCAATCAAATTTGCAGTTCATGGGCGCTGTCGACACCGTCATCCTTGGGTATGTGGATCACCTAGCCAATGAGGATCATATCTGGGAGACAGGAACAGATATCCCAAACCAGTCATTCGCATGGAAATACATTCAACTGGCCGACGGAAGCGTTGTTGCCTTTGTGGGAAGCATGATGAGCCTTTGGGGCGATATCATTGGAAACGTCATTCGCACAATACGAACCAAACACAAGATATCCAACGTTCTTTACCTCGGCAAGGCAGGCTCATTGCGACCTCAAGATGAGCCAAATAAGGTGCTAGTCACTGGCGAATCCAGTCGCGTCGATGGCCAGCTTCTTTCTTGGGAAAGCCCACTCACTAAGACACTCTCGACAATGGAAATCTTAAACCTCTACCAGGGGACTCATGTCACTGTACCAAGCCCATTGGTCGAAACTGAGGATTGGCTCACCAGAAACCAACAGAGCGCGAACTGGGTGGACTGCGAGGTCGGTTACCTAGCAGAAGCCTGCCAGGAAAACAATATCCGATTTGGGTATCTACACTTTATCTCAGATAATGTGGCACAGAAACACATGTATAGCCTTGCAACAGAGCGCCAGGATGCTGTTATAAGTGCACGGATGGATATTTGGGACAAAGTCCGGCAAATCCTATCTACATATCTCGGTATAGAAGACTTGGGAGCAAGTATACAAGGAGATCTTTGTAAAATATAGACAAGCATTCAAGTCCTTTTAGAATATAGTATCAATATCTAGGATAACTGCTTCTAAGCTAGGGTAAATGTACTTCCTAATGTAATTGTGGCATGTCGATCTGGACGGAACCCTAGTTGCCAATAGCAATGGGGGAAACTCGGTTCCCACTCTGCCAATTTTCGAAGTCATGCTTTTGATGAACATGACAATACCGAGAAGAGACATCAAAAAACATGTTTTAGCTTAAACTGACTCCCTCGGATGTATAGTGTAAGAGGACTGCACATTTGCATATGGAGTATACTTGGCTACAAGGTAGTATTGTGGAATTTCATCAAGGTGCAGATGGTTCTATCTCCTGGCTACAAATGCTGGGGATACCAACTATTCTGTTCTCATATCACTACAACCTGAGATAAGACCGATTATATCCGGAAACACCTGGAGCTAGCATGTACTAGAATGAAAAAGTTTACATTTCAATTGATCGGCAAATAGGGTGCACCAATCGAGTAGAAGCCTTGCGGGTAGAAAATGTTTGGGGGCTCTTATACGCGCTTTTCTGCAATTATCTTCAACTCTTTTGGGCGCGCCATTCTTCTGCTTAATCTTTGCGCCCATGCAGATTTCCCGTTTGATCAAGAAGAACACGGCACAGCATTTATGGGAACCAAGATTAAAATAACAACTCAAACAGCAATGCAGGGGGTAGAGCAGGCTATCCATCATCTTCAAATTCTAGCCGAGCTCAGTGACATGGCTGTGTCCGGAGCCCGCGTGGCTACTCAGCTTTTTACAAGAACTGTGCAGGCCAAGCAGTCATCTAGTCCAATCGCACCCCCATCGTCTGTTTCTGGCTCTCAAGGGCCACTTCAATGCCCGAATTCGATAAGAATGTGTGGTGAACAGGAAAGGTGGGAGTCTTTGGAAGCGGAGGATCCTTATTCAATGCCGGATACCTTTTTTTCGATGACGCAGGAAGAGTATTTTTCAACCCCCAAGCTTTCTTCGTTAAATCTATCTATGCGCTGGGGGAGTCATACTTCTAGCGTCTTCTTCGATGAGCCATCGGTATTTTCTGCTGATCATGCATCATTGACGTTAGATAATCTACTGTACTCATTGGACTGATGGGGATCAAACTCTACATAAATAAACAATCTACACAGTGTAGTCGCGTTGATCACAGTATATTTTCCAGACAGTATTTAGGGTCGAACTCATCTTGGTACTGGTGAGATAAACAAATCGAAATGGCAATGCCCAACGAAGAACTAACACGTCGGTCTGGCTAGTCCAAGGTCCCAGTTTGAAGTAGACCCCACAAAATGTCGCGCTCGACGGACTGCACTCTAGTTGTTTCAGTGGGCGCCTTAGTGATTACCGTATGAATATGATAGGCCAAGATGATATTCGCATTTCGCACATGTCAACAAATATGTTCTTGACCCCACAGTAAGACGCTGTTGTAGACCCAATTTGGTCCCGCCCATACCGCCGATAACAGAATGGAAACAAATGTCTGAGCGGAAAGATGATCCACCGATTTTCCTAAACAAATTCCCAGGCTCAGACACTGATTAATATGGCGCTAAAATTGCAGAGGCCGCGAGGCTATTTTCTGGTAGGAAGAGCCTTCTGAGCTGCCATCCAACACCTATCAATCCTTATCTACCACTTTCCCAGCTCATGTCGCTCGGACCCATGTGAGTCTCGCGAATTTTTCTCTTGAAACGCTGGAGGTCCTCGGTGGAGGCCAAAATGGTGCGTAGAAATGTCATTTTGTGCTGGAAATTCAGTCATTTCAGAAGCGACACGCCGCGGGCCCCAGGTGCCCAATTCGGCCTGTTTGGGGTAGCCCCGCGATTCGTGTCTGCTGGGATGCTATTCGCATAAGACATCTTAATGAGCTGGAGCTTGCTGACATTCCTCAACTTTTTCTCTACAGTGGAGACGATTTAGATCGAAACAAGCTGCCCAGACTCCCCGACAGGATCACCTGGATGAGCGGGTCAACTCGACATCTGAGAGTAAGAATCATGCCTCATCGATATTGACCTCCTGGGAGTCATCACTCCATATTCGTCGATGGAGCCCGGTTGTAGGCGAGCTGTGCAAGGACGACGGCCCATCGATCACACCTAGGCGGACATCGCAACTTAGTGAGACGAAGAACCAAATACTTTCATTGACCTCTCCAGAACATCAACGGCGCCGCCCGCAAGATCGTCGAGATGATCCAATAGGCCTCACAGTTCTCCACGCCCCAGAGTCAAAACACCGGACCGTGGACATCCTGTTCATACACGGACTCGGAGGCACAAGTCTACGAACATGGTGCAAGAATCGGGACTTAGAGTTTCTCTGGCCTAAAAACTGGCTGCCAGAGGAATCAGATCTGTCCACGGCACGCATTTTGACATTTGGTTACAACGCAAACTTTGCCGCAAAGAAGGAGCAGGCATCCTTGTCGATTAACGACTTCGCCAATGACCTACTGTTTCACATGAAATACGACAACGATGGCGACGACAAAATGGGGGAAGTGCCAATTATCATTGTCGCACACTCGATGGGGGGTCTTGTGTTTAAAAAGGCCTGTATGTGATCGAATTAGAGGGGCTTCAGCCGAATAATCATGGGTTGAATGAACCTACTAATTTCAGTGGCAGTCGTCCATGGGCATCTTGACGAGCAGTACCACAAGATTACATCTAGCATCAAAGCTGTTCTCTTCATGGCTACTCCGCACCGGGGGACTGATCTCGCAGAGTCCCTAAACCGGATCCTCACCAGTTCCATTTTTGGCCATTCCCCGAAGGATTATGTCAGAGAACTCACGAAAGGCAGCACTACTCTCGACGAGCTGAATGATACATTTCGCCATCATGCGGCAAAGTTGCAAATATTTTCGTTCTACGAGACCCTCAGTACAGCGGTCGGACCGATGAATTTGATGATTCTAGAAAAACATTCGTCCCTATTGGGTTATCATAATGAGACTCCAAAGCCTTTGATGGCAAACCATCATGATGTGGTGAAATTCTCCAGTCGGAATGACCTGAACTACAAGTCAGTGCGAGGTGCCTTACGCAGTATCGCCAATGAGTTCCGATTTTCGAAAACGCCCGAGAATAGTACGGAGAAAGACCTGGAGATGATCCAAAAGTGGCTGGGGGTGACGGGGCCGCCAGAAGAGGACTTGGCTTTGCATCGATCGGTGCGGAAGACAGGAACATGTGAACACCTACTGCACAAGCCCAAATTTGAAGGTTGGCTGGACTCAGGTATTCCCAATATCCTCTGGTCACATGCTCCCCCGGGGAGTGGAAAATCGATCCAGTGTTCCTTTGTAATCGAATCCCTTCAACTGCGCCAAGAACGCTGTGCGTACTGGTTTTTCAAAGATGACGATGTTCAAAAGCGTTCCCTAAGCAATATGCTTCTCTCAGTGGCCTACCAGATCGCGGTTGAAGATAAGTCATTTCGACGAGTTCTTATGGACGTTGTCAAGTCCGGCATGCGTGTCGACAAAGCGGATGCGTGGACAATTTGGCGAAACATCTTCGCTTCTAGACTTTCAGCCATCAGCACGGTGCTGTATTGGGTCATAGATGGGTTGGATGAGTCGGAATCGAGCAGAACATTTATCGATCTCATCTCAAATATCAGCACGTCCCAGAGCAATATTCGAGTCCTTTTCTTCAGTCGTCCACAGTCAGCCATCAACCGATCCATCCAGATAGCAAGAAGGCGAGTCAATATCGCAGACGTTGCCTTGACAGACAACTTGAAAGACATCCGTCTCGTGGCTGCAGATGAGATGGAATACTTCCTCCCGAGCGATGAGTTCCAGAATTTCAAGCACGAAATTATTGAGGAAATTACCTGCCGCTCGCAAGGCAACTTTCTGTGGGCAAGTCTTATCCTCAAACTGGTCGTCAAGTGTCATCGTCAAGATGAGGCCAAACAGGTCCTACGTGTCACGCCGGATGGCATGGATAAGCTCTATTATGGAATGGCTGAGGCCATTGCAAAAGTAGACGGTGTAAAAAATACAACTCTTTGCAAGATACTACTCTCTTGGGCCATATACTCGATCCGACCGATTGGGATTGAAGAGCTCATGGAGCCCTACGCCACGGAGCTCCACACAGTCATAGATCTAAAACACACAATCAGCGAAATTTGTGGTCAGTTTGTGGTCATCAACGCCAACAATCAGGTCGTATTGATCCACCAGACGGCACGACAATACCTCAGAGCCTGCACCCGGTTTTCATTCTCCCTCGATGCGTACGAGGTGAACGAAGAGCTTCTCTTCCAATGTCTAACATTTCTTTGCGATAAGTCATTAAGAACTAAAATCCGACTACGCAAGACCCCCAGGTTCGTCACATATGCATCCGTTTCCTGGGCTCTTCACCTGAATCGCTCCTCTGTCAACTCTGACAGGATACTGAAGATTCTTGTTAAATTCTTCAGTGGTAACTTTCCATTGCCTTGGGTTCAATTCCTAGCTATCAATGGGCATCTTTCGCACTTGGTGGCAGTATCTTCCCATCTCATGAGCTTCGTCCGGCAACGAAGAAAGGTTGACGCGATCAAGCCGCCATCACCCCTTCGCTCATCGGAACTGGTGTTGCTGGAGACATGGGCATTGGATCTCTTGAAGATGACAGCGAAATTTGGGAGTCATTTAAATGATGATCCCGACGCGATCTATAAATATATTCCCGCCTTCAGCCCAGAGAGCTCGGTACTTTACCAGAAGTACGCAAGCAAGCCATTGTCTACGATCTCCATCTCTGGCATAACAAATACAGACTGGGATGATTGTCTTGCTCGGGTATCAAACGGTTCTGATTCTGCATTGTATATTGCAGTTTCGGCGGAATATCTTGCTCTTGCGAACGGCCGACCGAATGGTAGAATTCGGCTGTGGAGTAATACCATCTTCCAAGAGCACTCTGGATTCAATCCTGGCGAGCCGATATCTTCCGTCTCTTTCAGTGACTCTGGCTCGCTCCTGGCCTGCTATTGCCTGGATAATACTTATGTGTGGAGATTGAGTGACCGGAGTGTTGTCACCAAGATCCAAAGCCCTTACCAGGAGCGACCAAAGTCTCTGAGGTTCGCACAAGACGAATCGTTTCTCATTGTTGCCACTGACTTTCGTCGTGTCTACCGACTGAATCTTGATAACAGCACTCCGACTTGGATTTCCTACGGTCCTTCTCTTCTACTGGAAACTTCAGTGCCGGAGGGGGCGTTTGTCAATACCCCATCATCGGTTAACTTCAACCCAGATTGCACACAACTTGCCGTAGCCTATCGAAACTTTCCTCTGGCCGTTTGGAATATTGATCCACCGGAAGTGATTGCCAGGTGCAGGCAAAAAGAGACACAGGGACAGACAACGAATGCAACATCCTGGACAGGTGTCAACTGTGTGGTCTGGCATCCCTTCAGTGGTCAAGTTATCGGAATCAACCGCGACGGCAATATCTTCAAGTGGGGTCCGATTGACGACAGCTACGTAGAGGTGAAAGAGGAGTCAGATAATACGCCATCAGATATCCAGTGTTGTCCTAATGGGCTTGTCTTCGCTACCAGTGACGTTAGAGGCTCTGTCAGAATTTACGACTACTCACAAATGGTTCAGATGTATAAGCTAACTTCAGATTCCATTGTCACGAACATTACATTTAGCCCAGACAGTCGCAGACTCTATGATCTGCGAGGGTCCTGGTGCAATGTATGGGAACCAAATTGTTTGATCCGGATCAATGATACCAGCATGGATCCATCCGAGGAGAGCGAGAGCGTGAAGAGCTACGAACAGAAGAGAAAGGACAGCTGGGGCTTAGAACTAGACGACAAGAGCGGCTCTATGATCTCGTTGCCAACATCCGAAGCGTATGCTGATACCAAACCGCCGATCACGGCAGTAGCAAACTGCGCGAAGAACAGGAATATTTTCGCACATGCCACAGAGGACGGGACGATTGAGATCTGTGACATGGAAAGCAAACGCAAGCACCTCATTACAGAGTTTACTTTCGGCATGGAAATTGTCCACTTCGCTCTAGCTCAGAATGGTAATTACGTCGCGTACTGCTTGCTTGACGGGCATGTCACAGTGAGGAGCATCGACTCCTCGAAACCGGAAAGAATTTCCACGCAAACAGTCTTCGCAGAGACGAAATCTATCAGCCGCGGCCAGATCAGACAGATTCTTTTCGATAGCAAATCTGAGCGACTCTTAGTCTGTGGCACCGAGAGACTTCAGGTCCTCTCTGTCACAGACAGCAGTATAGCTGCTGAGATGGAAATCGACCCGGCCGATTTGCCTGCACAATGGGAAAATCATCCAACAAATCCGAACATCTTACTAGGCTTCACAGCCGACGGAGTTAACGCATTATCTTGGGATGCCCTCGACTTCAAATATAGCCTCTCGTACAACCTCTCCATCGACAGCTCCGATAGCCAGCTGACCCCATCTTTAAGATTGGAAGCTTTGTCGCAATCGTACCACCCGAAAATGCATCTTACGACCACCTCAGAAAACACCGCGAGTGGCAGGCGGTTCCGCTTTCTGCTGCTGGATACTTCTGTGCTATATGAAGATCAAACCAACTCCACCTCTTCTGGTTCGATTAGTGCCGTCCATATCCCGCTCCCTATTGCCGAATGTATAGAGCAGCCCGTTGGAATTCTTGCCGATGGCCGTCTCGTTTTCCTTGACAAGGCCCTATGGGTGTGTACGGCGCAGTTATGGTTACCATCCGCTCGCGAGTCGGGAACTACAGTGACAAGACACTTTTTTATCCCTCGCGACTGGCTGAACAGTGCGGGTCTAGTATTATGTAAGGTGCAGGCGGATGGGACGTTTTTGTGCCCCAGCAAGGGTGAGATGGCGGTGATTACGAGCAACATGGGGACGGACTGGTGAAGCACGACGCTTTGGGTAGAGTCATGATACGTTGGACTCGGTGTCCACGCTCTTAAATGAATATATGAATTTATACATGCAAATACTACATGACATTCGAATTCGAAGTCATCTAGAGCATTCCAACAAAATACAACTATGCGATGAAATGCTTGGCAGTTGTTGCCTTATTATTATGGCTTCAAGGGCCGAATTGAGCCACCACTCCCCGATTACGACCTGTTGGCCCTGAAGTGTTATCGTCATTCAAATGAATCGTGGGAGGTCGGAATATATAGTGTATATCTATGTAGATCCATGTAGATCAGGGTTCATCGAATCATTTTGAGTCACGTCACGACCTGAAAATCAGAGTCGGCTTCGTTCTAATGCGGAATCTTCGCTCCACTTAGACCATTCACTAGCGTAGAGATCTCCGTACCTCCGGGGCAGATCGATCTTCACCCCAAAACGATGATGCAATGGCTTTTCGACCGACGTCACGGGGATGAAAGAAGCTTTCCGGACTTCCATTCCACATATAGTTTTGTCTCTGCTATCTTCTTCCTTGTCGACTCCAAATTTGTGCAATCATGGCGACTGCGCAAGTGACTCGCCAGCCCCGGCTAGCGGACGATGGTAAGATCTACATTCATGATCTTCAGCTGAAAGCTAATCTCACATGAAATAGCCGCGACTGCTGCCCTATATGTGACGCATCCTGAACGCAGGGCATCTCTCCGCGCCCCGACCGCAACCAAAACTCAGAACATCAGTTAGTAGCATCCCTGGATAGAGGTGAGTACACCGAAGCTAATAGTGTGCCTTGTGGCAGATTCACGCGCGGTCGGCGGTGCCCGAAAGCTCGACCATGCTTCTGCTGCCTCGGCGCTCGCTCACGCGAAGCGCAGACCTGTCGAAATATGGCAACCCCCGGCTAGACAGCCTGCCGCCGAGAAGGCTGCACTCTGCGTGAAGGACTACGCTCCGCCCCAGCCATCCAAACCTCCCACGGCGCACAGCGCGGACGGACTGGGAGCCGCAATGCTCGCTGTTCGTGAGCAGAGAGCCTCGGTGAGCCAGCCATCTGCATCCGCTGTCAGGCGTGGCAGCTCTACCGACCGTTACCACCACACGGCCGTTGGCGGCAACCCGAAAGACAAGGCACTGAAGGCTGCATCGGGTGCCTACACGCTCTCGCGTAAAAGAGCCGACTCAGCACCTGTTGACGCGGGGAACACCTCCGAACTCCAATATGACCCTGCAACTGGCGCAGCACGGTATTCTCAGGTGGAAGAAGAGGATCCCCTTGACAACTTAGATCCTGCTATGGAAGCAAGCCGGGTCCGGCATATGTCTAACGCTAACCCGAAGTTGTACACTTATTCACCACCTGTCCAACCTGAGACGGAGGAAAAAATTCACCAGCACTCGCAGCGCGCTGCTGCGATTTCAATGGCCAAGAAGATGTACAAAGTCACCGATCCAAAGCCACAGACCAGCGAATCTCCCGCTGTCCGAGCGGCCCAAAAGGGGCAAAGCCAACTAGGCTACCGCAAAACTATATCCACGGCAGATGGGAATGCCCTTCGGCGTGCGATTGCCCTACAAGAGGCAGCGCAAAAGCGAGCCGCCGAGAAGCTAGCACTGATGCGGAATGAGCATGCGGACTACCAGCTATATTATGGTACCGCACCTCAACCACAACGGTCCCGCCTAATCACCCGCCGCAAGAGGTCTTCAAGCGACGCGGAAGGCTCTCAGACTGACGCAGAGCAATCGCGGCAAATCCGGAGCCAGATGAACAGCCTGCGGGCCAAGATGGGCCAGGCAGATGATCGTCAGACACAGGATCGTGAACTACTTATGCAGGCTGCCCGCCGCAATGTGGACCGAACCCTCCAGGACATGGAAGAGCGGGTTTGCGCGGATACTGGTCGCGCTCCACCTTCACTGCAGAGGGAGTGGGACGAGGCTGCCCAGGCACGTGTGCGACAGGAGGCAGAGGAGTTCGAAGGCGTTCCCACCCAAGAGGATCGAGTCAACATTGGCCGTCAAACGTATATGGACATGGCCGACGTCGATGCTGTCGCCCGGTCTCGCCTCCAGCCTGCTCTTGATGAGATTGCCGAGAATGCCGAACAGCGGAGAGCCAATGAGATTGAAGCCCGTCTAGACGCCGAAGAGGAGGAGAGACATGCTGCTGTCGAGCGTGAACGCGACGCTGATACAAGAGAGATAGAGAAACAACTCAGAGGTAAGCTGTCCTGTTTTTCCCTCTTTCAACACACCCTCTAATCAATGTTGTAGGTACAAGCAAGCGCGAAAAGTCCGAGAGCAAGATTCCCAAATTCTTCTTATGGAGGAGGAAGGGCAAGCGAGCTCGGGTTGAGGAACCCGAGACTGAAGAAGCTCAAGACGCTTCGCCTGTTACTGAAGGAGCAGGAGCTGTATTGGAGGAGCCTCCGACTACAGCCCCAGATCCCACTGCATCGACGGACACCATTCCCGAGCAAGCTTCTACTGAGCCAGAGCCGAGGGATACCATCCCCGATGAAGCTTCTGTTGAAACAGAGATAGCCGCTTCCCCAAGCGTTGCAGCCGCCTCCTCGGTCGCAGAGACCGAGCCTTCAAAGCCCGATGAAACCGATGTGCCTGCGGCGATCCCACGGCGGCCAACACGAAGCCAAACCGAGCCCCTCGAGCTCGGACAACGGGATGTAGCCGTCTCAGACCCAACAGTTGTGCACTACTTCACGCCACCAGTCACAAGTCCACGCGCCGATACAAAGCTCAGGAACTGGTTCCGCGACCGTCTCGCCCGCCGCTCCAGTGGCCCAGTTCCCATATATCCCCCCCAGCCAGCTCCGGAGTCCAACACAGAGAATGAACCCGCATTTCAAGGTGGCGCCTCTTTGACCGGCCGTGATGAGACTCGTAGCGCAGCACTGGCCTCACATCCTCTTACCGGGACTATCCCGACCCACAACAGATCTTCGAGCTACTACAGCAATGACTTTGATGTCAGCAAGATCAATAGTGCAGAGTCTGCCCCAGATTCTACCAAGCAAAATGGCAATGGCAAGAAGAGGAATCGTTTGAGCCGGTCGTTCCTCAAGACCGTGTCCAGTAACCATGATGAGTCTCTTTCCAACGATGGTGACTCCCGTCGCGACTCGGGGCCCCAATCAGTGTCTAAGAATGGCGACGGCGACGGCGACGGCGACGGCGCTGATGCTCAGAGTCTAAAGGACAGTGCTAATGACCAGAGTCTTCCCGTCCCACCTACTATCAGTGAGACGGTGAACGGCAGACGAGAATCAAGATTCTCCGAGATTCTGTGATTCTGTGATTGATATTGACTGATGATGTGTATGTCTATTTGAAACGTTAACTTGATGTACGATTTGTTATTATGTACTTTACAGGTGATTTACTGGCGCTTTTCGGATTTGAATTCGGTGATCTGGAGGATATTGGAGTGGGATTATTTGGTTCACTTTTATAATTCTCGGTGTTTCGTATATAATCAATCTAATTCACAATGTCTCCCTAGCACCATCATTGCACATGTCTTTCAAGATGAGCAATCACTCGTCTCAGCGGATCAGTCACGGCTTTGTCTCCCAATGTGTCGCCTCCATCTAAATCAATAAACTCCTTCACCTCAAACCCATGTCCCTGTCCCTCCGCACGCTCAAACGAAACATCCACCCCAAGCTCCTCCAAAGTCCCAGCTACAACAACACTCTGCTCAAAGCCAACCACTTCATCTGCATCCCCATGCACAAGAACCGTTGGCGGGAAATCCTCCTTCAACCCAAATTTAACAGGGAAAAGCACCCGATCCTCCACCGAAACCGCCCCAAGCCCCTCAGCTGCAATCCTCGCCGCCAACCCAGGCTTCCTGGCAAGTACATCGGGGAACTGCGCCACCTGATGCAAAGCCATAATCCACCGAAACCGACCATCAGCAGGCGGGTCCGTTGGAAACGCATACCCATCAATAGCATCAGCCCGCATAGCATCCTCGACTTCCTTCAAGACCTGCGCTTCATCCTCAACAGGGGCAACAAGCGGCTGCCCAGGATGGATATACCGCTCACTGGAAGAATCCATCATTCCATAAACGGAGAGCAAGGCGAGTGGCCGTGGTGTAGCGGGATGCGCGGTAGCAGCGAGCGCTAGATACCCGCCTGCACTAGAGCCGGCGATGATTACCCGCTTACTGATGTTCTCATAAACCCATTTTACGGCGTCTATTGCGTCTTGTAGGATTTCAAGACCTGGGGTTTCGGGGAGTAAGCGGTAGGAGGCGGTTGCGTATGTCCAACCTCTCTTTTGGCAGGCATTTATTAGCCAGTGGGGTGTGAAACTTGTTTTTTCGCCTAGAAACTGCGAGGTGTGGTGTGAGCTGGCTGATTGGTATTTTGGGGTTCTAGGTCATTTTTGGGACTTACTAGGAAGCCTCCGTGGAAGTGTAGGACGACGGGGCTGTTTTCATCTTTCGTTGGTGGGGAGACGACATCGATCTCTAGAGAGAGGCCGTCTACGACTTTGAAGATATGTGTGACTGACATGATTGCGTGAATTTCTGATTTCGTTAGAATGGAGGATGAGCATATCTATTTATGTCTTTTTGTAAGCAGAGGACTACCCCCACTGGCACCCCTGCCAGCGGGATATCTCCACACTATATAGTGCCGGGAGGTGGAGAGGACAGATAGAGCAGATTACATTTTACGTCAAGCCCAATTATCTTATAGTATAACATGTTGTGTAGATTTTATAGCCCGTGAATAGAATGTGCATAGTATCAAAAGCTGTGGGTAACTTCCAGAATGGAAGCCACGGCAGTTATATTTGTTGTGATTGTGTTTGTCAGATTCACATATAACTTCTGCGTGTAGCTAATGAGGTAGATTGTTCTTTATAATTCTAGCTTTGTCCGTAAGGAACACCCATCCATCATTATCATCTCTTATCTGAGTGATCAATATCGCCATCCTTTCTGGTAGGATCCTCGACCTACCAACGTTTCATGGGTGAATCGACTCCCATGGAAGTACAGGATTATCGTGCAGTCGGGTTTACTAGTCGGGAGGACTGGGTATGCTGATCGGTCATGTATAAGTTCCGAAGATAGGCGTAGAGACTAGGGCTCCGCCAAGCTTTCAAAGCCCACAAAGCCCAAAGCCCAACCCGACCCACTAAAAGGTCGGGGTTTGGGCCCTATCTTCGGGGCCACCGGTGGGCTATGAGCCTAGTAGTATGCAACCCACTAGGCTTTTGATAGGGGCTTTTAGGGCCCAAAAGTATCAAATAATACAAATGTAATTATCTTTTACTCGATTTACATATGGCTATGTATCCATTCGTCTTCCGCTAGCTCCTTGGCTGAGCTGCGCTTACCGGGCTCCCATTGTAGCATTTTGCGCATAAAACGCAAAAAAGCTGCTCTCTCAGCTTCCCCATCGAGAGTAGTTTCCCTGAGTTCAAGCGGTACTAAACCTGTCAGTAAGCCCGGATTCAAAAAATTGCCTAGATCGACCTAGTTAGCGTACTTGAATGCCGACAGTCGCCACGTACAGTGAGAATAAGAAGCTCACCTTCACTCGAAAAGAATTTGTCAGTCAGCTCCCCTTGGGTAAGAAGACTAGGAGGCGGGGGGCCAAGGAGATTGATCATCTCGGCAAGGTGTGCCCGGCTCCGGTATCTTTCATATTCGGGGTCTTGACCTGTAAATAGGGAACCACCTTCATATATATCCCAGATCTATAACGTGAATGTTAGCAATTAGCGGATTTTAATGCGGCTGTTAGTTAGTCTTACCATGCATCCCACATTCCATATATCGGCGCTAAACGTCCATGGAACGCCCAAAATTACCTCTGGTGCACGGTAGATTTGAGGTTGAATAAATACCGAGTGGTACTGATCACCGTGTACGGCCGAACCAAAATCACAAAGGATGGGGGAGCTGACTTGTTTGGGTACTTTGAGTTCCTGGGACATATATATTGTTCTTCCGTCCGTGTCTACCTCTTTCCTCGGAACAGGTTTTTGTAATTCGTGCTCTTCAAAGTCAGTGAAGACTGAATTATCCTTGATCCCGAACAAGATGTTATCAGCCTTGATATCTAACGGAGAAATGAGTGAGGAAAGTATAGAGACCAGAAGAGATGAATGGGGCCACGAACCAGTGTGTGTAATGTGGCACTCTGTATGAAGATAATCCAATGCTAAAAATAGGCGATGAAGAACGACTGCAATGACTGGCGAGGGAAGCCTCTCTACCGGGTTGCGGCGTAAGAAAGCTAAAACACTCTCCCATAACGGGGGATGCACAAGGCATCGATTTTTGTCTTGGGATCCGTCGATATAAAATGTATCAAGTAACGTTCTTATCACATCGTGACCGGGATGGGCTGTTGGGGACTCCTCCATGTATTTATACATATTGAGCTCGTTATCCACTTGTTTGCCCATAGACGAAGCCCGGACGAAGATTTTGAGCATGACATAACGCCGGTCACTATGATTTTAGTATATAAGTATTTCTGAATCAGTCAAGGCATGAAATCATGAGGAATCTCACTCCATGTCTCGTGCAAGCCATACAGTTGAGGTTGACCCAAATCCCAGTTTGCCGATCACTTGATACCGCTCCTTGATGACTTCTCCGATTCGGGTTGGATAATAGTCCGAGGCGATATAGTCCGGAAGAGTCTCTTCTTCAATCTTGTGCCACTCGGGTATCCGTACAAAGTTGGTGTTGGAGAAATCGAGAGGTTTCCATCTCCGCCCAAGCTGGGGGAGAGATCGCAGAAGCGACGAAAACATAGTCTAGGAGAAGAAGCGAAGCGTCTGTTGGATGATATCTTGAATATTGAAGAGAGAATAAAATGACTTTCAGAGTAGAATTGAGCGCGTTCGACTTGGTCGCTGAAAGGGCGCGAAGGTCGCGAGATGTCGCATTGCACCCAGGTCAGGTGATTGATCTGTTTTAAAGCAAAAGGGGTGGTTCGGATGAAATATCAACATTACACTATAATAAAGGCTTCATCTTTGTGAGCAACTCCATTGGGAGTAACCCAACTCATAGCGTCTCGGTGCCATATTTATGTATCTGACAAGAAGCTCGGGCCTACCCTCCGGGCAGACCCTCGCTCAACTAAACCAAAATCTATTAGGGGATTCGCCAATTTATTTGAATAATATTAAATAAATATTAAATAAAGAAAAGCGAGAAGCGAGAAGCGCCGTATACCTACGCTCCTATAGAGCTTCGCTCGCGCTCTGCTCTATAGCGGTAGGTATACGGCTGGCAGAAAAAAAAGTATAAGATAGAAACATAACTATCTATAGTCTGAAATTGATAAAACTTGGCAGAGTACAAATAGATAACTCCTCCTATATACACACCAAATTTGAAGTGAATCGGATCAAGGGTCATAGAGAAAAGCGAAAAAAAGGGTAACATGGCAATTTTTGATGGGGTGGACGCCAAGTGGTAGCAGACCCATCGACCAATGAGCGGCCAGCAAAGTGGAAGCAAAAAACCGATTTGCAAATATATATAGTTGATTTTGAATTGGACAATGTTTAAGCCTAACTGCACGCCTTTTTCCCTTATATACATAGAACTTCTCGGCCCAACATTCATCAGCTGGCTATGTAACTCACTACAGAAGAAGCCCTATACCCCAAAGAGACTAAAGGTGTGCATTTGGTCTTTCTCTTCTTTGTTGGCTTGAAGTCTACTGCGCTTTTTCTAGCTGTTTTTTTCCCTTTATGTTAAAGCTTTTGGGGCAAAACTAGGTCATTGGTATTCATTCTCTGATCCTATCAGTATCAAAGCCAGAGTATAGTATCAAAGATCAGTGTATTTGGTAAGATCAAGTTTGATACCTATATACTAATCTTGTTATAGAATGTGCCACTGTGTATTCCTCCTTGACTCCGCCATTGATCTTTTTACAATTTATTCCTACAAATGGTTCTTAGAGAGATACAAATTGATTTGGTATCTCCAGAGCCATGAATTCAAGCACCTTCTCCCACCGAATGCATATCTGCTGTCCAGCCAGATCCATAACTGCCCAAGAAAGATATCTCTCTTGTCGATTCCGTTCGCAGGTTATGCAACGATGATCCGAACCAAAGCACGAACTTCTTAGACGGCGCAAGCAAGTTGAATTTGTTCACAATCGCTACAGGTGTGCTTCCCCTTCATGCTCTTCGCAGGCCACTGAGTTAACCATCGGGGTCCAGCGATTCATGGCCTTATATTCCATCAAAAATCCTCGCTTTACACCCTTCCCTTGTCTGATAACCCGCTACGCAAGGCTCTCGACAGACTAGATGTGGCTTGCAAATCAAACCAGCAACTATATGTACGGGCATCGATGAATACAATTCATACAGCCGATGAACAAGATGGGTTCATGCAGTACGCTGAAGAGTTTGCTCTTTTAGCACGTATCTCTCTCGAGCTTTCATATTTCTCGCCAACGGAATGGTCCGAACTTATCGAAGGACTGCCTGACAGCTCCTCTCGCGGTGAATTTGCTACTTTGGATCAAGCCGGCATGGGTCCTGTTGGAAATTTGATGCTGGCTGTCGAAAACCTGAGCTTGAATAGCTAAATACCCTCCAGTAAAGGATCTGTTGATTGGTGTTTCTGGAAATATTCTTGATAGTATAAAAAGGGAAAGGTCTAGCAGGAAGCGTCGTGTTGTGTAAGAACAACAATACGAAAAAAGAAACAAGTACATCTTCAAGGCATCTAGAAAGGCCAATAAAAAGGAATGAACTATTCCAAGTACACCGGATATTCTCATTATTATCTATATCCATGTCATGCTTATTATATGGATCGTAGATCCAAGGATGCTCAATCATTGGAGCTATGAGAGCAGTTAAGAGCAGTCGAAGGCGTGGTCGACTCTAGAAACGGGTCAAATGAGCCTCTGGGCCGCGCCGAATTCTTCAATGGGGCTGCATTATTTAGACATCAATAAGATATTTGATTTGTTACTTTTAGAATTCCTCTTAGTGATCAACACACTGGCACATGGTACTCATCGGCATTGATCCGTCCTAAAACCGGTCCCCTTGATAGTGTTTCTCAACCTCCACCGTCACATCCACCGTCCTTAAAACGCCCCCCTTCCCTTGGAGATCCTGCGTCAAATGCCGCGTGCTCTCATTTCCCTCGCTCGAACTAGACCGTCGACCCTCATTATTCTGATTATCTCCCGATGAAACCTCGGTAACAACCCCCGTCTGACCTCCCCATCCATCAAACATTGACCGTCCATTCTTCCTAGGGCGTCCACGCGACTCTGACCGCGAATGCGACTGGCTTGCTGCCGAGGAGGATTGGTTGATATACCCGCTAGACTTGGTGTGGGGGAGCTCGAGCCCCTCGGGAATCTCAGTTGTGGATAGGCCAGAGTGCAGGCCAGCGAAGATGTGGTAAAGGGTTGGAACGCATGCGATTGTGACGGTTGTGAGCATCATTGCCTGTCCAACCACTTCCCAAATAGACACGTCCCCTATATACTTGTCAGATTATTGTAAACAGGTTCGAAAGTTGGAAGTGGAAGGTGTCACGGACAGGAAACGTCGGTTGAATGGGTGAATGAAGGTGTGAGGGCTAGGTGGGCGATTCCGAGGCCGACCATACTATGATAGGTTAGTTATTGGACGTTCGAAGGAAAACTCCTGGAGTGGCTAAAATACCTCAGGCGCAAAGAGAAGGAGCATAGGATTTTTGCCCGCTTGTTCTGGGCCATCTGAACATGTCGCATCATAATAAACGGCAGGACAATGATGATCATCTCTGTGAGTATATTGACCAATGCGACCGGGTAGAAGAGGGCTCCCTGTTTGAGATCAGAGGTGTTCAAAAAGTAGTTATGGCCCGGGGTTCTGGCGTATACTGACCTGCCCAGCACATCGCTTGGGCGAGTATAGCCACACCTGGGGTAGTTCACATTGGAACGCTATACCCAACACTGCGAATACCGTCCACCCAACAACTACACCACCGGTAAAAACGCAGCTGCGACGAAGGCTTTTACTTGGCGTCAACTTCCAAATCAGCAGGATAGTCGACATTTTCGAAAGCGACAAGACAAGGATGAGCAACAAGTGAGCAGCGAAGGCATATTTGCTCCAGGCTTGAATGTCACCTTCACCAAGCTTGTCTTGATGTTTTCCCAGTCCATGGCCAATAGCTTTTTGTAAAATAACGACTTGAATGATTGCAAGTATCAAAGCGAGCCAGATGGGAGTATTGACTGTTGTCCGTCGCTGCTTGAAATAGATCACCGAACCGAACTTAGCAAGCACAAAGATTATAGCCACAATCAGAAGGGACACCGAGGTCAAAGTGATGATCGGTCCCCGATTATCACTTGATAGAGCCAGGAAGGCGGGCTTTTGTTCGGCCATCACACTTTTCAGAACTTGGGGAGATGGGTGCCATATAATCAGCTACCTTGCTCACATCTTGTAAATACTTTATTACTTTTGAAAAGTTTACAATCCTTGTTCTTCGAGCCCGACCCCAACTGCAGGGGCGAAAGGGTGGCTTGCTAGTTTGGCGTATTACCATTGCTTCTCACCTAACTGCAGGGATACGGATCCTGTACGGAGTAAGTGTCTATTAAATCGGACATACCACGACCACATTGTACACTAGTTTTGAGACCCTATTGGATCCGATAAATTCCCTTCGATGGCGATATTAATGAACTGTGATCAACCCGAAATCGAAGGGGCCGAGTTAGCGAAGGATGCCGCTCGGACTCACGAAAGAAAAGACCGGTGCTTTTAGGGCAAATGCTAGTCACCAACAAGCGTGGAAGTTGGGCCCTTCAATTTACAACAATCCAATGGTCTGCCAAGACTCCCGGTCTACCACTAAATACGGAGTAGCACCGGTTTTATTATATTGCAATTGACAAGGGTTTGCGCCGAAGCGAGGACACCGTTTCAACGCGGCACAACTTCTTCTCTCTCGCTTCTAGATTGCATGTTTCGCATTCATTCCGCAATATCCAAACCCCTGTCTAGTCTCTATGCACGGAATTAAGGAGCCAAAAATGGCTACTTCTTGCCATCTTTCGACCGGTCCTTTCTCAGTCGAATTTTTTTCCTCTGCAAATTTCCTCTCGTCAACCGTACCTCAACATGCAGGATGATTTGGAAATGAAGAGCGAAAGCGCTGTGCAATCAGTGCCGGTAGGGAGTGGACATGGCGGCTATGAGAGCGCTACATTTCGCCAGAAACAACACCTCGAGGTAATTGCCCCGCGTTCAGTGGACTGGCGCAAAATGTCTAATCTTCCAACAGAGATATCTGAATTTCTTCTCCTCAGTCGCCTTTTCCGCTTGTCTGCTTGCCTCATGGGAAACTGCTGGCGGTAGCTTGCTCTCGGGACTGTACAACGGCGGCCCTGCAGCGATTGTGTATGGCATTATCTTGACCACCCTGGGCAATCTGACCATTGCATGCTCCTTGGCCGAGCTTGCCTCTATGTACGTGAAAAGATTACTGCGACCAGAATTTCACCGCGCCATCCTTCTTTCGGCCTACCCAGTGGACTGGACTGCCTCACATCTCATCTGGCTGCTGCAATCAGCGGCATTCTGGCACCCTACCTTCGTCCGTTGACCCGCTGACCTTGAGGCAGACACCCAACTGCAGGAGCTCAATATCACTGGAGCTATTTCCTCGCCCCTCGTGGCCGTCGATTCCTCAGTTTCTTCCAGGGTGAGCGCACGCCTCATACTTTTCCTTTTTTGGTCATGTGCTAAACATGTTAGGCTGGGTTACGGTGTTTAGCTGGAGTTCATTGGTCTGTATAGCACCTTTCTTTATCGGAAACCAAATCCAGGGCATGGTTAAGCTGGCCTACCCGGACTATGAAATGGCGAGGTGGCGTGGTACTCTGCTCATGTGGGCAGTTGCAATCATCCCGATTTTCATAAATGTGTTTGCGCGTCGCGTTCTGGGAGTCGTCGAGGTTGCTGCTGGTATCATGCATGTTGTGTTCCTCCCTATCGTCATCGCAGTCGTCGTTATCCTCGCCCCTCGAAACCCCGACGCATTCGTCTGGGACAACTTTGTCAGCGGCTTTAGTGGCTGGAAGAATCCTGGAGTTGTCTTCTCCATTGGTCTTCTTGGTGTTCTTACTCCCCTGAGTGGTAGGTCCCTCCACTACCGGCATGTTGAACAATCTAACCCCTACCAACAGGCGTCGATGGCATAATTCACATGGCCGAAGAAGTCAAAAATGCCAAATTTGTCGTACCCCGCTCCATGATCTACGGCATTCTAATTAACGGACTGCTCGCATTCTGTTACTTGATCGCCATTCTCTATTCCATGGGCGACTACATGGAGGCAGTCACCAGCCCCACAGGCTACCCTATCATTACAATCACCTACCAAGCAACTAAGTCCAAGGCAGCCACATTCATCCTCATGACAATGGGAATACTGCCCGGCTGGATTGGCTTCTTCAACGGCCTCGCCTCTGTCACGCGTCTCACCTGGGCTTTCGCTCGAGACAACGGACTCCCCTTCTCCGTCTTCTTTGCCCGCGTCGACCCAACCTACAAGATCCCCATCCGTGCTTTATTCCTAGTTGCATCGTGTATCTTCGCACTATCGTTCATCCAGATTGGATCTACGGCTGCGTTCAGCGCCATTCTCTCAATCAGCACTCTCGGTCTTTACATTTCCTATATCATCCCTCTCATCCTCCTTGTGTTCAAGCGCTTCATGGCGCCCCAGGATGTCCCACAGGGATCATTTACGCTAGGGAAACTCGGTCTCCCCATGAATCTCCTTGCCATTCTCTTCGCCACCTATTTCGCTATCTTCCTTCCATTCCCGTCGACCCTCCCGGTTACCGCGGAGAACATGAACTATGCCGGGCCTGTGCTCGGATTTGTCATGCTGTTTGCCTGTGGAGATTGGATTGTTCGCGGACGGCATATTTGGCAAGGCCCAACCGTCAAGGCGTGGGCTCAAACTGAGTGAAGCGTGGAAAAATTGGATCGAACGTAGAGGGGGAAGGGGAAGCAATTGAGTTGCCAAAATTTGTTCATAGCGTTTTATCACCACGGTGTGACTAGACTGTACGTATACTTTATTTACTATCTATCCAGAATGTACATATTTTCTACAAATCATCGCAATATAGCTTTGTCTTTGAAATTAGATTCTGACACGGTCTCTCCAACATTTTCAACCTCGGCCTTGGCTTTTCTCCCACGTGCGTTCTCTGGCGTTTTGAGAAGACTTGTCAAAGCGCGGCTGCGGTGGAGCTTCCGAAGCTTGGTATTTCGGGAGTTCCCTCGACCTTCATTCCGGGAGACGATTACTTAGGTCAAGCTTTACAACTTTCAATTTCTTCTTTGGTTCAATTCTCGGGTCTAGAACCATACACCTATGTATACAGCACCGAAGCGCTATTCGGCTGTAGAAGGGTGGTTGGCAGATCTGGAAGTAGCGCTCAAAGCCCACAAAGCCCACAACCGCAAATGGGCTAGGCTTTGGGCCCGGGTCGGCCCACTAAGCCCATCATGGGATGATGGGGCCCGCTTAGGCCCAATGAGCACACAGTGCAAACACTGTGAAAAATAAATTACTCTCGGTTTAATCGGCTCTTATATTGCGGCAATATGTATTTCCGGTCCCAGTTGAGGATTGCGGTGATACTGAGCATGGGTACCCATATATATACACCCACATGTGATTCGGTTACGGCACCCAGCCCAGCTCCTTGTAGGGGGTAGCGTAACTAGTAACATTTTCTCAATTTACATTTCTATATTATAAATTTACGAGAAAACGCGTTAGATAATTTTTGAACCGAGGTTTACTGAGAAAGTGATAGTACCCACACAATTTTAAAATATATGTCTACTATCTAAGCATCAATATTAAGCATTTTTCGGGTTATCGCGACCTCTACTATTCAAACTCTATAGAATCAGTAGAAGGCCAGGATACAGCGATGATAATTCGTCAGGTTATAAGCGCTAAGACACCCTAAATGGGCTATGATGGGCTATCTATGGGGCTCTATCTCAGCTCATAGCCCATGGCTCATAGCCCACCGCTGGTTGAGCCCTGGCCCTCATCCATGGGCTCTGCGGAGGTCTAAATGGGCTATGGGCTGGGTTGTGCTTTGCGGAGCGCTATCTGGGAGTTACTACTGAAGTATGGAGTGTCTGAGGCGGATCGATGACTTTGGGTAGAATACGGTATATTGACAGATTCTACCTGTTACTTCCTCCTAAGCATACATCTTGCTCAACGAAGGTTTTACTGTCTCCAAAGATGTAAAGCTACAATGCCCCTTGTCATCCTCGATTCCACCAAAATCACCCGCCCAGGATGGCGATGCCACTGTTTCTCCCCACGTCACCGACCCTCTAGCGGCATGACCCAAGTCCTCGTCCTTGGGCAAATGGCATGCAGCACTGATGGCAGCACTGCAAGCCCCCGCTAACGGCATTTCGGACTTGAACTTTCTGACCGATAGTCCAAGCAACATACAGACCATGAGCGCACCCGTCAATATAGAAATAAAGATGGCCAAAGGCTTATGGCTCAGGGAGTTGATCGAGAATCCCTGAATCTCTCGGCCAACCCAGTCATACATCGTGACCCGGGCATAGAAGATACTCTGGGAAATCAACCAATGGAGAATCATGTAAGCCACCATCAGAGGGACTCCATACTGATATGGCATGGACAACCAATACGTTGACTGCTGCATGCTGTCTTTTATGGGCCATGTCACTCGAAGAGGCTTTGAACTTGCCCCGTAGGAGCTATATTCGGCTGTCGCAAGCATGCTAGTCAACACGCTGTTGTAGAAGAAATAACTGACTGTGATGACTAGCTGTGGTATATTGGCCATCACCACAGAGCTCAAAGTTGACAATGTCCTTTTTAGGTCAACAAGGTCGGTATGGTCCCTGGCACCAGAGAACCCCTTTTGCCATATTTCTTGGAGAATTTCGGGCGTCAACCAACGCTCTCCTAGTGGAGCGATGGCTTTTCCAAAGAGGATTGCTCCGGCGGCAATACATGCTGAACATCTAAATTGTCTGGGTTAACATAGAGTCAAAGGAAATATTTGAATGGGCTCTTACAAGGCGAGGGTTGTTATCCAGCGTATAGGGCTTGAGGCTTGCAGCCAGTGCTTGCGTTGCGATAATCGCCTGTATTCCATCGGCACTCGCTGATCGGCTCTTTCCAAAGTCTCTGCATCAGGGTCCTCTGTCTTTTGGGGAACTTTCCAGGCCCCACGGCGGACATCAGCGTTGGATAACCAACACATGCCCTCCGTGGTGGAATCTGGTTTTTCCATAAATGATGCCACCGCATCGCCCACGGTGAGCAAAGGCGGCGATCTATAGCGACCTATTCTTGCCGCTAGGACCATTGCCAGGACCTTGAGGGATGTCGTGAGAGCAATGATAATGCAAATCGGCGGACTATAGAGCAGCTGGCATCGCTCTTCGGATTTGATCACAAGACATCCGTCGATGTTATACCTTCCTGATCTATTGGTTGGATTGCAAGTAATGACGTAGCCACTTGCCATGATGTTAGATGTGGTGTTAACCTGTATGTATCGATCCACACTCTCAAGTGTCGGCTGGTCCTCATCATAATTGGCCCATTTCAACAGAAGATCGGCATCGTCACAGGAGGCTGTATCCAGAGTGTCAAGACACGCTTCAGCCGTGAAATTATCGTTTGTGTAGTAATTTGCTCTCCCAGAGTCAAGGATATTGATCATCAAGGTCTTACCAGCAAATGCAGACCCGTGCACTTCATTACTGTGCCCACCACCTGAGTAAATGCTGTCCGCGAGGCTCGTCCAGAGTATCGTAGCATTTCCACCTTGGCCCACGGACAACTCATTCGTGAGCGCGACGACGACCTTTGCCCCCTACTGTTATAAATATCAATATCGATGCATTGCTGAGTGTCCAGGCGGTCATAGTTCCCACGCTCAATATCAGCGGCAAAGTCATGCCAGCTTAAGTCACTCTCAGAATACCAACCATGCTCTAGCTCTGGGTTTGAGTCTCTGGCATCAACGTCAGAATAAAGACCGTGATATGCAGGATCTTCCTCACTCCGCAACGTTGGGGAAATTATAAAACACTGATCAAGAGCAGGAGTTTTCAAACTCGCGATGTTGGAAGAATCCAAGTCCCCAGGTCCCATAACAACCCGAAATTCGTTTACGGCCATGGCCTCAAAGACCATCGAGTTGTACCTGTCAGATTAGGTCAATGCCACATATCTGGTGTCCTAACCCTTTTGCGATAACATACAACAAATGAAACGGTGTTCCCGTGATAAGCAGTAGCAGCCATAGAGCGAGCCGAGATCGTCCAATGACAAAGAGATTTCTCACACTCGAGCATCCGATATCAAGCCATCGACCTTGTGCGTGATATTTGTCGACCTCTTCCCGACTCGGCGCGACCAGTGACTGCATGCAGTAGTTGCTCGCACCCAAGATTCCAGTACTGATTATGTTGATTATCAAGTGCAGGGCGATGTTCCATCGTTTGGACAAGATACAGCTGCCCTGGTACATTACATGAACGCTGGAGAATCCACTGTTCTCTGAATTTCGGCTGGCAAGTCCAGCAGCGACTGCAATGAAGGTGAGATTCAAAAGAAGCAGAACAGTAGTTGCCTTGGCACAGAGCAAGACGCCATTAATCCACTGTGGCTTTTGGGGGCGGGATGAGTCGTGTTTAGTAACCTCTGCTTCGGCACTGGCTTCGATATTTTCCTGACTTTCAATTCGATTTGACCAATGAAGTATTGCTTTCTCGGGTTGATTGCTGGGAACACCATGATAGCGTTGACTAGAGAACACATATTTGGCACGATGCCAAACACTTCCACTCTCCATACTTGGGGTGGGAATGTACTGCGTGGTATATAGTAGAGGTACACTTCAGGCTTGGGATAGAGACAAGTGCACTGCAAATGATAGGCATCCCGGGTAGAAGTAATTCTCCGAATCCCCCTGCTCGAAAAGATGAGGCTGAGTTCGTATCCATGTGGCCGTGGATGTGGAAATGATTTTCGCGGGTTGTTTTAGCTCCATTGGCACCGACTCCATTGGGGCTAATGTGACACTCCCAGTACCCTTGGCATATGTACTGCCCCTGCAATATACGCATATTTATAAAAACGGCAGTCCAAACCCTCTGTTTAGTGGTAAAACTGGCATTCAGGCATCAATCACCCTGAAAAGGGGTGAACCCTGAGTTCTATGAGTGTACGTACGATGTATGATATTGGCCCGATCTTTGTTTTTGTTATGTGTATACTGGGTCAAGGCCAAAGAATTATACCAATGTGTTGTGACCTCCGGATTGCCGGATTGGGTAACGGATGTTTGGAAGCGAAGTCGGAGGCTAGAGCATACACCTACCAGTCTATTAGAACAAATCCAAAAGTACATACACGCATTGATATTGGTTTTCAATAAGCGTGATAATGTGCGTTGAAGCTGTGTCGGAAAGACTAGATGTAGGGGGCATATCCAGATGCTTGCGCATGCAAACACCTGAGTAGAGAACTGGACATGGTACCTGACTCATGTGACCTCTCTTGCCATAGACGTACTAGTACCTATATCTGTAGATGTAAAGACGGCGACCTTCACTTCCTTCACTTCCTTCATTCTCTTCACTTTCCTTCTTTTCGATCACTCTTCTTTCACTCTTTCCTCTATTTTTCCTTTCTTCACTTGTTTCTTTTCTATCTCTTCTTCTCAATTCATTATCTTTCTTCGGATTTCCTTCTTTTAAAAATGGCAAACGTTTCCGTGCTTTCTTTACCAAATGAGCTGATATGTGAGATTTGCTCTCACATGTGTGTTGCCGACGTCCTTTTATTCGTTAAATGTTACCCCGAACTTTCTCAACCTCTTCTTTGGCACTGCCAGTACCAGCGGGAGCGCCAGGAGCTGCACGAGGCACTGATTATATGTATACAAGGGGGTGATGTGAATGCAACACGGCTTCTCCTCTCAATCAACGCGGATGTTGAAACTGTTGAGGACGACACCAATGACGAAGGAGAACGATCACCGGGCCATGATGCACCAGGATGCTATTGGAATACCTCAATCCTGGGCTGGGCTGTACGAGGTGGCCATAATGACATAGTGGAGGCTCTTACTCAACACCTTGCTCAATTAAAACTGAAGATCCCAGCTCTCAAAGTGAAGTGTATGAGAGATGCATTAAAGTGGGCGGCTCAAGGGGGCTTTCTTAGCATGATTAAATTGCTCCTTGAAATTGACTTCGGCATCACAAGGTCGCCTGAATACTACGACAATGCATTGTATTTTGCATTAATGAGGCCATATGGACATATTGACAGAAACCACTGCACGTGCTCAAAGCAGAATTTCTGCTCTGGATGGCGCAAGAAATCAGGACCGGACTATTATGCCACCGTGAAGCTTCTGCTCGATGTCGGTGCGAACCCCAACTGGCCTGGATATTCCCCAGGATCTTCTACATTTTCACATCCACCGCTAGAGCTAGCACTGGACACATGTAGCTTGATCTCCGATGGCACTGTGAAGCTGCTTGTTGAACGCGGTGCAAATGTGAGAGACAAAGACTTCCTTCATGCATTTACAAATGCTTCGAATCGATGTACGGTCTATCATGGAGAAACGGCAAAACACCTTCTCGACCATGGTGCAAATATCAGTGTCCGGGACAGCCTTGGTCGGTCTATTCTAACCAAAGCCCGCAAAAGAGACCTCATTCAACTGTATGTTGCTCGTGGACTCAGCCCAAATGATGTGGATGGGTCTGGCAAGACACTACTTGGTGCCTTAGCAACCGAAGAGGCATCTGAAAGTAGGGCAGAACTGATGAAGGTGTTGTTAGAACTTGGCGCCGATGTGAATTCCCGATCTCCCTGTGGACTAACTCCATTACATTCGATCTTCTCATATAGACCAAAGCCACGTGGATATGACTCGGAGGGATATGAGTTTGACGGATTCGACCGATACGGACGCCCAATGGCTAAGCCTGGGCCCGAGAGCCCGGATTCTGAAATCGACCTTTCATTCGTTCACAAAACCGCAAAGCTTCTTTTGACATATGGAGCAGATGTGAGCGCCCGGGATGATGAAAAGCAAACCGCTATCTATAAAACTGATAGCAGGTCTCTGGTAGAGCTCCTCCTCGCCCACGGAGCGGAGGTAAATCTGGTGGATGCCTATGGCCAAACGCCTCTTCATACGATGATATACGGGGCGTCGCCAGCGATGGTTGAAACGATCAAATTGGTACTGAGCCATGGAGCAGACCTACATGCAGAAAACGGTGATGGAAACACCCCTCTCCATCTGGCCTCACTGACATCATCATGGGAAGTGGTGAAGTTGCTGCTTCATCATGGAGCGGATCGAAACCACCGCAATGTCAATGGCGAGACGACATTAGACCTTTTGGCGCGTCGCCGGCGTCATCGAGAGCAGTTTCCATTCAACAGGGATAAAAATGGGAATCGATTGATCACTTACAGAAACACATTTCACCGTACCATTTGGTTCTAAAGAACTTGGGACTTGCAGGGGTCACTGACAATAGATCGGAAAGTGTCAAGGACTTGGGGTCTCTTGCCTTTGCTTTCATATTCTATTCAATCCGTATCATATTCAATTTTCCAACTCGAATGTAAAAATGAAACTTGCCCCGGTCAAAAGTCGGTCATTCCCCCGCATCCTCCTGGAAAATTGCCTAATGTGGTCTTTCATGGATCTTCAAAACATCCACCAATCCGAGCGGAGTACGGGGTATCGCTATAGCGAGGACCGAAGCATGCATACACTATAACAAGCCATGTTCCAAGGTGAACGGTATCTGAAAAACACTCAGCAATGCGTCTTTTCGCGCTTCTTCCCGTTCTACTTGGACTCATAGGCCATTTCGTCTCTGCGACGGATAATGGCAAAACTACTGATGTAACATGGGAAAATCACAGCCTCTCAGTTAAGGGAGAGAGGGTATATATCTTCTCCGGCGAATTTCATTACCAGCGACTCCCTGTGCCGGAGTTATGGCTCGACGTGTTTCAGAAGCTACGCGCAAACGGGTTTAATGCAATCTCTAGTGAGTAACATAACAGAAACATTCGGTCACACTGGCCTAATCTCGATAAGTCTACTTCTTCTGGAGCTTCCACTCTGCCTCTGAAGATACTTTCGACTTCAAGAACGGCGCTCATGACGTTCAGCGCGTTTTTGACTACGCCAAGCAGGCAGGTCTGTATGTGATCGCGCGTGCGGGACCTTACTGCAATGCCGAGACCTCTGCCGGTGGGTTTGCATTGTGGGCATCCAATGGTCAAATGGGCAGCACGCGCACCAGTGCAAGTTCCTACTACGATCGATGGTATCCGTGGATCCAGAAGATCGGAAAGATCATCGCCGCAAACCAAATCACGAATGGCGGTCCGGTCATTCTCAATCAACATGAGAATGAGTTGCAAGAGACAACTTACAGTGCTGATAACACTGTTGTTAAGTATATGGAACAAATCAAAGCCGCCTTTGCTGAGGCTGGCATTGTTGTTCCGAGCACGCATAACGAGAAGGGAATGCGCTCTATGAGCTGGTCAACGGACTACAAGGATGTGGGCGGTGCTGTCAACGTCTATGGTCTGGACTCCTATCCTGGTGGTCTGTCCTGCACCAACCCAAATACTGGGTTCAATCTCGTTCGCACCTATTATCAGTGGTTCCAGAATTACTCGAGCTCTCAGCCTGAGTACCTGCCGGAGTTTGAGGGCGGTTGGTTCTCCGCTTGGGGAGGGACATTCTACGATCAATGTTCTACCGAGCTCTCGCCTGAATTCCCAGACGTTTACTATAAGAATAACATCGGTCAGAGAGTCACATTGCAGAATCTTTACATGGTCATGGGCGCAACGTCTTGGGGACAAAGTCCTGCTCCCGTTGTCTATACTTCCTATGACTACTCTGCGCCCATGCGAGAGACCCGTGAGATTCGAGACAAGCTCAAGCAGACCAAGCTGATTGGCCTGTTTACTCGTGTGTCGTCTGGACTTCTACATACACAAATGGAAGGTAATGGAACGGGGTACACCAGTGACGCTGGTATATATACATGGGCCCTGCGAAATACGGAAAACCACGCTGGTTTCTATGTTCTCGCGCACTCCACCAGCTCGTCTCGTGCCGTGACTACTACTTCGCTTAATGTCAACACCTCGGAAGGTATGTACTCCGATTTTGATAGGAATAATTGTGCTAACTTGGATACTACTCGATAGGGGCCCTCACAATCCCAGATATTGAATTGGCAGGCCGTCAAAGCAAAATCATAGTCACTGACTATGAGATTGGTGATGGCTCAAGCTTGCTTTATTCATCTGCCGAGGTTTTGACCTATGCTACTCTTGATGTAGATGTGATTGTCTTCTATCTGAATATTGGGCAGAAAGGAGAGTTTGTCTTCAAAGACGAACCGACCCATCTTACCTTCAAGACGTACGGAAACTCCAAGGTGACATCAGTCGCATCGGATCATGGCACCAGATACACATACACTCAAGGGGATGGCGCCACTGTGTTGAAATTCTCGCACGGCGTGCTGGTCTATCTGCTCGATAAAGAGACGGCATGGAACTTCTTTGCCGTACCGACTACCTCCAATCCGCTTGTGACTCCCAGTGAGCAAATCATCGCCCTCGGGCCATACCTCGTTCGCACAGCAACTGTCAGCGGAAACACTGTCAGTCTTGTTGGCGATAATGCAAACACGACCTCTCTTGAGTAAGTGCGAGGTTGACTCTCAAATAAGTTGTCGGCTAATATAAAATCCTAGGGTCTATACGGGCAACTCTAAGGTGACCAAAATAAAATGGAATGGCAAGGAGGTCCCAACCAAGAAAACAGCATACGGCAGCTTGATCGGATCAGTCCCGGGCGCCGAACACGCCAAGATATCGCTGCCGACCCTGAAGTCTTGGAAAGCACAAGATACACTTCCAGAAATCAAGCCCGGCTATGACGATTCTCGCTGGATCGTCTGCAACAAGACGAAATCGGTCAACTCCATAGCACCGCTCACACTTCCTGTGCTTTACTCTGGTGACTACGGTTACCATGTCGGGACGAAAATCTACCGCGGACGGTTTGATGGCACAACAGCGACGGGCGCAAATCTCACTGTCCAGAATGGTGTGGCCGCTGGCTGGGCCGCCTGGCTCAATGGAGTCTACGTTGGCGGAGATATTGGCGACCCTGCCCTGGCAGCGACCTCAGCCGAGCTACTTTTCAACAGCTCTACGCTCCGCAAGAAAGACAATGTTCTCACCGTTGTCATGGATTACACAGGCCACGACGAGGAAAATGTGAAACCGAACGGGGCCCAGAACCCGCGCGGTATACTGGGCGCTACGCTTCTTGGCGGAGAATTTACGTCCTGGCGCATCCAAGGCAATGCCGGCGGCGAGACCAATATTGATCCTGTCCGGGGACCCATGAATGAAGGAGGCCTCTATGGAGAGCGTCTTGGTTGGCATCTTCCAGGATACAAAGCATCGAAGAGCGCAACATCAGACAGTCCTTTGGAAGGTGTCTCTGGTGCCGCAGGCCGATTCTACACGACGACGTTCAAACTGGATCTAGACTCAGACCTGGATGTTCCGATTGGCCTGGAGCTCGGTGCATCTGATTCCCCCGCAGTAGTGCAGATCTTCATGAATGGGTACCAGTTCGGTCATTACCTGCCACACATCGGACCCCAGACCCGATTTCCATTTCCCCCGGGGGTGATCAATAACCGCGGGAAGAACACATTGGCGATTAGTCTGTGGGCGCTGACGGAGCAAGGAGCGAAACTGAGTCAAGTGGATCTGATTGCATATGGGGCTTATCGCACTGGTTTCAACTTCAATCACGATTGGTCCTATTTGCAGCCGCAGTGGAGGAACAACCGGGGACAATATGTTTAGAATGTCTGATGACACATTTGGAGATGAAATGTTCCCGGGGTCTAGATTCTTTAGCTCAGGTACCTGTTTCATCATCGCTTTATATCCCTGTTTCCTTGCTTCCCTGTTTTTTTGTCTGTTTTTTTTTGTTCGTTACATCAGAGTCGAGAGTACGGAGGACTTTGATGTACGTTGTAGTCCAAAACAGACAGGCATACCCCCGGTCAAAAGTCCTAGAAATGTACTCCGTATAGTCCTTACAGATACTCCCAAGACCTAAATATAGTCAACTCTCAACTCTTTCAGCAAACAAATAACAAAGTAATCCAAATTAAATCAGTTCCAATAAACAAAATGTCAGTTCATTGTCCAGGCGACTATCGGTCACAAATCATGTCTGCCCAACGTCCGTGTCCACCGCCATTTGTACTTCTCCACACGTTTAAACACGTTTAAACACGTTCTTCCTTTTCACTTCTAAACATATTCTCTGTTTATATTTTCTTGTAATATCTAATCATGTCGCGCCATAACAGCGTGGATCTAGACTCCCCCGATCGGCCTTTCGACAACATCATCAATTTCCGTGATGTCGGCCGGTCGGTTAATCAATTTTGTCGCAAAGAGTGAGTTAAGACGCGCCGTGGCCCCGATCCGGGGATATGTTCGAATTTTCCTTCCAGGACTAACGATTCATATAGAATATTGAAAGAAGGCGTGTTCTTTCGCAGCGCAAGGGTAATTTCAACCCCGCTCAAATTATGACTCTGATGCGTTGTCAGAGCGAACAGCCAAGAAAAGACGAAAAACTAATGTGAATGTAGCTCGATGATGCTTCGGAACGAGATAAACGTCGTCTAGAGGAAGAACTCAACATTCACACTGTCATCGATCTCCGTTCCCAGTATGTCACAAATAGCACCCGGAAAATCCAGAAACTAATACATAAAAACCAGAACAGAACACCAAATGGGCACAAAAAAGCGTCGCGCTCAAAATGCCAAATCAGATCAATCAGAAAAATCACCAGATCCCATCCCAACAAACCCAGACGAACACCTCCTCCAAATCCCCGGCTCACAGAGAGCCCTAATAAGCCTCACGGGCAAAGGCTTCGAACGCGCCTTATTATCTAGACTGGACTGGTTGACATATTTGTATGTGGCCCATCCCTACACATGCGATCTGCAATCCATGACATTCTGATCACATGTATTCCAACACATAACTAATCCAAATCCAGCAAAATCATCGCCCTCGTAACAACAGGCTACCGCAGCGATGCCGTGCGTCTAGTCTGCGGCACCGCCATGCAACCGCGTGGCCTAACAGGTCTAGCACAAGACACCTTGGATTCAAGCATGAACGAGATGCGCTCCGTATTTGAGATCCTAGCTCGCGAGGAGTCATATCCCACATTAGTGCATTGCACACAAGGCAAAGACCGAACAGGTCTGGTGATATTACTCGTATTACTTCTTGTCGGGGGTGTTCCGGTTGACGCGATTGTGGATGATTACAGCCGGTCTGAGCTGGAGCTTGTGTCTGAGTTTGAAGAGAGAATGGAGGAAATCAGGGCTCTTGGACTCGGAGAAGATTATACGCGCTGTCCGCCTGGCTTCGTTGCTGAGACGACGAAATATCTGGAGACTAGGTATGGGGGTGTGAGGGGGTATTTGGAACGGGTTGGGATTGGGTTTGACATGCAGGAGAGGATTAGGGGGAAGTTTTTGATTTAGGGGGTTTCTTTGCTTCTTTGGGACGGATTTGGGTATATGGGTGGCTTTGGTGGCTTTGACTGTATTTGATATGGGATCTGTAGATACGATAATGACCTTGGCATATTTGGGATGGGTCTAGCGTTTCTTATTGTGGATTTGGCAGATAATAAATGGTGGAGGATTGGATGTTTTTAGTTCGTGTTTCTTAATATCAAATCAGGAAGCGTATAGAAATGCCGGCCTATTGCATTGCTACCTAGGTAAACAGGAAAAGTCATGCAGATGTATGTACGGAGTACGACACATCACTGATTGAAAATCCCAACTTCCCAAGCATTAATTCCCCCTACGCTGCTCGAGTTCGTTCTCGACAATAGTGAAGAACTCTAGAGCCAGATCCTGTGGCAAAGCTGCCTTCGAAGTCCGAGCGTGCATGGCAAGTGTAACGATTTTGGGCTGGTTACAGTGATCGAGTACCCAAGTGCCGCTGTCCATTTTGGACCTCCACGTCAAGGTTTTTGCATAACACAGTTGACGACACGCATTAAGAACGCCATCGTAAGTCACGGGGCCATTCTGACGGTACCATGCCAATGATTCAACCATACAATTCAATATCCACGCCACTTTCGGAGCAGCAAACAATTTATCAGGAGGTGGACCAAGAAGTGACTTCCCCAAGTCACGACCGATAGCAATATCAAGCAAAAACCAAAAGCGAGGCTCGGTTTGAGAATTCAAATTCACATAGTCATTCATATCCTTTCCTGTATTGAAATTCATTTCGAACGCAGGATTGGTCATTTGGCTGGCGGCTTTGGCTTTGGTAAAGAGGACAAATTCAAGTTTGCGTGCTGGACAGGGTATAGTGGTATGGCTTATGATGCGAGACAGCCTCTGATAGTCCAGTATTGGCTCATGGATAATCGCATACACGTCAACGTCACTGGTACCAGGCTCGTATGCGCCGTACCCGGCAGAACCGAAGAGATAAATAGCCAACAGATTGTCTTTAAGCTCCTCTTGTAGACTGCGGACCAGATGGCGCAAGTAATTGTCTAACGGAATATCGTCCACTTCCGCTGCCGGATAAACAGCTCGGTCTGAAAATGGTGGAGAATTGGCCATCTTGACAGTCCACAGGGAGATTTCTCCTGCTTTGGTTATCAAGCAAGTCCTGATAGGTTCTTAGGCTTCACAGGGATAGAACGACCTCGTTGAAATTGATAAACAAAAGCCTGACCATAGAGTTCAAGAGAGTGGTGTAGTCCCTTTGTATTTGCAAGTGCACTTAAGCGACGGCAGTCAGAGAGCCAAGTGATATGGTATGCCATTGATGTTATTCTTACTCCGTACCCCGCCTGAGGAATACTATTGGTCCCTATGTTGTAGGCCCCGGGGTAAACTGAGTATTACATAAGCCCATTCTCGGCCCCTGAGCGTTAATTGGATCTCACTTTCAACTTGACTAGTCTGAATTTACTGAAATGCACTGAGCATGACGCTGAACCTCGTAAAAGAGGCCTAAGATAGAAAACTCCGACCGGCATTAAAAATCAAGTATGTATAGCTCCCTAGGTATGTAAAGTGAAGATTTCAAGGCCAACGTAGTGGCTCTAATAATGTATGCCCATCTGCCCAAAGAACACCATATAAATGACAGGTATAAAACAACATTAACAAAAGCAGAGTATCGGATGACATCGTGCACATCATATCAGAAAATACAGGGAAAGATAATTAGACCCGTTGACCACGGTAATAGCCGGTGTTCGGACCCATCGAGTCATGGGTCAGCGGCTCTTCGATGGAAACATTCTCTGCCTGGGCTCCACGGAATCCGTTCTCGCTCATCAAGTACTTCTCACCCTGAGGCACGTGGTTGCGGGTGCGCACGGAAGGCAATAGATCAACGACAAAGGAGAGAACGTAGCCCGTGAAGACGAAAGCGATACACCACTCGAGAACCGCACCGGGGTTTTGCTTTGACGCTTTGTTGCTGCCGATGCAGACGCCGAAGCCGATGGCGAGCGCGAGCTCGACGATGACGAAAACAAGCTTGATGAAGAAACTGACTAGCAAGATACGGTGCTCGCGACGGTAGAAGATTCCGATACGGAGGTACTCAATGCAAACCAAGATGGCACTGATCACGTATCCAGCACTACAGAGAGATTGATTGGTCAGTTGTCATTCGCGCATAGTTTGGCATGTAGATATGGCTCACATGAACAGAGCGATGAAACCATCGTGCATTTTTGGGTGACGCAGCGTATCAAAGACCGAGAGCAGGATCAGACCCGCTGCACCGGCAATAGCGAAAAGAATTGAAAGCACAGCGCATGTCTTGTCCAATCTGCCCTTGTTCTTGGCTAACTGGTTGGAGTGTCGAAGCCACCGCTCGGAGAGGAATGCTAGATCGAGAAAGACGACGGTGACTGCGCTGCCTGCAACAAACAGCGGCTTTAGGCCTTGCGCGCCGACATCTGAAATGTACCTATAGCAGTCCTGTTAGCGCATGCATGGGTTAGTGGCAGAGACAAAACATACGCGATAGTCTGTCCGTCATCCATACTGGCGTAGTGCGGTCTCCCGTCTCGAACCCAGGTGACCAACATGGCAATCAACATTGCTAAGAACGTGTCAGCTGCAGCCCAAAACAAAATATCTAGTGTAGAGATGCCTTACAAACCCACATGCAGGCTGACACCAGCGGGAACATCCAAAATGATATAATCCACATGTTTGCGACTTTTGTATTTCGGGACCGATTCTGATGCAAAGGAGCTAAAAAGAGAGTACTGTATGCCCGCTAGAAATCGAATTCAAAAGACAGTGGATAAAGAGAGTGGATTGAAACACAATGCGAAACGAGTCTATAAGGATACTGTCAGTCGCAGTTTCTCCACGTGGTGTCCATGTAGGATGGAAGGATGGAAGGAGGAGCTTCCAGGGATATTTCCCAATCAATAGTGCAACTCACTTATATCCCTGTATTTATGTACAATGTTTCACACAGAATTCCAGGTTCAAACAGTCTATAAGGGGCGACAGTGGCGCTTAGATGACAAAGGGATATCAAATGTTTGGAACCGGGACAACGATGATGCGTAAGGGGAATATATGACAATTGTATACCCCGTGGGTTATTACAACAGGACCTGGATAGGAGAATAAAAGGAGGTGTACAGGTGCATGAGAGCATGCCATCGATAATTAAATGTTTAGGCACACCCCTGCTCTATAAAGACGTCATTTCCGGGGCTCTGCCAAGGCAGAAAAATTGCGTGCCCCCACAGCCTAGTCCCAATGATCAACCTCAAAATTTACTTCAATGGTATATTCCGCTGATAGTTATCATCGGAGCCATGGTAGTAATATGAGGCGTCGACATTAGCCAAAATTATGAATATGGGATCTGCGGGTGGCTGAATACTTGGCGTACCAAGGACTGATATCTATATTTACAACGCTTTTAGCAAAGTTGCATTTCCTCTGTATGGAGGACAAGGTACAATAGCATTCCCACTTGTGTATACTATTAAACTTCATATTCCAAGCCGTACGAAGATCAAAGTGGAAATAATATGTGGATTCTTGTAGCCCAAGACCGATCTACCTAAAACGCCATCGCGTTACGCAAAGACCACAATAGTGGAATCGATAAAAGAAAAACATAAAGCACAAACACCCCAGACCGAAAGTAATTTTTTAGACAGATATCGAAGCAACCTTGGGACACTTCAAGTTCATCGGCTCGTCCGTTTACGGATAGTTCCAGGAACCGGCCGCCTCTGCGCAACAGCAACTGGGGCGTTGCGCTCCGCCACCTTGGCCACCTTGACGATCTGCACATCATCCTCGCTGGTCTGCGATTCATCTTCAGTGGATTCCTCCGACCCTAACTTGACTGAATCTGGAGCTATGTCCCCTCGGACCTGCGATATGCCTTGCGGTGAGCATTTGGCCGAGGATTGAGAAGCTGGGTATGGAGGCCCTGAAGGATAACTCATTCGATTCTGCTGACCAGCCCAGAAATCGGAGGAAACCTGCGGTAAATATGGTGCAGATTCGCCGTATGGACTCATTTGCATTGTATTGTAGTAGGACGGGGTCCATTGAGGATCGTCTGGCAGTGGTCGTGGGAAGACAGGCGGTTGTTGCATTGATTGTCCTCGGGCATTGGGGGCAAGGCGCTCGGAGGTGTATGATGGGTAGGTAGGTCGAAGAGGTGAGTTGGACTGCTGGGGACGAAGAGATTGGGTCGTTGGAGTCCGGGGCCGAGCAGAAGATGAGCTGGACGGCCGCGAGCCGGCCGTCCCACGAGCCCAAGTGCTGTTTGCATCAGGCACAAAGCTTGGGTACGCGCCGGATAACTCTGGGGCAACAACGCTCCGTCGGGATGATGGGCGCGACGTTGCTTTGATAGAATTGAGGGACGGGCGCCGGCTGCCGCTTGAACCATCCGTCTGCTGGCGCTTGCGCTCCAAGGCATCCAGTTCCTGTTTCGACAGCCGAACATTTTTCCTTCCCAGAAGTTGGGCGCGACGAATTCGTTCGAGCGCTGTGTCCACCAATTGATCCTCCTTGTCCCGCATGGCTAGCTGAATCGCATAGGCCACCGTGGTATCCTCATGGTCGTATAGATCGAATTCTCCCCCATCAAACGTATCAGCTTCATCCGTCAGATCCTCAAAAGCCACAGGTCGCCTCCGCGACCCTCGCCCTCCATACTCCTGCTTACAACGACCGCTTCGCACCAACTCCCGCCCGTATACATCCTCCTCACTCTCCACCTCCTCCAGCCGTGTCTCCTCCCACGCACGTCCCCTAGTATTTCTCCCCGTTCGTGCCCCTGGTGGTCTTCCCCATGAGGGCATGTCAAAAGGAGCTCGCGGCCGACCACCTAGACCGCCTCCTCGGAAAAAGCATTCTCGATCGGTTTATCCAAAAAGGCAGCGTGGCCGAAAACGGTCACACAGGTTGCGCCAACCAACCACAGGGCAGTGGTGATGGGGGAGGCGAGGATGCCGACGGGGACACCGATGATGAGCAGTCCGGTGTAGAGCTGCGAAGTAGTGAAGCGAGAGAAGCCGAGATCCAGGTCCCGACCTTGCAGCATGTTGATTCCATAGAGACCACAGGTCACAAAGATCATGTCGAACAACAGGATCATGTTAGTCAGCAAGCTGTAGATGCTGAGCATCACAAACACGACGGCATAGTTGCTGGAGAAGTAGGACAAGTTGTAATTGACTCGGCTCTGGGCCTCACCGAAGTTGGCAGGCTTGGATATACGCTTGATATCAAGGAACTCGGAAAGCGGACGCAGGTTCGCGAAGCGCGTACTCAACGAGGTGCTGCGGAGGTTGTTGAAGCGATCGCTAAAGCGCGAAGTGAGCGCATCAATTGGAATGGAAACCATTTTGAATGAAGAGAGGTTGGAAGGGGAAAAATAGATTGAAAAGATTGAAAAAGTTGAAGAGAGTGGAAATGGGACAGGTAATATGACAGAGGAAAGCCGGAAGCAACAAGAGGGTCACTTTCCTGGGCCTTTATTCCCCTTTCGATTTTAGTCAGAGAGCACGGTCGTTTCACCACCCGAGTAATAAGACGAAATGTTGTCCAGAGTAGTCCTGAAGAGACAGTTAGGTAGAAACAATCACTAATAATAGCAACGGGTTCCTGAAGTCCCAGTTCCTGGCTAGGCAACTCCCATAGGAAGTCCGGACAGAGAAAAGAAAACTACACATTAAATCTAGATCTCTCACTATATATACCATCGACGCTCAGATGCAATTATTCATGCAGAGCCCAACTATAATTTTCCCCCTCGAAAGTCTAGAAAAATAAAATGTCAAAAAAAAAAATCTCAAGTAAAATCAGTGACTGTAAAGGACAACTCAATTGGGGCCACGTTTGGCTCTTCACAGTGTGGATAAACGCCCGACCGCTTTTTTCCTAACATGTCCTCCACTAACACACAGCCTATTCGTTCATACTCCCCTCGTTTCTGGCTTCTGCGGCATTGACCGCTCTATCATCATGAAGCTGTTTGCCTTTCTATCGGTCTTTGTCTTCTTCGGCCTTGTCGCTGCCTGGTCCAAAGAAGGTGGGTATTGTTTACCCCGACCAGAACCCCATACTGACCTTCAACAGACTATGAGATCTTTGGTCTACAAAATGATGTGGCCACAAATGAGGGTGCCAATGTGACCTTCTATGGTGCGTGATATCTCCCAAGCATTACTAATTTCTTTTCCTTTCTTTCTTTACATCTTTGGGGATACATATCTGACTTACATCCCTACTGCAGACCTCCTCGAGATCCGTCCCAATGCCAATCTAGAACAAATTACCAAGGCCTACCGCAAGAAGTCGAGAATCATTCACCCAGATAAGGTCAAGCGCGCCTTCATCGCCAACTACGCCAAGGACAAGAGCAAGGCCAAATCCCATCAGGGGGTCAATGTCAACCAGGGACCTACTAAGCGCGAGATTGACGCCGCAGTCAAGAACGCTGACGCCCGCTCTGCCCGTCTGAATCTCGTCGCCAACGTTCTGCGCGGTCCAAACCGAGAGCGCTACGACCACTTCCTCAAGAATGGCTTCCCCCTATGGAAGGGTACCGGATACTACTATTCTCGCTTCCGTCCTGGCCTGGGCTCCGTGTTGGTGGGGCTGTTCCTTGTTTTCGGTGGCGGTGCTCACTACGCTGGGCTGATCCTTGGCTGGAAGCGCCAGCGCGACTTTGTGGATCGTTACATTCGCCAGGCCCGCAGAGCCGCCTGGGGTGATGAATTGGGGGTTCGTGGTATCCCTGGAATCGATTCGGTCGCAGCCGCGCCTCCCCCTTCTGCCTCCGAGTCCGGTGACGCCGGTGCCGTGGCTGTCAACCGTCGTCAGAAGCGCATGATGGATAAGGAGAACAAGAAAGACAAGAAGGGAGGAGCCCGTGTGAGCGCCCGTGCTTCTTCCGGTACCTCTACCCCCACCGAGCAGGTTGCTAGCACTGGCGAGCGGAAGCGCGTTGTTGCTGAGAATGGCAAGACGCTGATTGTTGATTCTATTGGCAATGTGTTCTTGGAGGAGCAGAACGAGGCTGGCGAGCGCCAGGAGTACCTGCTCGACATTGATCAGATCGAGCGTCCTACCATCCGTCAGACACTGGTGTGCAAGCTTCCCATCTGGTGTTTCAACAAGACTGTCGGTCGGGTGCTGGGAACTGGAACCACCGAGGAGGAAGTGGATTCTGATGAATCCGAGGAGCCCGTGGTCGAGGAAGCTGAGACCACTGCCACCTCGAACTCCCGCTCTCGGAAGCGTAACAAGCGATCCCAGCGATCATAGACTTGAACGTCTAAATTGCTGTACCTCGGGCGTTAGTTGTTGTTTGTTCTCCCTGCGGGATGATTTCAAAAGTTCCCCAGGTTACTTTATTATAGAATACCTGCTCGGATTTTGGCAATACCCAAGTAGAAACCAAAATGTACACATACTTTTTTTTTCTCAACTCCAAACCTTCAGGGCATCATGATGCGAGTTACGTATTAACTGGCCAACGATATGATATGTTGTGCACGGTCTATAGGTATGAGGCCATTAGCGACCCATTTATGTACTATGTACTCCGTCCTTGCAGATCCATCTCATATGCGTGGTACTATGGAGTGTCTCCGCAAAGATCGGTCGGCCACAGTGATATCTGTATACAATACCTATATCCATCAGGTTTATAGGCGGGTCTACTGTACAAAAGGGACAGTGCACAGCTGCAGACACAACTAGTGCGGTGTACAGTTGTCCGGTTGTCAGATCCACCGACTTGGGCACCAACACTTGACTAGGTCAGTATAAATAGGAGACTTCCGTTTATCTCTGGACTCGTTTCGAATTTTCTAATGTTCCGTTGACGGTACAAAACAGCAGCTTTTCCAAAGAAACCAGTTCTATCATATTTAAACGGGCCTCCCATTTCATGACAACATTGAAAGCACAAAGTTCAACGAGAAAAACAAATTTGGGAGTAGAAAAGCGTAAAAAAAAAAAGCAAAGGACGGTAGGTGTATCATCGTGATCGTCATGTGTCGAATTTCAGCAAAGCATTGCAAATCGTGGAAAAGAAGCCCAGGCTCGAACAGCTCAGCCGGTCCAGAGGTATTGATGTCGTCTACGCAAACATCTTGGCAATGTTCATGAGGCTGCTAATGTTCTCCGACATACCCCTGCCACCGCCGTCCATCATACCACCCATACCACCCATACCGCCGCTAGGCTTCGACGCACCACCAAGGGCACTGGTGATCGCATGCGGCAAGCGAATGCCAATCATAGCCAGCAGCTTCGGCAAAACACCGCTAGTCAGAAGAGGCACAATCACCATCATAAAGACCTTCATAGGGTTGCGACGGGCCCAGCGATAGATATCGCGGAAAAGACGTTTGATGTCGCGGAGCATGCGCTGAACGAATCCTTCGCGGGGACGCGCCCGTCGCGACGATGAGAATGACGAGAATACAGATGGGCTTGATCGACCTCCTGTTCGACTTCCGCCTAATCCGCCTAGTCCTCCGAAAAATGATGGTGCTGAGTGTCGCGAGTGGTGCGTGGATGAATAGCCGGACTTGCTGCGTCTGCTGTGTGTGCTGTGGCCGCTAGGCGTGGGTGAGGACCGTCGCCGCACGTATCCTGTCGACGAAACTCCGCTGGATCTTCCGTCGAACCAACCCATCGTGGCAGTGTGGTAATGCTGATGTTGAAATTGCTTACGGGTGCGACTTCGGGCACTTGGGGGCCACAGGTGTCTAGTTTGAGGAGAGGTGGGGTACTAATAGAGAGATTGTGGTGGGTAGGTACGCAGAAAAAGACGTGTTTGACCTGCTGCGTAACAATGCCCCTGATGATCCCTTTGAAACTTTTTTTTCCGAGCTTTTGTGCGGCAATTGGAAGAATGAAAAGAAACAGATGCAAGTCAGCCACTAGCTGCGGAGATGCGCAATCTGAGGTCTAGGCCGATGTGTGCACCCGCTTTGCGAGTTTTCTATGCAGGAAATTTCTTTAACAGCTAGCACAATTGAGATTCTAAAAGGGGTTTGTAAATGTCGCTGGGTGCTAATTTCAGGCGAATCAAACGGGAGCTTCAGATTGCATTGATCAGTCACCCCCTGGCGGAACAAAAGTGGCTGGGTTGTGTGGCCGGCTAAACTTAGACTTTGACTGCATTTTGCGGTGGAGAAAGTACTCCAGATGGTCAAGCAATCCACTCTCTAAATATCAAAAAGATCTTCGGAACTTGTCCTGTTGATCCTGTGTCGATGTACGAAGTAGTTGTGAAATCCGATATCCTTAAATGATTGAACCATGGAACCTGATGGGCATATCTGCCTCAGGCAACATCTACGTCACTGCATGTGATGGCTTTCCATGGAAGACTCTCTCTAGATTCTTCTTCGAGTCTATCGCGTCCGGTATAAACATTTTCTTGCTGAAATTCAGAACCAGGTGTAACCATGCCAAGTATGTTGGTTTTATCCCCGTCTTCTTACTGAAATATATACTAATTTTTGACCAGGCCCCGATTACTGTAAGACCTCCACTCAAGGCCTCACTGAGACCGTTCCAACTAACACATACCAGACAAAATTCTAGGCATCGCCCAAGATGCCACCCAACAACAGATTCGCACTGCATATAAGAGGCAAGATCACTACAACTAGCCTCGGAATGACCTTCTAACCAAGTCTAGGGAATCACTGAAATCCCACCCCGATCGAGTCCCCGTCGACTCCCCAGAGCGACCATCACGCACACGAAAGTTCCAAGAAATCAACGATGCCTACTATACCCTCTCAGACCCCGCGCGCCGCCGGGAGTACGACGCTACCCGCGCATACCAAGCAGCTGAAGAGGAAGCAGAAACAGAAGTCCCACCAACTAGCGGCGGCTTCCCCTGGTCCAGCTTTGGATTCGGCGGGAACCGCGATGAGCGCGACAATGATCAGTTCGGTTCCGTTTTCGAAGAGATGCTGCGCGAAGAGGGGCTTGCCGAGGAGAATGAGGGAGAAGGTGGGAGGCGGACTCGCCCAACCGGGCGATTCTGGGCACTGGTTGGCGGTGTCAGCGGTGGTGCGATGGGATTCATTGTGGGCAATGTACCTGGTGCGTTGGCTGGCGCTGTTGCCGGTAATCGTATCGGCGCAATCCGTGATGCGAAGGGCAAAAGTGTCTATGAGGTTTTCTTGGACCTTCCAACGCAGGATCGGACGAGGCTCCTAAGTGAGCTTGCTGCTAAGGTCTTTCAGACCACTATGGGCCGCTGAGTCTGTCTACTCATGATTTACCGAGCGGTCTGGGCGTTGAGGATTTGGGAGCTGGCTCTTACAGGCCTCGGCGGAAATTCAGTTGGGTCGGTCCCCCAACTGTACATGTCTACATGACTATGATCACTTAACGTAGGAGGAAATACATATCTCTAGTATATAACAAGTTAGGTACGTAAGATACTTCTCGAGTGCACATATTTGACTCGCTCTAATGTGATGAAAGGTTGACCTGTGGACCCCTCCGTCTCTTATCGATAACAGCGAGGCACAAGAGCTTCTAAGGTTCCAATGTAGGTGTCGATGCTACACAATATATGTAGCATAGTCCAAGAGGTTATGCAGCGTACATGTAAATTGATTCCCAGTAATCTAAGTGAGTCACTTAACTTAATAATCCATCTCTTTAAACAAGTGAGACAGACCAGGTGGCCTTCTTTCCGCTTCTGGACCCAATCGCCTCACGCTAAGCTCCCGCTCTCACCGCTTGCGGTCAAAATAGGCCCCTCTCTCTATATTACCCTCGAGTTGCCCGCAATTTTATCTTTGTCAAGTTCCTTATTGAGACTCAATTGACCAAAGCCTTCAAAATGACTGAAGCTGCCAGTATCTACCCCCCGTTGGAGAGCCGTCCCATGAAGGACACGGTCGTTCTGTTCGATGTTGACGAGACTCTGACCCCCGCAAGACGGGTAGGTAGCAATGAAACTCACTGCGGTTCAATTATACTAATATATTTCTGGTACAGCATGCCTCCCACGAGATGCTCGAGTTACTCTCTCGATTGCGCCACAAGTGCGCTATTGGATTCGTTCGTCTCCTCCCAACCAACACTTCCACCCCGTTTCTAACATGATTCAGGTTGGCGGCTCGAACCTTGTCAAGCAGCAAGAGCAACTTGGCTCACCAACCATCGATGTTACCACCATGTTCGATTTCTGCTTCTCCGAAAATGGTCTGACTGCATTCCGCCTCGGCAAGCCACTCGCCAGCAACAACTTCATTCAGTGGCTCGGGGAGGACAAATACCAAGCACTGGTGGATTTCGTTCTTAAGTTCATTGCCAACACCAAGTTACCCCGCAAGCGTGGTACTTTCATTGAGTTCCGTAATGGAATGGTCAACATTAGCCCCGTTGGGCGTAACGCAAGCGTTGAAGAACGTGATGAGTTTGAAGCGTACGTGGAGATCTTCTGTCCACTATGTCCAGGTGGTTTTGGATACGAAAATTGGATGGTTTACTGACTTGCGTTACAGTTTCGACAAGATCCACAACATCAGAAAGACACTGGTGGAGCTCTTGAAGAAGGAATTCCCCGACTATGGTCTCACGTAAGTCTTTGTCTAGCGAGATTTGCTTTGATATGGCGCTGATCAATATATTAAAACAGCTACTCGATCGGTGGTCAAATTTCTTTCGATGTCTTCCCCACCGGCTGGGACAAGACCTACTGCCTACAGCACATTGAAGCTGAAAAGGAAATCTCGGGTATCGATTATAAGACCATCCACTTCTTCGGCGACAAGACTTTCGTCGGAGGAAATGATTACGAGATCTACGAAGACCCTCGCACCATTGGACACTCCGTTGATGGTCCTCAAGACACCATCAACCAGCTGAAGAAGCTGTTTGACCTATAGATACGAGGTTGGACAAGTAGCCGAAAGGGCATGGATTTGTGATAGCGTTTACATGTGAAGTCTAATTTAGATATTTTCTGAAAAAGCCTTAGTTAATGATCGATCAAAATAGTCCTCTAATTGCATCAAATCTCCCAGATTATACATAGAAATGTCCATTTCACAAGGTATGCTTTTCCCCCGCCTTTTTCTATCTACCTAAAAATCTGGAAGAATATCTGAGAAGCCCTTTGAGAAGTCTACTCTAGTGCTAAAGAGTCATGGAGACATCCCGAGGCCGCATAAGTGGTCGTCTACTCTTGTGAGGAATATAACGACATACTCCGGACAAGATAATCAATGCGGGTAATGCGGGCACTGGGGCCGGGAAACTCCAGGGCTGGAAGCGTCGATCTTTCCGATGCCCTTAGTCATCCCGATCATTTCAGGCCCCGGAATAAGGACTTCCAAGCTTTCCGTTTCTGCGTCACTCTTGATCGATCTGAAGCGCACTTGAAATAAACAACCGCTTGCCTAGTGTCCTTGACATGGCGCCTCAAAAGCATGTCGCGGATGTCCCGCGCAATATTTTTCCCCGCCTGAGTTGGAACAGCTCCTCTTCACGTCCATCCGTTACCATCACCCACCATTCCGCACTTGCAACAAATCAAAGACGACCACTTTCTCACGGCCGGAGTCTTTCGAAACAACAATCTAATTCCCTCAACGCACATCAGTCTTCCCGGCTCATCTCCACATTGACCAGGAATTCTATCTCCGGATATCTCGTTTCCCGAGGGACCTCTATAACTACGCCGGCGACGTCCACAACCCAGCGCGGCAATCCGATCCGACACAATGGTGTCTATGTGGCTACCTTCCATCCCGCTCGCCGCGCCTTTCATGCGACACCAATTCGGCCACGCGAACATCACTTTGATACCCTGAAATTCGTGAAGCGTTTACAGGCGGAGGGCTTCAGTGAGGAGCAGTCCGTAGCTATGATGCGGGTATTGAACGATATTATTCAAGAGTCGATTCAGAATTTGACCAGGACAATGGTCCTCCGAGAAGGTATGTAAATGCGTCTGTCGCACATGATAACTTCATAATGCTTGTCGGAGATCTAACGGGAAACTCTTGGCTAGACTCGGAGAGATCAACTTATGAACAAAAAGTGGATTTTGCGAAATTGCGCTCCGAGTTACTTAACACAGACTCGACTGAGGCACAGTTGACCCGTTCGTCACACGAGAAGATCGCTGCAGACCTCGCCAAACTCAACTCACGACTCCGGGATGAGATTGGACGAACACAAGCCTCGGTCCGGTTGGATCTGAACCTTGAAAAGGGTCGGATTCGTGAGGAGGCAAATAGCCAAGAAATGCGTATCAAGGAGACTGAAACGCGAATTGAGCAGGAGGTTGCAGGATTAAGGGAACGAGTGGAGGCTGTCAAGTTCTCGACTCTGCAGTGGCTTATGTATGATCCCCGAATTACCTCGAAGCGCGAGCTTATACTGACTTTCTTTTCTCTCCAGGGGTGTCTGCACAGGTACCGCCGCACTTATTCTTGGTGCCTGGCGCTTGTTTATGTAATTGGGACAAAAGTCTGCATTGGATATGGAGTGATTGTTTTTGGCTTTGCTTTACATGAGGCATTTGATGTCTTACAACTTCTCTTTTTGTATACTACTCTCTCTACTCGTCTAGCCATTCTATGTTGTCATATATGTAGGTTTAGACAATACCAAGCATTTGGTGAATTTCAATGAAAACCATTAGATAATTCAAAATTCAGCCCGGGTATATGTAACTACGGAGTAGCGGACGACACTAGCCTGAGGTTACATGGGGGAGATGAGTACGGACATTTGGCAGTCTCGCAGGTTCCTTCTCTATTCGTGAACATTTCCCCCTCTTCATGCACCTCTATCTTCAGGGATAAATCTGCCTATCCAAGCCATCTTCAACGTTACATACATACCCTTTGACCAGGGGTAGAACCTAACGTTCTAATTGGTTCACCGCAGAACTAACATGCTAGTGCCTGTAACGCACTTGTCGCAACGGCTGATGGATCCTCAATCTCCAATGGAGTATTGTTTCATCCGCCTAGCTGCATGCTTGTTATCTATTCTTCTACTCTGGCTTGGGGTTACATCTTACAATGTTTATAAAGCCCATTGCAGGTCTTGGAACCGATCTTCGGTGTCGATACTCAGTCAAGAGCCCCTGAAGCCTCAGAAGACTGGCAAAGCCGCGAACACTGTGCCGTCTATCGATCGTTGTGGATTAAAGTCAAGTGTGAACGTCGGCCACGGCACACTGAGAAGAGTTCAACCAAGCGTCGGACTACTAACCATTATGGCTCTAATCGCCATATGTGGATTGCTGCTTTTAGGGCACCTCCCATCGGCCTTGTCGCTCCAGAGCGGATTGCAGTCTATTGCTGGTTTTCCATCCCAGGCGCCTAGCTCGACTGATTTGCAAGAATTTTTCCAGCTCTATCAGCCAATATCGCTTCATTCTACTGGAGATGGCACCTGCAATGTCGAGATGCTGCTCATGGATCATGTTTTTGGAGTTAGTTATGGAGCTCCATTTGTTGGTAAGAGCTCTCGAACGTTACGTCTACTCATGGTCTGATCTTGCGATTTATTCAGGCGACTATAACCCCCCAAACTGCGAGTTCGATACTGTGCGAATCAATCTCACTGTCACCTCTCGGGGAAAGCAGTATGACCGCCTAGCACTCATGTACCTTGGGGACAATGAAGTGTTCCGGACTTCAACGGCAGAGCCGACAGTCAATGGGATTGTCTGGACCTATATCAAAGAGATGTCGCACTACAATTCGCTATGGAAGAATCCCCAGAAGCTAATATTTGACTTGGGGAATATCATTAACGATGTTTACACCGGCTCGTTCAATGCCACGCTCACGGCGCACTTCTCTATCGGACAAAATGTCAAGACCGCGGATATGATTCTTCCAATCTCTGCCAAAAAGTCAGCATCAAACTCTTCCAGCGCTTTCCAACTTCCCACGGACAACACAACGGTCATGTACGAGATCCCTGCTGCGGCATCGCGTGCTGTTGTCTCAATATCCGCATGTGGACAATCAGAAGAAGAGTTCTGGTGGTCCAATGTCTTCTCCGAGGACACCCAAGATTTCGAAAGCACTGTCGGTGGGTTATATGGATACACTCCCTTTCGTGAAGTCCAACTCTATATCGATGGAATCCTTGCCGGGCTTGTCTGGCCATTTCCTATTATCTTCACCGGAGGCGTAGCTCCGGGATTCTGGCGTCCTGTCGTTGGAACTGATGCGTTTGATCTTCGACAGCCAGAGATTGATATTTCCCCATTTCTCCCCATGATCCAAGACGGGAAACAACATTCATTTGAGATTCGGGTGACTGGTCTTGATGTCTCCGCGGATGGAGGTGCCAAATTTTCCAACACTGTGGGCTCGTATTGGGTTGTGACAGGAAATATTTTCATATACATCGATAATGACAGCTCAGCCTCTAAAGCCACCATCACTCGTGACAACAAGGCACCCACAGTGGATTCTCCCTTGCCAGTGTTTTCTGTGACTCGGAACCTTGTTCACAATGAAACCGGGGGGAATGATTCCTTGTCGTACTCTGTGGTTGTCGAGCGAGTCTACAGTGCAACATCTTCTCTGTATTCGTGGTCTCAGAAACTATCCTTCGCCAATCACGGTCTCCTCAATCAGCAAGGATACAGTCAAGTCAACAGACAACTCACAAGTGGTAATAACACTATCACCGAGCTCGGGGATATACCTGTTTCCAACAGCGTTGCATATCAATATCCCTTGGTTGTCAATGCAACTTACGGTATCACCTCAAATGGGATGACTATTCACTCTTGGATGAAGAGAGGTCTCGATTTTGAGGCAACAGGAGGACTCGGCATTTCCACTTACACCTTGACCTCGGGCCCATCATACCTACACACAAGTCAGTCTGGAATGGCGAAGTATAAATCCATCACTGGTGGAAAGTCAAGTTCCTGGGGCGATACCGTCAATATGTTCGCCAGTCAGATGAATGGGCAATCATACCACCGATATGTTCACGCAGTCAATGGTACCGTTGTACATGACACTGACCCCAAATACAAGGCCTCGTCTTCCTCTTCACAAGATCACGAGGATACCGGTAGAGGCAGCGTGAAAGCTATAATTGGAAAGGGACCTGGGACTCTTGTAAATTAGGAAAGATGACATACACGAAGAGTTTTGGACGTCATGGTTGCAAGGTAGATGATATCTCGTTTGGGACACGGAGGTTTGATACCACGCGTCATGGTAGAGTAGTACTCATTGTGAGTTATTATATCATCGCAATGAATTCAATATTTGATTTCTGCACAATAGGACTAAGTTGGAGATGAGACAAGGTCCTAGATAGTCAGTTGGCTTTGTTTGGGGATTTCAGTCTCATTTGGCATTGAGCACAAAAGGAATCCAAACTGCACATCGTTGTTACCCCAACAAATTTGGATCCTTATTACGCTTCTTCACATATTTTGCTGGCCTTGGCTCATCTCCTCCGCACCAACGTTCCGTTCAGCGCGCCCTCGCAATGGAACTACCTTCTTACAGCATCGAGGGTATTGATCGCTTTTTCCACCGGCTAGGGGAGTAAGTTCTCCGGTTTGCACAAAGTATAAACAAAGGAACTGACAAGAGATAGATTGTACCCCACAGGCATGTTCTCCGACCTCACAATTAACACCTTGGACCAAGCCTTAAAGGTGCACAGAGTCGTCGTCTGTAGCCGATCTGAGGCTTTCTGTAGGCTTTTCTCTAATGTCCCCAATGCAAGTACCCCACAATCTCAAGCATTCTATGATTCACAGTCTGGCTGACTTTGATGGTTGCAGGAAAGCAAACAGGCCCATATGTTCGAGATCAAGGACGAACACCCACGAGTCGTAGAAGCCATGATACGCTCATTCTACGGACTTCATTACGATATCAACCAATCCGAACCTCGAATGTGCCCTTTGTTATTCAATGTCAAAGTATACTCTCTTGCCGACAAATTCGAGGTGGAATATCTCAAAATCCAGGCCAAATTAACCTTCGTCGCCCTCGCCCAAGAGAACTGGGACTCGGATGAATTCTTGACCGCTGCCTTTGAAGCATACAAGACAACACCGAAGTCTGATCGAGGTCTGAGAGATGTGGTCGTCGCGGTCTGTCAGAAGTACAGGAAGGGCCTGCGCGAGAAGAAGAGGTTCGAGAGATTGCTTGAAGAAACTCCCGGGCTTGCTACAGATGTTGTGCTGCTTTCGCATAGATGGCTGCCCCAGCCTGCATCTGCGAGGGTTCGTATCGTTCAGTCTTTCTCTTGTCTATCTTGTTTTGCAAAATGGCAGATTGAGGTTGGGTTGGCGGAGTATTTTACTGAGTGTCCTTTTTGTCAGGATGATAAGGTTGGAGCTTTTTAAGGTCAGACTTGCAGTGGATTAACTATTGCTTGGAGACAACATGATTCTCTTGTAATATTAGTGGGAGTATTGACCACAGGTCAGAGATATGCTGAGTACCTTCTTGTTGAGAATCGACGAGATTTGCGAGAACACGCCCACTGGATACTACATGAGCCTAGACAATACTGGGAATATCTATGTGTGTGTAAATAAAATTAGACGGAACTTTTGGGTCGTAATCAAGTTGTCAGTATTACACATCGCAGGAAGTATACACCCACGTAGAGGGATTATATATGTTTAGACATTTTCAAACACATTATCCGAGGACATATTCAACAGGATAGCTGATACCAACTTAGGGAATTGATATAAGGTACACTTGATGTATTGAATACAGATATTTGGATGCAGTATTGAGATCTGGGCTATTTTTGTCTTGATATACTAAGTTGAGTCGCCCGGCTTTGCATTTAGCCGACAATTAGCCCCTGCTCTTATCGCCCCGTGATTTCTTGCGATAAGACGATCCATGGATCTGTCGATCGCCCTATCTTTTTATCGCATTGTCTCTCCTTCTCAACTCTTCATTGTGGCGACTGCATAGGCCGCGATTTTCAGAATGGGTGTGGTCGTAGAAGATCTCGAACTTCCAGGTATGTCTCTTGTCTCTTGATTGTCTTGACGAAACTGAAGCGCTGATGTTCATTGTTCTTCTAGACGCGACTCTTGAGTCTCTATACCCCATCTTCCAGCAACATGACGACCATGCCACCAAGCGGCACAAGACTACTAAAGGGGACGGCAAGGCTACCAAACGGGGCGCAAGAAGTCTGACACAAGAAACTGGGATATCAATGACAGGAATACCTCTGGGCTACATTCCACTGGCACGGTTGACAATGCGCATAGTAGGTTGCAACTAGTCTCCCTCTTCAAAGCAAAATGACTGATTCCTCACTCTCCGCAGAGACCAACCAACACGAGCAACCGCAAATACAAGAGGTCGTACGAGCCAATTCTGTCCGACTCCCGGGTTCCCATACTCATAGATGTTCGAAGCGTTCATTTTATCGATGATGATTTGAACAACACGCCACAACCAGACTCGGCCAATGGCGACGCCAACCGTATGGAGCTGGAACTCTCTAATCTAGACGAAGAAGAATTGCTGATATATCCATGCGAGGACTTGCAGCTGTTTGATATTCTTGGGCAACTCCAGACCGTCAGCAAACTTACTCACGTGGACCAGTTCCTGAATAAACTGCCCACAGCATGCTATCAAGCACACCTATGCGCTTCATCAGATGGAGCAACCTTTGCCCTTGAGACAGTTGTTCTTTGGAGGGATTCTCTTGAGGCCCCAGATCTAAAGCGCTTTACGGAAGCAGAGCTGGAAGTCTTCACAAGATATGTGCTGCAAGAAACATGTGTCCGCCCATCAGGATTGACCGACTCCGAATATTGCAATAAAATGCTAGGAACTGCTAAAGAATGGTATCCTCGTGATTTCTACAAGAATGTTCACGTTCCCAACCCCGCAGAAAGTCCGACGAACCTCACATGCCCTGAATTAAATTGCGAGTTATACCCGTTCCAGAAAAGAGCTGTTCGCTGGCTTTTACAGAGAGAAGGAAGAGAAGTCAGGCCAAATGGCGAAATCGTCCCTATGGCGGAGCTTCCTAAAAGCAACCTCCCAGCGTCTTTCAATTCTACGAAAGATGCCGATGGACAGACTTATTACTTTAGTCATCTGTTTATGATTCTGACAACAGATCTTTCTGGGTGGCACGATGCCGCAGACAATCTGAAAGGTGGAATACTTGCAGAGGAAATGGGTCTGGGCAAGACAGTCGAAGTGATTGCTTTGATAAGTCTGAACAAACGAGAGCCGCAGTTCAAGGCTGATCCCGACGGAATTAAACCTACTGGCGCCACTTTAATCATCACACCACCAGCGATTCTCGAACAATGGAGACAAGAGTTGAAAGAGCATGCCCCCACTCTGCGTGTTCATCATTACAATGGCATTAAGCGTGGGAGAGAAACAACCGACGACATGATTGTTGACGAGCTTGCTGAGTTTGATGTTGTTCTAACTACGTACAATGTCATTGCTAAAGAAATTCACTATGCGGGAACTGCTCCACAGCGAGCTCTACGACACGAAAAGCGTTTTGTGCAGAGGAAGACCCCACTCGTTCGTCTGTCATGGTGGCGTGTATGCCTGGATGAGGCTCAGATGATTGAGAGTGGAGTCAGCAATGCTGCGAAAGTAGCTCGCTTGATCCCTCGAGAGAATGCTTGGGCTGTGACTGGTACCCCACTGCGCAGAAACATAGACGATCTGTTTGGCCTTCTTCTTTTTCTCCATTACGAGCCGTTCTGCTTTTCAGCCCCTTTGTGGAAAAGATTGTGTCAGTGTTTTGGGACAGTCCTGGCAAAAATTATACACACAATTGCTCTTCGGCACAGGAAAGGTCAATTATTGGTTGAGCTTCGCTTACCACCTCAAAAGCGTATTGTGATCACTACTCCCTTCACAGCTGTAGAAGAACAGCAATACGGTCAGCTCTTTGAGCAAATGTGTGAAGAATGCGGTTTGAGCACATTGGGAGCTCCCCTTCGAGGCGACTGGGACCCTAAAGATCCTGTAATTCTCGACAGGATGCGTAATTGGTTAGCGAGACTGCGCCAAACTTGTCTCCATCCCCAAGTCGGATATCGCCGAATCTTGGGTCCAGGGTCCGGTCCTTTGCGGAGTGTGGATCAGGTTCTGGACATCATGACCGAGACCAACGAGTCGGCCATACGTACGGAGGAACGATCACTCATTTTATCGCAACTTCGACGAGGCCAGCTTCTGGAAAATGCCAAACGCCGCCAAGAAGCCCTCGCTCTTTGGCAAAAAGCGTTGGATCATGCCACTCAGCTGGTTGAAGACAGCAGAGAGCAACTGCGCCTAGTGAAATTCAAAAGCGCTACTGGCAATAACGGGGCTAATCTAGGAGACACCAATCTGAATTGCGAGGATGATGAGGAGGACGAACAGGAGGAAGCAGACAAGAACAGCCGCCTCGGCCAATGTCGACAGAAGCTTCGAGCTGCACTTGAAGTCCAGCATATTGCAGTGTTCTTCACTGCGAACGCATATTACCAAATCAAGAGCGATCCAAATCTGACTCAGCTAGATTCGGATGAGTTCAAAACGCTTGAGAAACGGGAAGAAGATGCATATGAGGCTGCAAAAGTCATCCGCAAAGAGATGTTGACTGATATTTCTCGGAAAGTCGAGCGCTACATGAAAGAAATCAAAATTAAAGCAAAAGACAAAGCATTCGTGCACATCCCGAAAATGAAACCTCAGCTCTACAGCAAAGGAGTCGAGTCATATAATCTGCTTAGCAAATTCGAAGATTTTTGCGACGCTCTTAACAAGCATGCTGACCAATACAAGGAATGGCGAGATGCCATGGTTAAACTGGTCTCTCAGTCACTCATTGACCAGGAAGAAGAGGCAAAGCTAGAGGGCGATGAGTATGAGCGGTCAACAAAACACCAAGACGAGATGTATGTCTACATGGAGGCTTTGAGGTCAATGTACAGCGACCGATATGATGCTCTCACTGGTCAAAAGAATACTCTCATTTCCCACGAAGCCAAAGCCGGAATCATCCAAGCCCAAAAAGGTGAGGGGCCTTCTCCGGAATTATTTCTCAAGATCATGGAGACTCGCAGTCGGATTATGCCTGATCCGAGTCTTGGATCTCTCCGCAACATTGTCAGTGAGCTTCGCAAACTTGTGACGTCGCTGGAGTGGCAAGCCAGCTCGGGCAATTCGCGTGCTCGTGCTGAACACGAGATCGTCGAAATGGTCCTGAAAAATGCCGGTCAAATGATCGCTGAGCAACTGAAGGTTACGAACAAACTGAGCAGAGAAGTTGAAATGTTCCGCGACACCATGAATAATCGATTGGAGTATTACCGTCACCTGCAGCAGATTTCGGATACGGTGGCCCCATACGACGAGGAAAATGCAGGCAGGCCGCTAGATGAATCCGCTTTTTATTTGAGACTCGAGCAAGAGGAGGTTATAGAAGAAAAGATTGCTTCCCTCAAGTCCAAAGCAAGATACCTCATTCACCTACGAGATGATGGTGGCTCCGAAAGTAATCCCCGAGAGTGCATTATCTGCCAATCGACGTTCGAAGTCGGTGAGTATCGCTTATTCAGGATGTATGTTTACACGAGGATTGACATTTTATGCAGGCGTATTGACTGTGTGTGGTCACAAGTACTGCAAGGATTGCTTGCGAATGTGGTGGTCTACACACCAAAATTGTCCAATGTGCAAGAAGAAGTTGAAACGTAATGATTTTCACCAGATCACATACAAGCCACAGGCACTAGTTGCACAGGAGGAGAAGTCATCCGTCAAACTTGATCACGAAGGTCATTCTCAGAATGCGATTTACAGTGACATCAGCTCCGGTCATCTCAATGAGATCAAGAACATTGACTTAGAGGGTTCTTATGGGACAAAAATCGACACTTTGGCCCGGCACATCCTATGGCTGCGGGAACATGACCCTGGCGCAAAGTCAATCATTTTCTCTCAATACGGAAGCTTTTTGTCGGTATTACAGACCGCATTCAGCTCCTTTGGAATAGTCACTACTAGTATTGACTCCCCCAATGGCATTGAAAATTTCAAAACAGACCCGGCTGTAAGCGACCCAGACTCATACCTCATTGGAAGGAACACGCTGACAATTTATAATTTAGATTGAGTGCTTTTGTTTGCATGGTAAAGCGCAGTCTTCCGGGCTGAATTTGATCGTTGCAACCCATGTCTTCTTATGCGAGCCACTAATCAACACAGCAATCGAGCTCCAGATCATCGCCCGAGTGCATCGTATTGGTCAATATCGACCAACAACAGTATGGATGTACCTTGTCTCCGGCACGGTGGAAGAATCCATATATGAGATCTCAGTAACCCGACGCCTAGCTCACATCACGGAGAAAGAGAAGCAACAAAAAGCAGCACTATTAACATCTCCTGCGGATGAAGATGGTGTTACTGAAGCGGCCATTGAATCTGCTAACTCGATAGAACTACAAGATGCCACTCTCACCACTATGATGCAACGCGGTTCTCTGGGTGGGGAGATGGTGAAGGAGGACGACCTTTGGCAGTGTCTCTTTGGAAATCCGAAGAAGAAAGATGGCACCGATCTTTCTGCTGAGGCGGAAAGAGAAGTTGGTCGTTTCCTGAGAGGCGAAGCTGCTGAGCAGAGAATGGACAGTTGAGATACGAATACATACTGTGATTTAGAATGTTATATGTCTTGCTATGACGTAAAACGGATTCTCGCTTGCTTATTCTCCCCTTCCTTTACATGTACATTCATGAATCAATATTGTAGACTCCTGTTGACTTGGTTTGGGATCGCACCTGTCAGATGTAGATGCCCCGTGACTGCCAAGAAAATGACTAAGCACAGTATGACTAATCAGCAACCTGGACAGCCCCCCATACTGTTCACCTGAACGGCGATGACGTGAGTGCAGTTGCCTATATCGTCTATTCATTTATAAATCTGGTCGTCTTGGTGTTATTTTACTTGTCAAGTTGATGCTCTGTTAGAATCACCTGCAAAGCACTTTTATCATGGCGGACTCACAGAGTCCTGAGGCTCGCGAGTTGAGTCTGATAGGAAAGGTCGAATTTAGAATTGCTATGGCAGACACAGATGAAAAGCTGCAGTCTCTCCTTGGAACATATTTGCCCCCTTTTTTATTGAAGCTTGGGTCGGACAGTGTAGAGGTGCGCAACAAAATCATCTCGGTCTGCCAGCATGTCAACACCCGAATCAAAGCCCCCTCTATTCAGCTGCCCGTGGCAGCATTGTTGAAGCAATTCAAAGAGCAAAAATCTCAATTGATCAGGCATTTTGACCTTATCTATGCCCAGCAAGGCATTGATCGCCTCGGCTCCGAAGCCAGAGTCGAAATCCTACTGCCCTTGCTCCAGGGTATCTCAAAGATCGGAACTTCACCCACTCAGGGTGCTATCGTATTTAATCTGGTTTTGCGTCTATTGCCACTTTTAAAGCTGCCAGCAAGAGGAAGTGAAGAAGACCAGGCCCTGAAAGCCCGACTCGGTCTATCAGATGAAGATTCCCAATTCTTGTCCTTCTGGCTGGCGAAATTGTTACTTCTTACCCCTGGTCCTAAAGAAACTTCAACATGCCCCGGCCTATCTCCAGATGAGTATAATTTTTTGAACAAGGGTGTCCCCGCCAACGAGACATGGAACCCCTCTACCGATGGTGGTTTGAATTTGACCGAGACAAAAGTCATCGCCCTTCGATTCATCGGAAGTGGTGCCTTTGATGATTCACAACGATTCCTGCCTTCATTGATCGCTTCTGCTGATGCCAACTCACGCCTTGCGGATTTGGGAGATGAGACCCTGAAGCGATTTACTGCGGACATTGAAAATCCCGATGTTGTTCAGGAGCTGTATGATCTGTATTTCGGCACCGCTTCGCCGAATGCGCCCAATGGTGCTCCTCCAGTGCGCCCTCCACTCCAAGTGAAGATTCTTGTCTTCCTGGGGAAGTCCATCAAAGCTACTGCAGACCCTCAGCGAATATTGAGACTCATCGAAGATGGGCTCTTATCAGACTCTGCTAGATCCTCTCAGGGGTTGCAAGCATCGAAACTAAGGACCCAAATTTTTACGTTCACGACCTGGGTGGTCCGTATGGGCGCACCCTCTGACCTGAAGCAAATCGCGCCCATACTTATTGCGGGTCTGAGGGATTTCATTCAGTCTCAAGGATGGCCCAGTCCGGCAGCTAGTGGGCAGAAGCTACCTACGACAGATCTCAGCCTGCGAGGTCTCGCCTACGAGAGTATCGGTATCATGGTTCCAAAAGTTGACTTTATGTCGCAAGCCGATGCTGTAGAGAACTTTGAATTTGACCTGGTCCGATGGCTCTTTGCTTCCTTGAGTGCAGATGATTCGAGTCCACAGATATTCGTTAGCATCGACCAGGCACTAGGAAGTATTCTCAATTCTTCATTAGACAGCCATGACAAGACCTTCCAGGACCAGCTGCGGCCATTCCTGGTTCGTCAGATGAGCATGCAGCCTGGCGACATGGATCCCGATACTGGTTATCGTGCTGTGCGGGGTGTTCAGTATGCCGCAGTGCGGTTTGCGAATCGATTCCTGCCATTCGGCGATGTGGTCGCTCGTTGGATCGACTTGATGGCCATTGCCAGAGGCCCAGAAAGACAACAAGAAATTGTCGAGGAAGGAAAGAAAGGTCTTCACCCTTACTGGTACCGACTCCTCAATCCTGCCAAAGATGGGAAATGGTCAGCTTCCTCAGCAGCTCCAGTTCAAGACGAATCTTGGTTCGACTTCCCAAAGTTCGATGAAGCTACTCGTTTCCTACTTGGCAAGGGGGGGCAAGAGGAACACTTGAATGTTCAGTCTTTGTCCGCATCGCAACTCCTGTCTGGTCCCTACAAGGGTTCATTCACGCCTGCCATCACATTCCTCCGAAATACATTGATTTGGGAGGCTTTTTCAGCCTCTGGAGTTGCTACAGATTTAGAACAAGATTGGGACTATAAACAAGAAGTGCTGCTCTCTACTAGCGTGCAAGCCCGCTCAGCCGTGAGAAAGTACATTCGAGAGTCTGCGAAGGAGTCTGTCTTGGCATTCTTGTCTGGCACGCTAGAAGGTCTTGTAACCGGCGAGCGTGAAGGCCTACGACAATGTGGTGTTCATTTCGTGGAAATCTGCTCCCTAGCGCCCAATGACGTTGTTCAACACTTGATCTCGCGTGCGACATCCTTGATGGAGCCAATTTGCAGCAACAACCAAGATAACCAAGGTGTTACTGCACGGGCATTTGGAATTTTGGTTTCGCACCCTGCCTTCTCAGAGGAGCAATTGAAGAGTTTCATCACTCAACTAACTGCTACCATCCAATCATGGAATACTTCTGTAGGTCAAGAGGTCATGCGAGTCCGTGGGGCGATATTAGCGCTCTCATATTTGCTCAGTCGACTTGCGTACCGTGGTCTGGTGAACCGAGCCCCAGAAGCACAAACCAAGCAGTTCATTGAGACTCTCTTTGATATTCTAGATGTTTCCCGGGATACACTGCTCCAAAGAACCGCACAAGAGGCCATTGGGCAGCTAAGTCTATCAGGTGTGCTGTCTCTTGATATTATCTCAGAAGATGGCTGGAAAAAGATCCTGGAAAAGCTATCGCGCGACGCCAAAACTGAGAACCAAATCCCTATCAAATCTCTGGGATTGTTGACTCTGACTTTCTCCCGATCTGGCTCAGACGGTACCATGTTCACTGATTTCTTGGGTTCACTCTACAGCCTACATGAAATCCGCAGTCCCGAAGTTCAGTTCACTGTAGGCGAATCCTTGAGCAATGTTGCTGTTGGGTGGGATTCTCGGGCCCTGATCCAAGATTTCGACATCGATGCAGAATTCCCTCGCTCAGACGTCCCGCGCTCGGTGTTTACAGTCATCTGTGACAAGGTCATTGCCGATTGCACAGCGCCCAAGCCATCTCTGCGGAAGGCATCTGCAATCTGGCTGTTGTCGCTGGTTAAAAACTGCGGTCACATGCAGGAGATGCAGGAGCGGCTGCGCAAGTGCCAAGCTACTTTCAGCAGCCTTCTTGGAAATAGGGACGAGGTAGTGCAGGAGACTGGAGCGCACGGACTCAGCCTTGTATATGAGATCGGTGACCAATCACTGAGAGACGATCTGGTGCAAGATCTGGTTGAATCATTCACCTCGACTGGTCCCAATCTCGGGGGTGGCAAAATCGAGGCCGATACCCAGCTATTTGAGCCTGGGGCTCTCCCCACCGGTGACGGGTCGTCCGTCAACACCTACAAAGATATCATGAACCTGGCCGCCGAGGCGGGTGACCCCACTTTGGTTTACCGGTTCATGTCATTGGCTTCAAACAATGCGATTTGGACAAATCGTGCGGCATTTGGCCGCTTCGGAATCAGCAGCATCTTTTCTGATTCTAGTGTCGATGGCTACCTGGCAAAGAACCCTAAGATTTACCCCAAGCTTTTCCGTTACCGGTTCGATCCTAACCCGAACGTGCAAAGATCTATGAATACCATCTGGCAAGCACTAGTCAAGGATCCCACCGTTGTCATCGATACCCACTTTGATGATATCATGCAGGATCTGCTGAAGAGCATTCTAGCGGGTCGAGAATGGCGTGTTCGGCAAGCAAGTTGTACCGCCGTGGCAGACTTGATCCAAGGTCGCCGTCCGGAGAAGTACGCCCAGTATCTCGATGAGATCTACAGTAAGGCTTTCAAATTACTGGACGATATTAAGGAATCTGTCCGCACCGCCGCGCTGAAGCTCTGTCAAACGATTACCAACTCGGTCATCCGCACACTCGAGACGAGCGGTAGCGAGAAGCGCGCGGGAACTCTACTCAAAAGTGCTATCCCCTTCCTTTTGAGCGATAAAGGCTTGGATTCTAGTGTGGAAGAGGTGCAAGGATATGCCATTGGCGCGCTCATCTCAATGATCAAGAAGAGCCCGGGCAGCTTGCTGCGCCCATATGTTCCCAACATGCTGGAGAAGTTCCTGAGTGCTCTGAGCTCTCTGGAGCCACAGGCTGTCAACTATGTCCACCTCAATGCCGACAAATACGGTCTAACCGGTCAAGAGATTGACAAAATGCGTTTGTCCAGCATTCGCACATCCCCTATGATGGAGGTGATTGAGCGGTATCTGATTGACAACTTGGATGACAGCAACCTCGATGAACTGGCACGGAGACTCGAGGATGTGCTTCGGTCGGCCGTGGGTCTGCCATCGAAGGTGGGTTGCAGCCGTGTTCTGGTGCTGCTTAGCATGAAAACTTTGCTCTTCCGCCCATACGCGGACCGATTTATCCAAATTCTCACCAAGTACGTGGTGGACCGAAATGACACGGTCAGCGCCTCCTACTGCTCATCCATGGGCTATCTGTTGCGGCTTGCGTCGGACGATCGGATTCTCAAAACCTTTGACTTCGCGAAAAACCTCTATCTGACCGCCGAGGATGCCACACCACGAGTGATTTCCGGCGAAATCCTGTACTCCGCGTCCAAATTAGCCAACGACCGGTTCATGGCATTTGCGGCGAGCGCATTGCCGTTCGTCTTTGTGTGTAAGCACGATGGCGATGAACATGTGAAAGAGCAATTCGAAAAGACATGGCAAGATAACGTTGGTGGATCGCGTG